AACTTTTTTGGTGCCAAAGGACGCAAGAAGTACTCTAGAGACTTTAACGCACCAAGTTTCAGATACTGATTTTTCATAGTCTGCCCTAAAAAATTTATATTTTTTGACCTGACTAACGCTTGAATATTTATATAACTTGTTGGCACAAGGTATACTGAACCGAAAAAATAAAACCGCATCGGATAGTCGCCCGTTTCCCTTGATCGGCCAAAAATTGGTATCTCCAATGAAATTCTTCGATTCTTCCCTTTTCCCGTCGCCGTTTCGAGCACTTCCGATTGCAATTTCGAAATATCCTTTTGCGTGCAGATGCTTCTACTTATCCATAAGTGTTACTAAACCGTAAAAAAGTGAAAATCGAAAAAAACCCGTGTTGGAGTGTTTTCGAGCTCACTGATTCATTTTACATTATTGGAGACATGATTATGTGGATGGATAAGGTGGGGAGACGCAGGAGACGGCAGACGATAGGATGGGTTATAGTAGGTATTGGTTAGAGAGTGCTCGAACTGCTCTGAGTTCCCGTCGCGCCACGCAGCCATCTTGCCTGCTCATTCCGAGGGGGTCTTTGCCTGCAAAAAGTAAACATCAAACTTCCTGTTAATAGGTAAATACGAGGCACTTTTAGGTAGGGAGGCGGCGGACGATAGGATGGGTTAGAGTAGGTATTGGGAAGAGAGTGCTCGAAGCTCGAACTGCCCTGAGTTCCCGTCGCGCGACGCAGCCATCTTGCCTGCACATCGTAGGGGGTCTTTGCCTGCAAAAAGTAAACATCATGTTGCGGGTTGCAGCCGTTGCAGCACTCCCTTCGTTATCAGTTAACCTATTTTCACCATGATTGCCTTGGACGCGGATCAATTTGCTGAAATAATTAAAAGTATTTTTCCAATATATTTAATATTAGCTCTCCCGATATTTATTATCCTTTCCCCAATAAATCCCGTCGAAGCCTCTCATGAATTCTCTGCCTACCGGATGCAACACTTTGACCTGCATGGCACTGCCCGAGGTACGTTTCAGGTTTATTTCAATTACAGATCTTATCTTCATTATTTTTTCAATGATGAGTTTATCAACTTATTCATCATTCGTTTGCCATTAAAGTTAAATTCTCTGGTCTACTAGGTAGGGTCGGATTAGAACATTTCCCCCTAAACCTAATAGTTGTTCCATTGTACGGGTTTTGGGTGTTTCCAATGGCACCACCATTTTTATATTTTTGTAGAAGAATTCGCATCTAGAGTCCAGAGGTCTTGTTTATTCACGTCGGAATTTCATTTATATACTCTATCAGATCTCTATAACTTCCTGATAGTATAGCGCCCCTTAAGGACTAGATACCCCTGCGTGCTACACGCGCGTCTTGACCCGAAAAGGAGGATCCGATCCTACTTTGAGCGAGTTACGAGTGGCTACGAAGATTGCCGAAGGCCTACTTGTAGCTCAAGACACGTGTCTAGCTCGCAGGTTTATCTGCCCCTTAACACTTTTTTTTCTACTCATCACAGTCAATCCGTAGGGGCATTAAAGTATCTATCAGGCAAAAAATATTCAATCCCAAAATGTCATATTAATCCACAGAAATATGCATCTAGAAAGCGCTGTTTCAAAATATCTTTTCATTCGAGTACTACTCAAGTCAATCTGGCTGTGTAATGCATGGATTAATGAAGATCGAAGGGTAATCAAAGATATTTCCTGCGAGATCCAAAAAGACCCTACTCAGTCTATTAGGACAATTGTCTAGGAATTGGGGTTGTGCAACAGTGAGAGAATGAAAAGGTGAAGATAACACGACGCATTACCCATTTGGAACCTCTGACACTGTTGTGTTGTCAATTTATTTTTTTTAGGAGAACCGAAACTAGAACTGGTTGCCAAATTCCTTCGGGTTCTGACTTTCCAAGTCAGGGCTGCGATTAATTTTATCCACATTTTCTAGATGTACTGCTGTCAGTTTTTTTAAATTCCATCTTTGTTTCGATCATTCAAACTTGAACATCACAGTAAATTTCATTTTAGGCTGTCGCAGTAGTGTGGTTAATTTGGAGGCTCGATCACTGAGCACATGGAGCACGTTAAGGCATTGTGTCATAGCGCATTTCGAAGATCTAGCCCTGGAACAGTTGGACAAATTATTAACTCAAGCTGGGGCACTACTAATAATATTGCCAAGAGATTTCTCTAAATTATCAGCCGAGGAGAAACAGGTGAGCTTGAAATTCATTTTAATGATTTCAATGAAGTGAAAATTTCTAGAAACAACAAGATTTTAGTTTTGATTCTGATTTTTGCATTCTTGGTTCATTGTCAGCCATAAAATGTTTCAAATTTGTTTGGTGTCCGGTAAGAGCTTTCTCTCTGAAAATAATTTTTGTGTTAACTCTTATAAAATCATCAATGTTGCTCTCCAGCCTCTTGAAATTGAATGAATTTTGTTTATGTCCTCAATCGATAAGAAAGAAAAAAAAATTATCATAAAATTGGAGGGAAAAACTGTTTTGTCCCAGACTATGCTGCCCAGCATTGCCAAAAAATAACATATTGACCGTAAAACTGCCAGACCATGTACCTGGTTTGCAGTGTTCGAAAATCTCCCCTTCCATTTTATTTTTTTTAGGAGAACAAATCAATATTATTCCTTGAAGGTCTCACAGACTTTTCCTCAAACAGAGAAAAAAAATCATAGAAGTTTTCAAGAATTGATGTTGAGTAGTTTTGCATTTACAATATAAAATATGACAAGAAGTCTACAACGTTGCAAACCAAGATACGTTTTCTGGTAGTTTCACTTTTGTTATGAAGTTTCAGAGCTGTTTGAATTTTTTACAATAAAAAGGCAGTGTCAAGGAATTTTAGCAGGATTGTAGTATAGTTTTTCCTACGTTGAATTTTGTGTTAAAAATTTTCTAAATCTATTTTTAAGTGGAGACAAAGCCAACCAAAATCTGATTAATCAAAAGCGGACAGTCAAGTTGATGTAGCAAGGCAATGCCTGAAGTTGATTTCAGCCCATCAGCAAACACTGTTCCCTCGCCTGATGACTTCATCGTAGTCCGCCAAAAATATCGTTTCAAATAGATCCAATTTTTGGAATTCTTAAAATACAGTAAAAAAAATATGAAAAATTCCTGGAAGCTTAGTTTACACCATACTTTCAGAAAATGAATTTAAAAAATGTGTGCCACTGCTGCATCGCCACAATATTTTTCTTCTAGATGTATGGACCCATGTAAAGTTAAGGCAAAAATGCTGTTTAATAATTTGTTCCACTTTTTTGTTTCACAGAATGTGCTGAGCATTGAAAAGAACTTGCTGCTTCAGCAAGTTCAAATTCCCATTTATTTTTTGGAGTGGTCTTATGAATTGAAAACTATAGTGAGAGATTTATCAACTGGCTTAACTGCTAGTGAACCAAAGAAAGAAACAGCAGCTCATGGTAAATTTTTCTCTTACTTTGCAGTGTTTTTTTCACAGCCCTGTCTCATTCAACAAATCTTCAGTTTTCAGCATTAAATTGTTTCCTTGATCAACTCTAAGATATGTCATTTCAGATACAGCGGTCAGTGAAAAACATCTGTTTCATTTTGTTGAGTTGGTTGGACTGTACCTTGTATATCCTAGTCACAAGCCTTGAAAAATTTTCAAAAAAAATCGGATTGTTCATTTTCCATAACCTTAGTTTTCTATCCTACCAAAAAGACTTTGGTGCCATTCCTGTTAAGAATATGACTTAATAAGTCATAGTTGGAAGAATATTCCGCAATTTTGCACTCTACGTAAAGAATTTCAGTGTCTGGGAAATTTAGCGTAACTGCGAAGCACATCTGATCTTTTCTATCATTAATATTATCTTCTAAAGTTTTCTTATTCTGTTACAGCTCTATTTAACTCAATCTCCGCAAATGGTTATCAGGTGTCCATAAATGCTCCCAGGCCTAATATTAAGTATGACCTTCAAATACCCACTATCCAGGTATGTTTGGACTCAACCAGGTACCTCCAAAATCAAACGCATGGAATTTCTTTTTTCACTAAAACTTATAAAGTGCTGTTTTGCATACGACAATGGAAGCCACTAATGCTTTCATTGACGGCAAGGCTTTGTTTGCAGTCACGCTGAGGAGCATTGCCTTTTTAAGTACCAAGAACAAATTGATGGTGAAATCAAGCCATATATCTAGTTTGCATTGTCTCAGAATCTCCTCTTCTATTTAATTCTTTTAATGAAGAACGAATCAACATTATTCTTTAAACATTTTCAGGAAATATTCTCCACCCAGAGAAGAATAATGGAAATTTTTCAGTGATGGGATGAAGTCGAGTTATTGTTTTTTATGATTTGATTCAGCAGTGACTAATATATCTGCCCAACTATCAGTTGAAAAACATGTAGTATTGTTTAATTTCAGAAAATACCTAGAATTGTAGTCAACCCAAAAAATAATCTAGAATCTAGATGAACTGTGGCTGGACAAGTCAACAAAGCATTTAAAATTTTTCTCCTCAGAAAGAAATGTGCTCAGATGTTTTACTATTTACCTCTCATATATTTCTCCTTCTTTTTGCTATTTTTTATATGGTTATTTTAGTTTTGTCTTCTTTTTCAGGGGAAACTTTCGGGGTATGGCGTTGAGGACAAGTTACCCACCATAGTTTTCGTTGCTCATTATGACAGTTTTGGTGTTGCACCCGTGAGTATTGTCAGCAACAAATTTGAATTAATTTGTCTTTTTTTTTACTTTCTTTATCTGTTAAAGTTAGCAAACACACATTGGTAGATAGTTAGTTGCTTTATTATGGAAGCTATTTTATGATACCAAACATTTCACATGTAATATATGACAGGATGCGTTTTACATAATGTTTTCTCCTCTTTCTGCTCCAAACATTGTCTAAATTCATTTCTAATCAAAAATCTCATTGAAATTAGTTATGGTCAGATTTTCAAGCCTACTAGTAAAGAAGCTATCTATAAAACTATCTTCCCTGTTTCCAAATTGGAGGCTAAATTTTCCAGGTTTTCCCCTTACTAAATCAATTTCATCACTCTCTCTTTCTTTCTAGGAGTTGTCGTATGGAAGTGATAGCAATGGTTCCGGAGTAGTCGCCCTGTTGGAGTTAGCTCGTATCTTCTCTCATTTTTACTCTAACTTGAAGACGCATCCTCGCTTCAACATGCTGTTCTTGCTCTCTGGTGGTGGCAAAATTAATTACCAAGGAAGTAAGAAGTGGTTGGAAGACAACATTGATGTCTCAGAAGGCTCTACTCTCCATGTAAGAATCCTTCCTGTCTCGAGTTTTTGAACTTATTGAATATAATGTCATTTCCAGCCAGTGTTCGAAACTCACAGGTGCCAACGCGCCAAATGCGCTTAAGAAATCGGTCATGGCGCCTATAAAATGAAGGTTCTGCGCCAACAAGGCCTCTAAAAATTGTCTCTGCCCCCTCCCCCCTCTCAAAAAAATCCTAGTTCTTCTGTTTGGTGATTTTTCGAAATCTCCTTTAAGTTACAGCTACTAGTTTTGTGACTTAAACATCTTGTGTCTAACTTTTCACTAAATGCGCCGTAGTATAGGCAAAAAGTTAATTTTGCCCCTAAAAAATCTTCAATGGCCCCTAAAAATCAAGCTTCATGCGCCGCATGGCTCCTAAAACTCAAGGGTGAGTTTCGAACACTGTTTCCAGGAATCATAAGTATAACTTAGTGGGGAAATTTTCTACTTTGCATCCCTTTTTTTTTCCATTAACTTGTTGCCTGTCTCCATGTTTTGGGTACCTATTTTCCCTGGCACCACACCCCTTAAAAATAAAAACCAAAAGTACGGTGGTGCATTCTTCGACTGGAGCAATGATCATCTTGAGTCATGAGCATAAATGGCGTCAACAACCGCTTGCCTTACATAGTGTTTGATGTATGCGACCGCATTCCCTGGAAAACTATGGACGACTGTTAATAAGCATTGATGAGCTTAGATTGAGGCATAATAAGCAACATATTAAAGGGATTGCCACGTATTAGACTGAAGCCACTTTTCCCTAAGGTGGATCTATATTATTTTAAGGTGGATCCGCAATATTGGCGCAATTCATTCAGGGCATGATTAAAACATTTCGAATTTCAACCGTGAGGTAGATTTTTTTGGAAAAATCTTAACATTAGTCTCAAAATCAATCACTACAGGATTATCAGACTTTTTCAGATGAATGATCTACAGGCCAAACTTCAAAATTATTTATTTTTTTAAGATTTTAATCATTAGATCTCTCAAAATGGTCCTATATCTTGCAGGATTTCAATGCAAATTTATTGTTCCACTTTTTCTAGGATGTGCCCTTTGTTATCTGTCTGGATTCTCTTGGCGGCTCATCAAGTGACCAATTGTACTTCCATGTTTCCAAACCACCCAAGGCAGGAAGTCCAGCCGATCAATTTATAAAGGTATGTACTGTAAACTTCCTTTAGGAAATGTTCTTAAATTACTCAACGCCCTTTTTTAGCATTTTTTACATTAGAACTAAACCTCAGAGATGTAAATCGTTCTCGACTGCGTGACCGGCCGATAAGACCAAATCGTGAACACTGGCCGGTTTTTTTTTCTTTTTTATTTAATTCAGAAATTTATGTCCCCTGCAAACAACACAATTTAACAATTTGTGCAAATAACAGAATAAAAATTGCAAACCAACTAAAAAATTTGACTCAATTTTAATTAGTACATTACATTGACCGTTTTGCAAAAACCAGTGCATTCTAGGTAATTTTTGAGGCCTCTTGGAAAATTATTGAGGTTTAGAACTTTTCACACTCCTGATAAAGTATATACAAATGTTTGATCAAGCAAAAAAAGTATTTAAATTTTTTTCTCACAGATTGTCAAAAATGTAAGTGATGATGCCAATTCCATCCACATGGTGCACAAGAAGATAAACCTTGCAGATGATCTTTTGGCATGGGAACACGAACGCTTCAGTATCAAGAGACTGCCTGCTTTTACTGTCTCAAGCCTAACAGTAAGTCATACCTGTCTAACTTGAATCTTTCCTATTTTGGTTAATTTTGCCGGAAAAGTCTTTTCAATTAATCTCATAACTTTTTAGTTGCTGCACGATTTTTGCCGCATTATTTCATGAGGTAAATGCGTCTTTTTATCATCACTCCTCAGAAAATTGAAATGTAAAAATCAGGTTAACGTTTGCATTTTATGTGCTGTACTATGCTTGTCACAACCCATGTAGGATCATGCAGTGATTTAATAGAGTGTAACTGGAGTACTATTTTCACCCATGTATAACTGCTCATCATACATGGCTAACAAGGTGATCATTGTTGAAAGATAGGTAACCCCCCCCCCCCCAAAAAAAAAAAAAAAAAAAAAAAAAAAAAAAAAAAAAACAGCTCCAATAACGCTTTTTAAACGATGTAAACTAAACAACTCAAAACTATTAAGTTTCTCACTTATCATTCATCACACACTTTATTTGTTTAAAAGTTATGTTTGCATTTCTATTTGATTTGAACAACAATATCTAATACACCTCTCAAATTGGAATTTTTTTATTTTAGTATGATAACTGATTTGAGCTTGAGCTCTGATCCAGAAGTTTATAATTGTCAACATCAGCTGCTTGTGAGCAGTTTATAAAATAGGAAACGTTTTGTGGAGGAGAGGGATTTGAGTCTGCATTACTGGTGCGTTTACAGGGGAGAGCACCATTTAAGACTGCTTCTTATAACTCTAGAGTGGGCGCAGGGCATTGATGTTTCTAAAATCTATGAGAAAAATTAGTGCTAAATGGCAATTTTTCATCCAAATTTTGTCATGAAATGCTAATTTTAAGGGGAGGGAGAGTCAAAGAATCTATTTCTAGAAAGGTTTCAGATCTGTTCTACAGGTGCGTTCGGAGGGGGAAAGAGGGGGAAGTCGAAAAATCTGATGCTCTGCATTTTGTATTTTATGAGTAGCTTTTTACTCCTTTACTACCTTGTCCAAAAAATCAGTTTCATAACCATGTGATGTGAAATTATTTTATCGCCTTAATATATGTATTAAAAAAATGTATTTGTTCCAGTCTCACAAGGACTACATCCGAAGTACAATTTTTGATACAAAAGCGAATGTAAACACAGCATTCCTGGAGAAGAGTGTCAATCTTCTAGCTGAATCTATAGCGCACTATGTTTTCAATTTTTCAAAATCTAATGACATCATGACTGGGTCCTATGTAAGTTACATTCTTCACTTCATGTATGCATATCGTCTCCCAAAATAACCGACACTGTTGCTGTAATTTATAAACCAAGGAATGTATCAAGCTGATTTTGGTCTCACTCAAAAGAGGCTGCCAAATGTTGACAGATGGGACAAGATCAACTTATTTGAATAAAAATTGACCATGTTATGATCGTGTCAAAATGGCATAAAAGGCAGCCACCTTTGATTTTTTGATGAAAATTAATTCTTACCGAAATGCGCTGATAAAACTTTTTCTCTGCGTTTATATTACTGCTTGGCAACATCCAACATGACTTTAAAATGCTGTATGTTTCTAGTGGTCATATGACCCATGACAAAACCATGGTAACAATGCAAGAATTTTGGAATGATTCAAGATCGTGTGATGATTCTGGGTCTAAATTCTCTGCTTTTGTTGACGTTCTCTTTCAAATAAGACCAAGATTATCCTAATAGGTTGCTTGGTTTCCTAATTGAAGGACCAATATTGTGTAATTTTGGGACACATTCGTATTCCATTTTGATCGCAAAGTGTAGACGAGGTTTTCTTGAACTGAGAAAAACTAGTCGAAACACGTTGGTCATGCACTGAAAAAAATGACAATGATCTTTCTTCTCTAAAGAAAATAGCAAATTCAGAATTTATCTAAGAAGCATTGTGAGATCTCAAAATGCATCCAAGTTTTCTTAATATTTGTGTTTGGGTGTTTTTATTTTTCTTTTTCATTTTCTTATAACAGTTTAACAATTGCGTAGGGAGAGAAGTTTATATAAATTGTTTTTTTTTTTTTTTTTCAGGGTGTCAGGTCTAATTTCATCAAATCATGGGTAGAATTCTTGTCGACTCATCCTCGATCTGCTCAACTGCTAGGTGATAAAAACAACATACTGGTGAACATTCTTCAAGAAAGTATGGGAACGTAAGTAGCTTTAGTGTTTTTCAGTAAATTTCAGAATGTAGTTTTCAAATTCATTGCAAGCACAGGTCAAGCATACTTACTTTTATTACTTTTTGTCAACTCGTGATATTGTGAAATCTTGCTAAATCGAAATAGGCTTGAGACAAAATTCTGCTTTACCTGAAATTTTCTTTGGTCTCTGAATCTCGTAGTAGGGTCAGTGTCGGAATCATTGCTCGACATGAATTTCGAGTTTTTACACCATGAGAAATCCCATTTAAGTCAAAATCTTGCCGATTTTTAATAATGATTTATCTTTATACAGAAAATGAGAGGAAATTTCAACTTCATCAACTTATGTTACTGATACAAAAAATATCAATACCTTTGCCCTTTACAATCTCATATGAAGTATTTTAGCAACAGATTATAATCTCTTACACCGTTTACTGAATGAAAATATGCCTTTTCCCCCTCTTATCTTTTTATTTTTATTTATTACCATCTGGTACTTATCAAGCTTTTTATGGTCTTTTAAATTTTTGTGCAAGTTGCTCGTAAATTAGTCTAAACGTTAGTTTTTAACATGTTACCTAGTTGTATGTAATTGAAGTGAAGATAATTTACTAGCTTGTAGTAAGAAAATTTATTTTCAACATCTAGGTACTTGAGGGATGTCAAAGTCTCATATATGACGGCTGACAAACGGGATCCGGAGTTTGTATTTTATGATGTTACCAAAGCAGCTCTTCATATTTACAAGTGAGACTCATCTGCATTTTAAACCTCAATAGATTTATAAGCTGACCAGCGGGTCGATTACTGAAATTGATAGACAAAGCTATCGACAAAGAAGACAAAAGGGATTTGGAGGTATCCTATTGGTGGAAGCGGGTGGTAGCAATGGACAAAGGACGTGGGTGATAGACTAACTAACGGCAACCCACGAGAGACCCAATAATTAGTCCATCATTTTCTCCCTTAGTTTATTAGAGCCACCCGTTTCCACCTATAGGATCGCTTCTTACTCTCTATGTCTTCTTTGTCTATCTCTTTGTCTATCAATTTCAATAATCAGTCCGCTGAAGGTCTTAATATAATGCATTAATGGTTCAAGGTCAAAGAGTTTGTCGACATAGGTTTAGATATGGTGGTATCTCTTCAATGCTTTGAACATGATGAGTTTGGTGGCTTTTTCAGTTACTCGTGCTGTAATATAAATAGAATTTGTTTACATTTTCTGTCTGGAAACTCATTCTGCTTTGCGTTTCTCTCTATCATCTAGACAGAATGCTGAAGAAACTATTGTTTTTTTACCACAATTATGAACTCTATGAATATTAAAACAAGTTTAAGTTGCAAGATTCTAACACTGTATATGGATCAAACGTACAGTCTTCTCTCTGTTTGTTATTCATATTGGTTTTTGTGTTTCTTTGTTTCTTTTTACTTTCTCGCTCCCATAGGGTAGAGAGGAAGTATTGTCATCCTCCAAGAAAAAAAAAAAAAAAAATTGAAATTTCATCATTTCTAGACGTTTGAAGGTCCCAGGAGTAAAAATAACCATACTTGAAAAAATGTGTGTCCGTCCGTGTGGCGTCCCCCAAATCTGTGTACAGCGATATCTCAGAATCTATCTGTTCGATTTCATTCAAAATTGGCACAGGACACCATATCTATGGTCTCCTTATGCACGTCCAACGATTTTGAGGTACGCTAAAATTTGGGGGGGCTACGCTCAATTGTCCATTTTTAGCAAAATCACACGGAAAGCTCATTTTGAGGGACTGTAAATTTTAAAAAATGCCTTTAATTCTTTAAAATTGGGCATCAAGCACATCACCTGGGTCATTAATTTAAGATCCTAAAAGATCTTTGGACTAAACTCAAAATTCAAGGGATTACGAGGCCCAAAAGTAGGGCACTTTGCTCCGCGACATTCCACAAACAACTCATTTTCAAAGACTGTAAATTTGAAAAAAAATGCCTTTCATTTCTTCGAAAGTTGGCATAAGAGCACCACCTGGTTCAATAATGTAAGTTCCTATGAGGTCTTTGGACTAAACTAAAAATTGAAGGGTTGCGCGTCATATAGCGAGGAGAGCACTTCGGTCACACGGAGAGCTCATGGACTGTAGATTTTGAAAAAAATGCCTTTAATTCTTTGAAAGTTGGCTCAAAAGCACCATCTGAGTCATTAATTTAAGTTCCTAAAGGATTCTTGGACTAATCTCATAATTGCAGAGGGGCCGATAGGAGACGCTCAATTCTCTGATAAATGAGTCGGAACGCTTCTAGATAATAGCAGCAAACGCTTTGAGTCAGGTGAAACCTAGGAATTCAAATGCATTATATAATGCATCATATACTATTTCCAAAATTACTCCGTAGGTATACACAAAGCAAAATTAGACAACTAATTAGGTACATACTCACATTACAAAGGTACAATGAATCATCAAGCTAACGCCAAGAACTGACACTTAGATCTTTATTAAAAACTAATATGTTTGTTGTTAATGAATTTAGAATCCCGGCAGATTCCATCTTTTGCGGTTCCTTTTTACGAGGTACTAAGCACAAATATAATATAATAATTCGGCACAAATATGACTGATTTAATGCTTGTTAAAAAGGAGGTTATAATTGTTATAACCTGTTTGTTGGCGTTTATCGACAGCAGCAAGGAGATCGCGCGCAGCGCTCTGTATTGTTTTCGCTTTGAATTACGGGAATACGCGGTAAGGAGATGGCGCTCCTGGCGGGCAAGTGGTGAACCTTCCAGCAGGTAGATTCGCCCGCCAAATTTAAAATTTGGGAGATGCTAAGCGAAAACCGTTTAGTTTTAAGACTATTTGAACATCGAATAGTCATTCTACCCATTCAAGTAGATATTTGATGGCTTTTGACCGTGCTTAAGGAGAGATTATAATATAAAATCGTATCTGAAGTATGATGTCAATGAATCTAATGGATCCTAATGAATCGTAGAAAAGCTAAGATTTTTACGGATCGCCATCTTTGACAGGAGACTTTGTTAATCAATTACATATTTAATTGAAGATGCCTCATAAAATCAACAAGTCGAGTCCGAATATATGAATTCATCACATATCGCGAAGACATTTACAATAAAGTTCAGTGGTTTGAATAAAAATTTAATAACTATTATCCTGTGATCAAAATTCCGATCAAACTTTATGATTTTGTAAAATTGGCAGTATTTTTCTAAATATTCCAGTAAAAGTGTCTACGCCGGCGCGAAGCGCCGGCTCGAGCGAGAAAGTCCCGTGCGGTCTCCGCACCAATCCGCTAAGCGGATGGGGGGGCGAAGCCCCCCAAATGCCGGCGCGAAGCGCCGCGCATAAATTGGCCGGAGGCCAATTTTTCTTTTTTTTTTGTTTTTACCATTCTGTAAAAAAGAGGAAAAAGATAAAGACCTGTTTAGTTTCTTGCATCATCTGCAGCATGTCTGCTACTTGCCCAATGGCAACACTACACAATAGTGACACCTTTTGCACAAAAGCGGTTATGTATTTGGTCACTAGTTTTTTTTTTTTTTTTTTTTTTTTTTTTTTTTTTTTTTCGTTTTTTCAATCAATGCATTTACCAACTTTCAAGAAGTCTTACTCATTTATAGATTATTATTATTTTTTTTTTTAAAAAAAACACTAAAGATGTGGCCCGAATACTGAAAACAACACAATGATAGAATTGTGCCAGGTCCAATTGATCCAAAAACTAGAATTAGAGTTGCAACATGAACTGCAACAAGTCACAGTGCAAGACTGTGGGTGACTCTGAAATTTCGTCACTCTACTTCTAATTTGTTTAAATTTTTGGCTCTGATTTCCCAGCAGGATAAAGTGGCTTTATTCTGCTATACCATTATTTTTAGATTACTGATTACTTGTCAGTCTTTGTCAGGAGCAGCTCAAAATTAACTTTTTATTTTCCAGTGTGAAACCAGCAGTATTTGACTTGTTCCTCTCAGCAGCAATCGGAGCTTATCTTGGATTCTGTTACCTAGCAATTCTTGTAAGTCTTGCTGCCAGAATTTTATTTTTTACTGTCAGTAAATAGTTTGAAAAGAAAAAAACTTCCTCATTCTCAAATTAATGCTGATCCAGCTAAGATTTTCATTACTGGACTTTGTTTGTAAAGGGAGTCATGTTATTTGATTAATTTTCATGCTCTTCAATGATTTTCTCCTTTGAAATTTGGATGAAGAAATATCAAATATGTACCATCATTCCATAACTCTTTGCAGGGGGAAGCATTCAAGGTTTTAAGAGAGAAAGAAAGGTCAAATATGCCCGTAGAGGGAGAGAGCCAGCAACCAGCATTCATCTACCAACAGAAATTAGCAAATTTAAGTACATTTAAACTCTTTTATCATGTTTCTGCTTTCTGTCTTCAAATGAAAATAGTTTAAAGTCAAGTCTTGATAAACAAACTAACTTGGTTGAGCTGTTATATCCATATTTTTGTGTTTTTTCCAGAAATTTTCTGTCCTGTACAATGCAATCCAGTCATTTTCCTCTTCAGTCGTCAAGAAGAAAGTCAACTGATCATTCTTTTTTGGAATAGTCCACTACGCAATTTCGGAGGAATCGTAGTTTCTAATTTGGTGTTGGCGCATCACAGTGGTCATCAGCTTTGGTCGGAGGTCAGTACCAGATAAGGGCAATTTTTTGAAAGTATTTGTAATTTGATACTCAAGTTTAGAGTTAGTAATTCTGTAGGTTTAAAGCGTTTTGTTATTTTTTGTGATTCCTCAAGTTTGCTCATTTCTTTCGATAGAGAAGGTGTTTGTTTAGTTTAAGGTGTAAGGAAAGTGTTTTTATGTCTTTAATTTTGTTCCTTAAGGCAATCCCCTCTCGAAGTTGTGGATTGAACGTAAATTCCTCCAAAATATGGGCTTTAATTTCCACAATTAGCCTCTTCAATAAAATCTCTCATTTTCTTTGTTTATGTACCAATTAAAACACTAAAAAGTGACTTTGCAGCGCTTTAAACGGCTTTTTCTCGAAAAGCATTTTCGTCAGAAGATTAATTTTCAAAATGAAGTCTAGATACAGTGAATTATCAGCCCCCTTACGATAAATCGCAGCATTTTATAGCAACTTAAAAGAGGAGCCAGGTGTAAAATTGAAAAATCCTTCTTTAAAGGAGCGCAGATGATGTTTTAAGGCATCTGATCTCCTTTTGGTTATTTTTCATCAATTGTCAAATATGTCTTCCTAAGAGGTTAATTTTTTTATTTTTACAAACAAATTATAAAAGAGGTCTTTTTTATACGTGGAAGATTGTCCATTAAATGCAGTAGAATAAGCAGATATCTCTTTGAATTTTTTTAAACCTCGATCAATCAGAACAAGATAAAAAATTGAAACTAGTCAATTAGTCATGGGTTCAATCCTCAAATATTGAAGGGAAAACTCAGCGCTCGTCTTTTAATCCAAAGCAACTTAATAAAAAGAAATTGCTAAACCTAGGGATTTATAGTATATTCAAATGAGGCTACTTGATTAGGAAGTATGCAAAAAAAAAAAAAATTAAATTATACAAATCTACTTTCAACTTTCAAATATTGTTTTAAGAAATCGGTCAGAAAATGGTTCAATTTGCAATGAAGTGACCCCAGAGATAAAAAAGAATTCATAAGTGCTCTCTCAATATTATGAAACTTGTAACATCAAAATACGCTCTAACCATCAGTGTCTCTTTCAAAACATATTTCCATAATTTACTTTAATTTTAAGCTGCTTGCTGAGTTTAGACCTATCATTTTCTTTGTTTACAAAATTTTCAAAAATTTAATGAGCACAAAAGAAAACTAATAAAAAGACAAATGAGAAACTTTTCCATTAATCATGGACCTCTTTTATCATAAGTAACAATCATTAATGACAGAAATGTGAACTTCATCAGGTTGCGAGTGCTTCTCTCAGTTTATGGGTGTATTATGTGATTGCCTTTTCCCTGAGAAGGGCTTTTGAAGATTTATTCAACACGCTTTTCAATGTTTTTTAACATCTAGCTCCCTTTATAATCTGTGTAAAAAATTAACTTACATACCCTTTCCTCACATTATGAAGCATTGAGTAGGTGTATTCCATTTTACTCCCAACAAAAACAGCTCAATTGTTTAAATTTTGATTGTTATGTAACCCTGTGCTTCAGCTCAACTCGTAAACTAATTTCAAGCAACCCCTCTCCTCCCGCCCTTGAGTACCTTGCATAATAGTTGACCGTTTTCGCTAGCTATTTCGCTTTTATGTTATTGTTATAATTCTTAAGCAACCACAGGAGAAGGGACTTCAGTGCCTGAAAACCAGATGTTCAGGTATTAGATCCATTGCCTAGAGAACTGTTCTGTAAAATTTAAGCCACTCATTCTATTTTATGTACTTGGATGTTTATGTATTATCTGTTACTTGGATTTGTATGTGCAAAAAATACCTAAAAAGTTCAAACCAAATCAGAGTGTTGACAGTAAGAGTTTCTACTCAAAAATTAAAGGCCTTGTCCACACACGTAGAGTTTGCAAAACTTCAGTGAAATTAGTTATAGCTGAGTTATAATTTATTCGATCCGCGCACAGGAAAGAGGCAATAAACGATGTGCAGCTTAAAGTCCCGCGAACTTGCTTAGGCAAAGTTCTGCAAACGGTTCTTCGTGTGGACAAGGCCTTTCATAGCCTTGAAAAAAAAAATGTAAAGTTTTGGTTTGCCATTATTTGGGCTCTAAATTAGACTACATTTTTTGATAAGGAACTACTATTTTTAACTCATCAATAAAAGCTCCTATAAGCACGAGGGCTTCAATGGCTCAAACTTTGTTCCTAAAATGAGCCGAAAACCGTACATAGCTCTTTATTGCAAAATGAAATCCAATTATTTGATTATTTTGTAACTTGCTGCCCTATGCCCTCCATTGACGGAAGTTAAAACCAAATTACTTGCAGCTTATTCTTTGGGGTGCTAGAATGTGCTTCTCATTGAAAACTAAACACAGATTTTGTGTCCCAACTTGGTGAAAATCACAATTTGATAAAAATATTGTTTTCAAGTACTAAGGCTCCTCTCCTGTAGGCGACCGCCTATCCTGTAGGCTGTTATGTTTGTTTTTTTATTGAATTCTGAGGTGTTGTCAGTTTTTCTTCACCATGTGCTTAAGTTTCATGAGCAAGCTCAGTCGATTCGGATTGTTGTTTTTTTTATTATTATTATTTTTTTTTTTATTTTTCTGAATTGTAGACATTATTTTAAGCATATTAGTTCAAAAGGTCCCTTCATCACTTGAACTTACTGTAGCAAGTTTATGGATTCTCTTTCCCTCCTGCCGTCTTCCTCTTTCGTCATGAAGCTACTTTATACTTTGAGGAACGAAGTATTCTTTGAATGTAAAGTAATTTTAAAACACAGCTCTCTCATGGCCAATGTCATACAATTAATCTTGTTCTGTGGTGCAAAGATTTGCAATTCAAGTAGTTCTACGATATTGTTGATGCCTAGTTGTTTTTTGCGCTACTACCATCATTATAATGCACACTGCTTTTAGTATTCTCGAAATATTGATCTCCTCTTTACAAGTACATATGGCTAAGAGAGGCGTTGATACAATTTCGACAATAGATTTGTATATTGATGGATGCACCAAGAGAGAATATAGCGTTTTTTGTGTACACCAATGCGCATAGAAAACCCGAAGCTAATCCACTCAAATAAAATCTGTATATTTTACAGTAGAAAATTGTTTCTAAGGGCTGACTTTTTTAGATGAGCTTAGAGATGTATTATATGAGAGGAGTATGGGAATGTGTGCGAAACCCAGCTCCAGTTTTTTGCCAGATTGTTTTCAAAGACAGATATGACCTACGCTGATTATTGTTTTTTCGCGAGTGAGGAGCTTGAATTGTTTACAATGTGAACTAAAATCATTATTTTCCCAATTAATGAGTAAATTTTGATACGTTCAACATGAAGGTCATACGTTCTGTGTGAAATTGATGAGGAAGCATGTTTATCAGAGATCTAATTTATACCCTCTTTTTGGTACCTCCAACTTAATCAGATTAACTGTTTAACAACAGCGTTTCCTTCGATGAAAAAATAGGACCTTGTTGTAATTGTTTTGCAATACCTGCATTGATGGAAAAATATTTACATTTGGGGAATGACTTTTGAGATTCTCAGTTCTTACTTAATACCACTGCACTGATCTTAGCTGGATGAAATGGTGATGCTTCAAAAAATTTATCTGAATTTCAACATTTCAGAATTTTTGCTCCTTTGTCATGTTTTTGAAGGGAAGCGAAGTAACGTTGTCCTTTGAAGTTTTTGAAGAACTTTTCCAAAGAAGAAAAATAAATTTTCAAGTAATAAATTTGATCATAGTTTACAATACAAAAGTAGCCGCCGACTGAGAGAAGGAGTCAAATGAGTGATCTTTTAAATCAATCTTTTTTTCAAAGTTGAAATGCGGCACATTCAAGCCACAACCTTTAGAAAATAGATATTGCCGCTTTCCTGGCCCCATCCCTAGCTGCTGCGTTTCATGTTATGGACTGTAGTGCACCACTTTTTAAATGTGAAGTTTGATGGGAAATTTGAGATGTTGTAAATCTAAATACGCGTCTATACTTGTGGATCACCCACTAGCACTGAAAATCTCTTTCATAAGTTAGTCTTCGAACAGAAGAAGTCAATAACTGTGTGGTTTTTTTTTTCTATTTCATCAAATAAGTATTTCTTAAGACCATGGTCTTTCCACTAAATTAATTTACACCGCTTAGAAATGCCCTTCTCCTGTAAGTCTTTTTTTTTTGTTGATTTAATCGAAAGTTCTGATTTGAAAACTCTAAACTTTTAGCGAAATATATCCATCCTGGGAATTTTTTTTAGCGCTTAGTTGTTTATCTCAGGAAATATTTTTCAATTTGTGAGAATAAATGAAAATTTAATTGAGCGTAGAAACAATGATTTGAAAGTTACAATCTAGTCTTTCTCCTCTGTTAGGTTAATCTATATACCCATCATCAGGGCAACATATGAATTTTTAAATTTTCGGATAGTTGAATTGTTGCTATAGAGGGTGCATTTTTGTGAATTCATTCTGCGAATGATGTTAAGGTGGCATTTTGCCTGGATTTCAATTAATGTAATCTTCTGTAGTGATATCTATTTTTTAATTTTAATAAATTTTTTCTTTTCAAAACTGATAATCTGTTGTCTTTTAATTATCGTCAGCAAAATGCTGAAAGGAATTTTCCAGCAGTGAAAAAATTGGAGGTTCAAAAATATTTCTTGTCACATTCTCATTTGGAGACGTCCGTTCCTGAACATTTCTGATCAGAAAATTAAGAGAAGAATCAATATTTTCGGCCTAATATGATTGGATAGGAGAAATCGTTTTGAGAGAAATTTACTTGGACTCTATAAAAATGAAATAATTGGAGTACTTAAATAATGGAAAAAAATGTATTTAAAGGAAACAAATTATGAAAAAAATGATCCAAAGATAGAAATTTGCTGTTAGCAAAATTCTGAAACGAAATTAATTTCCAAGTGGAATACAGGTTTTATCACAGGAGACACGTTAAGTGAGTCAATTGCATTTGTCACGGAATTTTCCTCAGATGGTTACAACTTGTAGGTTTAAAAAAAAATTGAAGAGCTGTCTGAAAGCCAAAGTTTTTGTGTTTACTATTGTCCAGAATATTGCCTCAGAGGGAAAAGAAGAAAAAAATGTATGACTTTATTCACAGAGGTAGTGTTTGCCATGATTTCTTCCTCCTTAAATTCATCCGTTGGAAAGAAACATACAATAAACTGTCTTAGAGGATGACGTAATTAACAGAGGTTTATGAGGGGCAATACTTCCGTTGATCTTCGTTGTATAAATTTCTTGTCCACGCAGATCATAATTTTATGAAACCCCACAGGCTGTAACCATCCAAATACTATTCTATCAAATGAAACTGACCCATGAACTTAAATCAAAATGAGGAACCAGAAATATTGATCTATAAAAATACAGATGAAATTTTACAAAGTGTACAATTACACATTTACAATACATAATAAATTCATGTTTTATCCGAAGTACATAGCAGGGACATCCTGAGAGATGAGGTACAGCGGTACCAAACCAAGTTTTTAATGACCAAACACTGAAACAATTTGAACAGTATTTTAAAATCTAATAAGTTAAAGGCTGCTTTGTGCACTTAGAATATAAGTTTCCGACAAGGAAAATCAAAATTTAACTTAATTACTCAAACATGATAATTACGATGAAGTGATTTGAATTCATATTAACTGTACAATATCTAGAAAGTAGAAGTTGGGGATGACTTATTGAAGCCTTTAATAACAACAATTATTTTTTCGGATAATTCATAAGATCCCTCTCAGTTTGATTTTGATAGAACTAAATAATTTTAAGATTAATTTCACAGCTTGACACCCAAATGGTAGCATTTTTGTGAAATAGATAGGTTTGGAGTCATTCATTCAGAAATAGGAGAGAAAAAAATTGGGAGGAAAGTGTCACAAAAAAAAATTAAAAATGAAATATTATCAAAAATAGAAAGAGGCCTCTCATTACAATGCCATTAGGAAATATAAGAATTGAATTTTTTTAAATCAAATGAATGTAGAGGAAGATACTCTTTTCTGTTAATTTGTGTTGCTTTAAATTTTTAGAGGACTTACATTTGCACATTAAAGCCCAGTGACTTCGTTCAAGCACAATACTTGGAGGGCCTTGATAGGGCACAGTGCGTGTGCAGGGAAGGAAACTACCACCAATACAGAGGGGCCCCCTAAATTTTTTTTTGAAAATTTACAATGACTATGACGCATTCTAATGCTGTTACAACTCAGGTTTTTTTTTCGTGAGGGCCCTACTGACTTTCATTTTTGAAGAGTAACTTGACGGAAATGAAAAAAAAAAATACCTAACTTGATTTTGAAAAAAGATTGTTGATCCCAAAAAAAAACAAGGCTTCGATTTTTTAAAGGGACAAAGCAGAGGATAAACGATGATAAGTTTCTCTAGTCATTAGAATCTGTACATATCCAACACATAATTTGGCTTACATTTTGCAATATGGATCCACTATCTCTGGCTCTTCCATAAAAGCACGTATCTTCATAGGGAAATCGATGGCACATATGTTATTTCTGAAATGAGCCAGAAATAGTGGTTCCTTGTTGCAAAATGTAATCCATTATTAAACCCTCTCTTTCGAACAGTTTTCTGTGACACAAGATCTGTAAACAAAACTGGACATTTTGGCAGCTCCAAAGTATACGAAATTTATTATCTGATGCGATAAGTTAAGAATTTGAGCACTTATTTGTACAAAAGTTGAAATACTTCAAGAGAGGGTTTTGATGTCAAAAATGTTTACATCATCAAAAGCGTTAAAAAGCAGTGCTCGATTACTCTTAGTAAGTAGGCTTAAAGTAGGCTTAACTTAAATTAACAGATTGTAGAGATTGAAAAATCAACGGTAAGACTGCAAAAATGCATAATTCAGTTGCGATGTTTCCAAATCTCTGTCTCTATTTTATTTTTAAAAAGGGAATCTCAAAAACATTATGGCTTGAATTGTTTACTGAGTGTTCTTCTTAAAGAGTGGGCCGCCGAAGTCTTCAAGAAAAGACGTTTAGTAGTTTGTATGTAGGAAATAAAATATGACAGGAAGTCAGCAATGCCACAAACCAAATTACACATTTCTGCAGTTTCACCGTCAAAACAGGATTGCTTAAAAATATAACAACAGCTGGATGCTGGCCAATTTTTCAATTTTACTTTTGTCAGTGGGACATGATTATAAATAGAGGTGAAGTTGTTTTATAAGATGGTTGAATCACAAGATTTCTTCATCATTCCTTTGTCAGACCCTTAAAATTTTTCATATTAAATTTTGTAAGAGTAGCCAAAGAACTTATTGTTGTCTGCCGATAAAGGAATCAGGAAACCTTACTAATTATTACCTCCACTCGATTTTCGCCTGGTCTTAACATGTCCCATTTACGAAGAACGAATTTCAATGAATAATATACTCTTCATCTTTCCAAAATCTACCCGAAGTTATATGTAATAGTACGGTAAAACTACGCACAAGAAATAGCTTTAATATAACCGATTTTCCGGACAGGCTCTTGCCCAATGACCTCTTCGCCCGCAGTCCCAACACCTACCGCCATCGTATTCATAATCAAAATGCCCCTCAACCGAGCTAGAATCAGTGTCAGAGTTCGAATCGCTTGAGTTTCTACCACTGTCGGAAGATAGGACAATAGTAGTATCTCTCTTCCGTTTTGAAGTTCTGGAATTTGATGCTGGTGGCTCTGAGCTTGATGTTGATGGTTGAGGCGAATCTGTAGGGTTGGACCTATTCAATCTCCGTACAGGAACAACAATGACATTGTCATCGTCGGAATCCGAGCTGACAGAGGTTGCATTCGCAGAGGCAGGAGTGGTTGAAGACTCATCTGGGATTTCAATCACTGCATCTTCGATGACGATAGGTTCTGATGTGGTGGGTTCTTCGATATCGACAACCTCATCAGGATTGCTAGACTCTGTGGGTACTCTCCGCCTTTTGGCCCGCAGACGTGCTGAGCTCCGGCTAGGACTTAAACTGAAACAATTAAAAAGATAAATGGCGACTTAGTATGCGTTAAAAACTAAAAAAGTAAATTAGCTGCTCCCGCATAAAGTTTAAAAATGAGATTAAAGGAAGATTTGAAAGACAGAGGTGAAAAATTTTTGAAAGCTCTGCAAGAATGTCAGACGTATTTTGACTCAAACTAAAAATGATTTATGGCGCTGATAATTGCAAATTGACGGCCAAATTGCGAAACCATGTGCCCCTGTTTGCAACGTTGCAAACTTCCTGTCAGACTTTATTTTTTCTTTGGGAAAGGGGTCCAAATAGTTTCTTGAAAACTTTCTTGATTTTTATTTTCGGTTAGCAGGCGGAGTATTCTGTATGAATCTAACGCTATAAAGTTGGCTTGCTTCTCTTTGAACAAATTAGGAGAGGGGATTTTGAAACTCCGCAATGGAGGTATCGAAACTCGAAAATCATCGAAATATTTTCAATTATGCAAATAAAGAAAGACATGATTTCTCAGTATAGCATAGTTTGCAAATAATCTTAAATCTGTGTCAAACACTTGATTGGAACAGAATAGAGATACCAAGCCAAGAAACTCAAGTAGCTCAATGGAACAAAGGTAAAACTGACATAATTTTGCAGTTTAATGCAATAAAATTGAAATTTTTCCCCTATTCTTAAGACGAAATTGCGACATTTTTAAATCATTTGGTCAATAAATGACAATTTTAAGCGATCAATGAAATGAGCGCCATGAATGAGAAAGATTCCTTTGCAATTTTTTTCACTTTTATTGCAATGAATTTCAAACAGAGCCCCTTCAATCGGTGAGTAGACAACCTACACAACACTTGGATACAAAGGCAATAATTTTTCCTTGTAATTGCGATCTATTACAACCTGCGCTACTTGGGAAGGAACCTCTTCATTCTCTTATGAGCCACATCAAACACTGATTTCTTCTTTTTGGTAATACGAGGTTTCATGTCCAGTTTCCAAGAAAGAGTGGTTGGGAATGGACAGCTGAAATATGCCGCTGAACAAAATGGACACACTTATACTGAATTTAAAAAGAAACCTCATTTTAGTGCAAAATATGTGATATTTTGGTAATTGTTTAATTTCATGGAAGATTCAACAAGATCTTAAAAATATTAATAGTTTTTTTTTTCTTCGCAAATTAAATTTGTGAGCTCCATTCAAAATCTAGGACTAGTCAATCAATTTCTGATGGAAAAAAAAAACAGCTTTCTCTTAGTAGAATTCACCCATCAAAATGACTCTATTTGAATATGAATACATACACTGAGGGATATTTTCATTATTTATTTATTATTTTTTTTCGGGAAATTTTTCTTTTACAGGAACTGGTGTTCTGCATGTCACAGTGTTGTGTCTGATCCTGCGAATTTGTAGAAAATGATGAAAACAACTTCAACTGCTCTACATACATAATATTACACAGATTGCTCTCTGAAAAATATTTTACACGAGGTCATTCACTGCCTTGGCGTTGGAGTGTAGCATGATGTCTTCCACCTTCGATTTATTGAGTTTGGATGCTCACATTTGAACTGAGTCTTTTGCTGAATTGAGTTGATAAAACCGCGGTGAGAAAGACCGCAGTATATACTGCAGGTTGTCAATTTCTGTGTTATCCAAGGGGCATACTTACGTTCATATTGAGTTTAGAAACTTAATTTTCCGACAGATGTTAGGTATTTTCAATTTTCAGAAAACGATTCTACGACTACCATGCCAACTAACTGGACCGAGTTTAGCCAAAAGGACCTAAGTTAATACCAACGTTCATAATGCACTTTTTTGTGAAAGAATATTAAGAGGATAAGATGTTTCTGAAATAAGTAAAGAAGGTGACTCCCTTCTGCCAAACTCAGTCCATGTCATCATAACAATCCTCTATACAAGCATTTGAAATGGAATAAATTCATTGCATCAGTGCAGAACAATTACATTAAAATCTTTAACATGGGTGATATGTCATGGAGGCTGCTTGTTATTAAAAGATGTGGTAGACCTATTTTGTTTGCTGTAACAATTTTTAAAAATGCCCAAAATTCTCTCTTTCATTGTTACAGTATATTAGTGAGCGGAATCGAGTCTCTTGCAAAAATTTTACACACGACTTAGCAGCAACAACTGTTATGACAACAGTGCTTAACAACTGGAATTAACACCGAAATTATAAAAAGAAACGTAACTTTACTTTTCTCTTCTGTTTGATCATGGGTTGTGAAAAAGTTCCATGAGAATGAACTTTTTTTCGACCTAGACTGTTGTGTTTGAGGTAACAGAGGAAACATATTTCAGAAAAATTATGACCTGTGTTACTTTTCCATGCTTAAGGAGCAATCAATGAGAGAACAGTTGAGTACAATGAGGTTACAAACCCTGTAGTGATTTCTGAAACTTTCTTGGAGGACGTTCTCAAAGCAAAATTTTACACAACCAAATGTTTCGACAGCATTATCACATTTTTTCAATTAAATAAGCCTTACCCATTCATAATGAATGACAATTAAATAAGATAGGGATTTTCAGCACTGTCACAAAACTGTTACACCAAGCAAAATACATCTATTTATAGCACTATTTGAGTCACTAGAGTGAAGTTACGGCCTTTTAAACAGGTTACATCACATTTAATTCTATTCATGAAAAAAACATCACATTCCAGCGAGAGGCTTTGTCCATAATTGTTGTATGCTAGACACTTCAATCTAAAAGACAAGTAAAGGCAAAGGCTGAAACTATTGAAAGAGAAAAAGCGTTTAGACTAGATTCCATTTTCTTTTGTAGTGATTTTGTCTGCAAAGCTGACAGGGAGGAAAAATCGTGACCAAAATAACAAAACTTCCTTTCAATCAACTTTCACATTTATTTAGCAAAACTAATGTCCGGACAAAGTTAATGAGGAACAGTGGGCTGAAATATTTACACAACATTCTTAGAAAATAAATTATACGAATTTCAACATAACTGGGTAACCTTTTGTCTGGCTAACAAAGTTTACTCAAAAGAGAGCAAGAGAAGAAAAGAAAATTAAATAAGAATCAATTCAGAGATTTGACGTTCACAGTTGGTAATTGGGAAGCACAAAAATGCGCAACGTAGACAGATAAGATGCTCTATTGTCATATCTGAATACCACCAATAGACCTTATTTCAATTTATGAAGTAGATTGATCGTGGCTCTTTGCTTTAACGATCAAACATTTTCTGAATAGAGAATTAGAGAATAGGAGGAGGAACGTAAATATTTCAAAAAATTATCATTTGCCTCATTAGTTCAACAAGTGAAACAATTAAGGCACAAAATTGAGGCATTTTTTATTTGTATTTTCATGTATTGTAAGGAGCGCTTATTTATGTTAACGGCTATTTATGTCAGCATTAAAAACAGGGATTTTGGCATGATCAAAAGTAAACCATCCATACATCAAACATGGAATGGCTCAGAACAAAATGAGATGAACCAAACAGAAAGAGCCAATAACTTCACTTACAGAACTTCACTACAATATTTCGCAATGACTGAGTTTCATAGACACTTGAACAACTAATCATGAGTTAGAAAATAACAATTTTCAAGAATTGACACTGCACAGTTAAGGATACATAAATTACACCGGTCGAATTGGAATTATACCTAAATATAAATCTTCAAGTTTGGAAAAGATACATGTTAGAGTCTTTACCACACAATTCAGTAGATATTGAAATTTACATTGAGTATAAATGCTTGAATATAAAATGCACAAAATTGTTCAACAGGGAGGTTAACTGAGTGCTAAAATCGTGACGACAGATTGAAGAAAATATATGCCTGATGAAGTTAAGGGCCTCTTTCACTGGTCAAAGTATAGGTAAAAAAAAAATATCAGCGAATTTACCATTCAATTTCCCCCGGAATTATTCTTTACAGTAGAAATGTTACTGAAAGAGGAGGCTGAGTACACATGATTTTTCTTATAAGATGGCTATGTCACAGGGAAAAATCAGGAACGCGTCCAAAGCATCTCATACAGAATGAAAGGTAGGGTAGGGTAGTTTTTCAAAAGGTTTTAGGGTTATTTTTTGACATTGTTTAAGAGACAAAGGACGGATGATGAAGTAATTTGGTACTAGTCAAGGTCCTTTATTTTTTTATTTACATGGATTCCTTTACGCACTTCTACACAAGCTAGTGAACTAGTTTCGAACTAACTGGGCTGATTTTTGTGATGCAATTTCGAGCAAGTCAGCACTTGACTGGAAAAAGCAGGAATTTTTGCAGCATCTGTTTCATTTTCTAGAGAACAAAGGACTCTTCTTGATAATCAATTTGTTACTGGGACATTTTGAGCACAGAATGCATTAAAAAAAGCAGACAAATTCTCTCTGTAGTCCCTATCATCTTGAACTATGTGCTCAGCAAGCTTAGGTTTAAAGTTCATTGGGCTTGGAAGGTTATACAGAACATCTTACTAAAACAATAAGAATATTCATAATTCATTCGTCACCCGTGCGATGTCCTTTTTTTTAAATGAAGCATGATTTCAAATATTCTACATTAACTATTCTGGGGGTTAAAAAGCTTAAACAAAAGGATACAAAATGTATAACTTAGAAAATACAAAAAAAGATCTTCAGATCATCAAATGTGTGACACAGATTTTAGGTATTCATTACTAGTTGGAGAAAATCACCAAACAATCCTGCGAGATCTCTGAATAAAAACATTCACACATGATGAATTCATTTCTAAATTTAAAACGAATAGGAAAAGAAAATTAACTTCTATAATGCGAATGATGGAGGAATTACAACCACAATAAAGGGATCAAATTAATTCAATTTTTTTTCTTTTTTAAAACATATGGCACCTGGAATGATGCTTGCCGTAGAATTCTGCATAGAAACAGATTTTCTAACAAATTGTTTTACTGTTTGGCAAAAGTTATCTTGAGCAACAATAAAGAAAAATAGAATGATTACTTAAAGGAAGACAAGTACATCCTTTCTTTTCTATTCAATATTAAGTCAGATTCTATCCCTCAAGGAGGTAGTATATTACAGATTGTTCAGGATCGATCTGTGACATTATCGATTTTAACATTATCACAGATCATATGAAACTTGCAAATGCTGTTGGTGGAGTATTACTTAATTCTACAGGTAGGAGCATTTGTATTTTTACTGATAGATAAACGTTACTCTAAACTCTTACAAAGGTGTGTCTCTTTAGTAGATTATTTATCAAAAGATAGGCACTCAAAAGACGTTGAACAGATGTAAAGAAGAGTGTTTATCCTCGGGATTGAATTAATTTTTGAAAATCTGGGCAAAAGTACTGGAGATTATTATTTGGAGCGTCCTGGAATTGGGATACATCTTAGTCTAACTGTCTGGCAATGTTAAATCTGATGTCATATTTATGCTTTGTTTCTAGGGGACTTTGGTTGGGTCAAAAAGACTGACAATGTATCGTGTGATGTAAAGTATTGTACATCTTTCAGTAAGAAAAGTAACTGAAAATTGAAATTAGTAGCTCACCTATGGGTTGAAGATGAACTTGAGCGAGAACTAGCCACAGGCGTAGATCTTCCGGCTAGAGCAGCTCTTGCAGCTGCCAAGACAGCATTGTTTCTGTCAGTAGATGATCTACTAGCTGAAGAGCTTGATGCTGCACGAGGATTTGACGGTGTTCTGGGTAATATGTTAGGTCTGTTTTGCGTTAGATCAATGCTTCCTAATAGACGAACACCTGATATAAACGGTCCTCTAACATTAGGACCTCTTGCTAATGAAGGGTGTGCAGAAGCTATCATACCGGTGCTCGTTACAGGAACTGCAACTCGAATCGTTTGGGCGGTTGGTGCTCGTGGCATTGATGTGTTGAGGCGAGATAATGTGTTGATGTTAGCAACTTGGTATGTACCACCGTTGGTCGTAATCACATGAGGAAGGATGACAGAAGAGGAGGCAGGAGTGACGGAAGCAGTCTGGCTTGTAGACCCATTTCCTGCGATTGAAAGGAAAAAATTTCAAAATATCACATATATTATAATAATGACTTCGAACAGCAAAGTTTTGCATTCAGGTGCAAAAAGATATTTCTATTAAGGAGGAAAAAGTTCAAGGGGAGGCTATGACTAACATTCGATCTCCAGGCTCTCTTCCTTCCTTGTCAATATTATGGAAATAAAATCATCGAAAATTATGATTACCACTGTTATTGCCTGATCTAGTTCATGATGAATAACCACCGTCATCAGAATCATTAGAATCAGAATCATCATCATGTTTGTCATCAAAATCAAAAGAGAACCCATCAGAATCATGATCATCATCATCTTCATCCTCCTCCCCTTCCACTTCATCATCTAATGGTGATGATGATGATGATGATGAATTATCCCTTCCCCTTGTATCGTCATGGTCACTATCATCAGTATCTCTGTCATCATCATTATCGGTATCTCTGTCATCATCATTATCGGTATCTCTGTCATCATCATTATCGGTATCTCTGTCATCATCATTATCGGTATCTGTGTCATCATCATTATCGGTATCTCTGTCATCATCATTATCAGTATCTCTGTCATCATCATTATCGGTATCTCTGTCATCATCATTATCGGTATCTCTGTCATCATCATTATCAGTATCTCTATCATAGTAATTATCAGTATCTCTGTCATCATCATTATCAGTGTCTCTGTCATCATCATCATCATCATCATCATCATCATCATCATCATCATCATCATCATCATCATCATCATCATCATCATTATCATCATCCTCCCATCCTTCCACTTCGTCGTCCACATCCTCCTCCCCCTCCACTTCGTCATCTCCCTCCCCCTGATGTGCTCTTCCTCGTTGTTCTTCTGAAAGAAATTAAATTATTAAGAAAGTTATACAGTCTGAGAGTAATGTTGGATGATGATAATGATGAATTATCCCTTGTATCATCATGGTCACTATTATTAGTATCTCTGTCATCATCATTATTGATATCTCTGTCATCATCATTATTGGTATCTCTGTCATCATCAGTATTGGTATCTCTGTCATCATCATTATCAGTATCTCTGTCATCGTCACTATTGGTATCTCTGTCATCATCATTATTGATATCTCTGTCATCGTCATTATCAGTATCTCTGTCATCATCATTATCAGTATCTCTGTCATCATCATTATCATCATCATAAAATCTTGACAAACAGGGAAATACAGATAAAATCATCCTTGCTACATCGAGAGAAGTTTCATCATCATCATCATCATCATCATCCTCCTCCTCCTCCTCCCATCCTTCCACTTCGACATCCATATCCTCCTCCCCTTCCACTTCGTCATCTCCCTCCCCCTGTTGTGATCTTCCTCCTTTTCCTTCTGAAAAGAATTAAATTATTAAGAGAGCAATAAAGTCTGAGAGCAATGTTGGAAGGCTAGAGATTGTGCAAAGCAAAAGGAAAAAAAATTATTGAGGCCATGATGAGGATGAGCATTTGTCCGTCGCATTGAACAAATTAGTTAATCGCATTGAACAGATTAGCTTCCATAGAAAATTTACATACAGGACACAATTTTACATACAGGGACTTCGTTCTCATGTAAAGTTTTTATTGAGAAGGCCTTGAACCTAAATTTTCCTTGAGTCCAGCTGGTTTACTAAAGTTGGCCTCGGTGGTTAAATGACCATAGTTCCTGATATAGGATAAGTCTCCTGGAGAGGACCAGTCCGGTCCAGCCCGTGTTATGGCAAGCTTTGAACGTTTAATATTTGGTGTTTTCAGAAATTTAAGCTTAGAATTTTTATTAAATTATTTTCTTCTGAGAATTTTTGGTATGCTTGCTAATTCTTGCTATTTTCAGGAAATATATAAGCTATCTCAATAGAGGCGACATTTTGAAGGAAGGGAGAGAATTCTTAAAATCTAGGCATTCCATAATTAATACCTGTTGAATTTAGTACAGGTCGAGGGTTAGTTTGATTATAATTTTATTCCATTTTTGTGGATGTACTTCTTTACTTGGCAAATTAAAAAGAGTGATCCAAAAGTCCCTTGCTGTTTCTCTGGCTCCAAGTGTTCTTGCCCCTTTTCAAGGTGAACCCCTTGAAATTTTTTGGAGTCCTTGTAGTAGTTTCTTTTGACCTAGGTGCACCTAAAAAATTTCAAGTCTCCATTTCAATTTATCCGCAAGTTACAGAGATGATGCCCAAAGCTGGAGGTGCGCAACTTTTGGATCACCCTGCTTAGACTCTAAACTCTTCCCTTCATTGGAGCTTTATGCAGCTATGCAAATTTTGTAATAGTGTATGGGTTTAATGGGATGAAAATGAACACTTCTGAAATTCTTTACCTGCTCTTTCAGCAATGAGTTGCTTCCTTCTCTGTTGCAGGTCCTCTGACAATTTGCTGACCATTTTATCAATGAACGAATCCCAGATGAAAGCTCTATTTTCAGTCTTGATTTTGGCTCGACAGACAGGACACTCCTTCTTCCTTTTTTTCCACTTGTTCAAGCAATATGCACAAAAAGTGTGCATACATTGTAGCACCATTGCCTGAAATTAAGATAAAATAAAATTACCTTCAAGTGACAGAGACCTTTTTGTCTTGATAGAGTCTTCACAAATGATTATTGAAGACACACAAATAAAGCAATAGCAATTCTTATATTTTTCGCTAAAATTTTTAAAGACAAAATATTAGAACAGGTTTATCATATGCCAACGGTAGATTTCAAATTAACGGCATGCCAAAATGTGAATTCGGCACTTTTCCATTATTTTACGCTGAAATACATAAAATTGTGTTTGAGAACACATCTGGCACAAAATCGATTAAAATGCAGTTATTTGGTCAAAAATTGACAGAAATCAGAAATTTTCGTCAATAATTAGAATTAACTGTCGGGTACCACTGGCTGTTCGTTAAAATAATTTACAACTGGGTATCCGATCTTAAGTGTCATTCATAATTTCTTAGGCACTATTGTAATGGATAAATCGTCATATTTGAATTTCAAAAGTGAATGGAATGGCCTATTATGTGGGTTGTATTCATATAAATAAGTGAATAAATACAGTTTTGAGCCAGTGAGTCCACCAAACGAATAATACATAGGCTGTCCCAAAACAACTGAGAGTAAGTCTGTATTTCAGAAACAATAATAGATATTGAAACGCGGTTTGTGGGAGGTTGTAGCTCATATCCTTAGCTATCCAACGAGCCCAAGATTTGCTATTTTGGTCAAAATTTCGCTGAGTTACAGCAATTTTTTGGAGCCGTGTAAAATAGAACCCTACAGGATTTTTGAGTATTTTTTTCCTTGTCTGAACTGTTGTTCCGAGATCGTAACTTTGCGGATCACGTTGGCACTGGTCTAGATGCAAAATCTAACATGTTTGCATGTGCTTTCATTCCATACCAGAGTTTTCTTCAACTTCCCAGCTCAGGGAAGCCAACATTGTCCAGCGTTAATGACACTTTCTTCCTCCGCCGCAGAAGTTGACGGCCGGCCGCCGTGCGGAATCAAAGCCGCCGACTCGCGACCCTTGGAAAAAGCTGCATGCCACCGATAAATGGTGCTCTCCCCAAGTCGATTTTCTCCATAAGCAACTAACATCTCTTTCACGGTATCAGAGACAGTTAAACCTTGGTAAACACAGTAACGGATGGCATAGCGTTGCTCTTGTTTCAGCTCCGCGGGCGAACTCATTGCACCAAACGAGAACACGTGTCATTAACGCTAGACAATGTTGGCTTCACTGAGCTGGGAAGTTGAAGAAAACTCTGATATGGAATGAAAGCACATGCAAACATGTTAGAACTTGCATCTAGACCAGTGCCAACGTGATCCGCAAAGTTACGATCTCGGAACAACAGTTCAGACAAGGAAAAAAAATACTCAAAAATCCTGTAGGGTTCTATTTTACACGGCTCCAAAAAATTGCTGTAACTCAGCGAAATTTTGACCAAAATAGCAAATCTTGGGCTCGTTGGATAGCTAAGGATATGAGCTACAACCTCCCACAAACCGCGTTTCAATATCTATTATTGTTTCTGAAATACAGACTTACTCTCAGTTGTTTTGGGACAGCCTATGTAATTAACTTCTTTTATGATGGCTACATTGTAATTGATGCAACACTGATCCCCTTTCATGTAAAACTCGAAAAACAACTCAGATAATATCGGAATTTTATTATATACTGAAGAGTTATCATTACTCTGACTGCTAAGGCTTGGAAAATCAGAGCATCACGATTTTAAGAGAAGTTTTCGACCTCTAGATATTCTGATTTTTCAAAAGATCACCAATGACTTCACTGTAGTTTTCAAGTTAATGATAGTCAAAGATACTGACCTCTATATACAACTCATTGCAGATACTGCACTGTAGTTCTGACTCCACAACTTCACCAAAACTTTCGAGTAACTCCGTTTTGGCTATTAGATAACTAGAACCAGCCGTGTCTTTCAACTGTTTCTCCAGTAGAGACTGTTTGTCCAAGTTCTGAATCAGGTCCGACTTCACCTTGTCTAGTTCCTCCGTCATTTTTTTTATGTTTTCCTCGTACTCGCCGTCTTTTTTCAATTGCTCGGCTGAAATAAAAGGAACAATTAATATATTTGCAGCAAATTTTCATATTCTAAGCGGGGTCATTCCATGTCAATTCAACCAAAAAAATGGGAAAATGGCACCCACTGACTCGTTTTTTTTAATATTTTTTTTACTCATTCTATAGATCAATATAAGAGAAAGTACCAATATTTAGCTTCATATGTCGAATGCTTTTTGAGAAAAAAATTATTGAAGTTCTATCGTCTTTCATAAAAATGCACTCTTCAGATTTCAAAAACGACAGTACTTTGCCTTCGAAAAAGCCTCATAATTTGTTTAATTTTTAAGATTTTGAGCTAAAACTTGGCACACTGGTTCATGGTAGTATGTATTCAAAGGGAAAAATTCCCACTTGAACCTAACATACCCTGGAGGACAAAATAAGTTAAATATACCCTTTTTTTGCCCTGATTTTTGGCTGTAGTACCTTGATTCCTTAAAATGAGCATTACCATGTGAGCTAACAACATATTTAATTTTTTTATTTGGTGAGAATCATCGTTAGAATGTGCTCTGATAGTATCTGAAATGAAAATCCTGGGTATTTCACTTTTTCTCTATCAAATCGCCCTATAAAGCAAAAAATGCATGAAAAAGCTAAAAAAGCAAGTTTTTACGGCTGTTTCCCATCAAATCCTTTTGAGGCTTAGCATCTCATCCGAAATTCACCTAAATTCTTTGTTTCCACTAATTTTGCTTTAGGAATCCTTAAATTTTCTTACCATCCACACTTAATCACTCATCGTAGCAAACACTGCATGAAAAAAATCTTAAAAATTAAAAAAATTATGAGGCTTTTTCGAAGGCAAAGTACTGCCGTTTTTGAAATCTGGAGAGTGCATTTTTACGAAAGACGATAAAACTTCAATAATTTTTTCTCAAAAAGTATTCGACATATGAAGCTAAATATTGGTACTTCCTCCTATATTGATCTATAGATTAAGTAAAAAAAATATAAAAAAAAATCTTAGTCGGTGGGTGCCATGGCCTCGTTGAATTGACATGGAATGACCCAGCGTTGGAATGAGTAGTAGGACAGATTTAACTGCAATCAGCCTGACTACATCAAACATTGTCTTCTTTACTAGAGTTCTTCATGTTTCACAAAAGAGGAATCAATATTCTGACTTGAAATTATGTGAGTATTTTCTTCATGCACCAATTTGAATATTGATGGAGAAACTACTAGACAACAAATCTCGTTTGTGGTGTTCTCTCTAAATCTCTAATCCCGTTTTTTTTCCCTGAGGAGAACAAAGAAAAATTATTCCTTGAAGTGTTCACGAAGTTTTCTGCGCCCAAGGAGGGAAAATCACAGAGGATTTCAAGAATAGACGTTGAATAGTTTTTAATTTAAAAAATATGGTATGACAGGAAGTCTGCAACATTGCTAACTGAGACATGAGGTCTGGTAGTTTCACCATCGATATGTATACATTGATTCCAAATGCAAAAAATCTGAAAATAAATTTTTTTAATCAACTTAAAAAAAATTTTGACAGTTAATTTTTCAATCCTTAAAAAATCTGGTGACTTATTTTTTCAATTTTGAAAAAACCTCATAGACCTACATTTTTTCAATCCATTAAAACTGTGCAAGTACAGAAAGGGAATATATTTTTTAACTGTGTATTATTTACCTGTTTCCTTCAGGGCAGTCTCTTTTTCCGCTAGTGTAGCTTTTATTCTCTGGAAAAAGAAAGGAGTAGATAGGTAAAATAATGTGAAATGTGAAATATTTAAAAGCATAGACATGACATGATCGACATTGATGAATTCTTGATAGATATAGTGCATCATCAATCAGCTGAGAATTTCTTGGGGAAAGACATAGAACATAGGCAAAAAAATATCAAGAGACGTATAAATCTTGAGGATTGAAACATTTCGGCTGTTGAAATATTAAAAAAGAGGTACTTATAATAGCTTAAAATAATTATGTAAACCTCAGAATGGAAAATCATGCTTATCGAAGGGTTTTCAAAATAGGCAAGGGTCTACTTTGATGTTATTCACATGGTTGTGGACAGCAAAATGATAACATAACTAGACAGTCACACTAACATAGATAGATTTTGAACCCTGTTTATTGCAGTTACGAACGAAGAGCATCAGCTTGGAATGTAAAAATAAGAGACCACTTACTTTATCTGGATTTATGCAAATTAATGTCATAACTTGGAAACAACTTAACTAAATTGGTGTCTTGGTTTTTTATATTATTTTGTTTTAAATAAAAATTGTGTAAAAAGGGGGGGGGACTAAAATACAATCAACAACAGTAATTAACAACAAACTTGCTCTTGTTCAGGATTATATTTTCTTGGGATTTAGATTATTATATTAAATAAAATAATTAATTTACAGATTATTTTATTCTAAATGAACATGCAGGGTAAAAAATTCTGATTTAATGTTTGTTTTCTTTCGGAAAAAAAAGTTCTGCCACATTCTTCTTGATACACCTATCTTGGAAACTTTTGAGGACATACAAATAGATGAGTAAAAAATACTCCACAAACCTCTGCTTCTTCTTCCAATTGTTTACGTTCTTCTTCTTTCCGTAATTTCTCATCCTCTATTTTCTTTACTGTTTCTTCTAACCCTTTCAGTTTGTCTTCTAATTCAAGTTTCTCCTGTGATATAAAAATAAGAATTATCTTTACAGACTAATTTTTTTTTTCATTACTTGCCTAATAGCTCTGATGTTCTATCAGACATTTCGAAAAAATTGTTGCTTCAGGTGTTTTTATTGCCAACTGGCAAGTTAGAAGTTTGCAAAATTCAGTATCTACATTCTGTAAATCTACAATATCCTGAAAAGAAAGCTTAGAGGATCAGGAAGACTAGGATAGACAAAGATACTTCCGCTGATCATAAAAAAGTATTGTCTCTCATTGGAAAATCCAGTGTTGCTCCGTTTATCAAACGATTCAAGAGCTTAATTCAGGATTGCCACAAAATTTAGAAAATGAAATTCCCTGACAATTGAAGATATGCAAGATGGCTAAAAAGGCATAATTTGAAATAGTTTTCAGGCAAAATTTGTAGTTTGAAACGTCAAACCTAGAAGGCAAATAAAGGTGACTTAACAATTTTTTACTGACACTTTCGTCATAATCTCTAACTGATGAAAATTCCCTGAAATGACTCGTTTTTTGGTATTCCCTGACAGAGGCAACCATGTCAATTTTATGATGCATGAATGAAAAAAAATCAAAAGGTCCTTTTCAAAGGACAATTCTGGCAAAGGCAATTTCTGAAAAATATTGTTTAAAGTGTGAAACCAGATGGGTTGGACTGAGTGATTGAATTTTGAGTGACAACATATTTGTGGTCCTTTACGGAAAAACGGACCCTCAAAGATGAAAGGATTTAAAATTCAGAGAAATTCACCATTTTATAAAAGGGGAGTTTCTCCCACATTTTGATCTTAGAAATGCTTCAGAAAGTCAAATCAAGCCTGAATGATGTTGGTTTCAATTTATCAATCTAAAATATTTAGTTTTAAAAAAGAACATTTCAAGTTATAATCTGTCATATTCAGGGATTGACATAGTTAAATAAATAATGATGCAAATATTCACATCTTTTGACAAGATATTTAACTAAACTGCTCACAACTCTCCTTTCAAAGAAATAGAGACTTTTCTGTCGAAAACTTGAATTCTGATTTCTTGATCCAATTTGCCAAAAATCACCTCCTAGAAAATTTGCATCTGTAGAGAAAGGTTTGATTTCAATCATTTACATCAAAAATTTACAGGGTGTACCAAAAGTCCGTCCCACCCCTGCTAACTTGTGAACGAATTGAGCTAGGGTAATGAAACTTTGGGAATGTTCCTACCTCAAAGGAGACCATCTTTTGGGGGGGTCAAAATTTTGGTCCCCCCTCAGGGGGGACGCAGGGGGCCCCCAACTTTTTTTTTTCAAATGGCAACCCCTATCTTAAGATACCTCATTCGAAAGAGCATAAAAAACTAAGAATTTTGGCGCAAACTGCAGATCAATATCTTAATTTATGACCGAGTTATGATAGGTCAAAGGTCAAATTTGACCTATTTTCAAAAAATCATAACTCCGGTTCAAATTATCGTAAAGAAAAAATAAAACGGGAAAATTTACCAAATTGTGTCTGCTTTTAAGTAAAAATTACAGAAATCACTCCGATTTAATTTTAAGGGGGGGCTCGGACCCCCGAATACGTCAATTCAAAGGTCATTCAATTTTCCCGCGAAATAAGCTAATTTCCGCTAGATTTGCCTCCACATTATCTCAGTAAGGTCAAAATCCGTTCAACATTACGTCGGTAAGTCCCCAAATTTCGGGAAAAGTTAAAAAAAAAACGAAATTTAAACGGTCAAATTAAATCACCTTAAATTTCGTTTTTTCAACTTTTCCCGAAATTTGGGGACTTGCCAACGTAATGTTGAACGGATTTTGACCTTACTGAGATAATGTGGAGGCAAATCTAGCGGAAATTAGCTTATTTCGCGGGAAAATTGAATGACCTTTGAATTGACGTATTTGGGGGTCCGAGCCCCCCCTTAAAATTAAATCGAAGTGATTTCTGTAATTTTTACTTAAAAGTAGACACAATTTGGTAAATTTTCCCGTTTTATTTTTTCTTTACAATAATTTGAACCGGAGTTATGATTTTTTGAAAATAGGTCAAATTTGACCTTTGACCTATCATAACTCGGTCAAAAATTAAGATATTGATCTGCAGTTTGCGCCAAAATTCTTAGTTTTTTATGCTCTTTCGAATGAGGTATCTTAAGATAGGGGTTGCCATTTGAAAAAAAAAAGTTGGGGGCCCCCCGCGTCTCCCCTGACGGGGGACTAAAATTTTGACCCCCCCAAAAGATGGTCTCCTTCGAGGTAGGAACATTCCCAAAGTTTCGTTGCCCTAGCTCAATTCGTTCAAAAGTTAGCAGGGGTGGGACGGACTTTTGGTACACCCTGTATGTATGCCCTAAAATTCCACTGCTCTTAAGACCTCAATTTCTTACAAAGAACATAACGTTAATTCTTTATCTTGATTGCATGCATATGCTCATTCTAATCGTTCCGTGTTTTTCAATGAATTTTGAATGAAAACTTACGATGCACACAAAAACATTAAGTTCTAATCATTTTGCCTTTACTGCAAAATAGTAAGACAGAGAAAGTGAAAAAACTTACATCCTTAAACTTTTGTTCAGCCAAGAGTTTTTCTTGGGCCAATTTCTCTTCTAACAGAGCTCGCTCTTCAGCTAATTTTTTCCTCTCTAAATTGTCTGTTTTAATTTTTTCTTCTAATTCTTCTTTCTCCTTTTGGTATTGTGCCTCGAGCATTTGAATGCGTTCTTGCATTTTCAGCTCCAACTCCTCCTTTTCTTTTTTCATCCTCTCTTGTTCTAACTCGTTGGCCATCAGTTTAGCCGCAATAGTCAACGCTTCTTTTTCTTTTTCCTGTTCCTCTTCCAGCCTGTGAAAAAAAAAATAGATTAGAGAACATGCAAATATTATGTAATACTTTATATGCACTTATACTTGCAAAATGTATACTCTATAAAGGGAGGAGAGGTTCTCAGATTTAGCACTATGCAATTATCAAAATCGAAAATCGTTAAGAAGCCAGAACATAGATGGCTATCTTTCTTCCTATTTTTTGGGCAAAATGGAACTTATTCAAGCCACACACACACACCCTCCCAAACACACACACACCTCTCTATGGATATTCTTGGCAATTTCACTTGCCCGAGCTAAAAGTGGACTTCAAAAGAAACTGGAATCTGCATGGGAGTAAGGTTATTTTTATGATTAACGCTTCCTATGATTCGTTAAAAAAATTCCATCTGAATATTTCAGAGACTTTTTGGGTTATTGACAACATGCCCAAGATTATGATCATTATTTGGTTGCTTCCCTGAAATTCACTGAATGCAGAAAAAGGTTATTTTGGAGGTTTCCTCTTATTTACATTGAAGTTATTTCTTCAAATTTTTACGGGAATTGTGCCTTTCTCGAAATACACCTGGAATGATGAAATTGACTGAACTTACGCTCTCTTTGCTCGTTTGCGTTCTAACTCGATGTCAGGAGCATGAAACCTGAAACTAAAGTTTCTCTTATCACTGAATTCTATCAAATCGTTCGTGTTCAATTCGATTACTTCTTCAGGTTTGAGACGTATACCATTTATCCATGTTGAGCTTCTATCGCCAGCCTGGGATGAAAAGTACAAGAAAAAAAAAATAAGTTGAGATGAGGTGAAAGAGTCGGATAATAGATTACAAATTGCTATTGACAGCTCCTTGGTACTACAGTATGGAGTCTGGAAAAACATGGTGAGAGAAGTTCTACAGCCAGCATACCCACCGTTAACTAAAAGTGTGTCACTGCGATCAGTGTGATTTAAATTTTTTTTATTATTATAAAGACAAGGCTTAAGTAAGTTGCTGCAATTCTTGCAGGATTAAAATAGATAGCTAAATGAGTAAATTAAGATATTCCGACGAATATCAAGAATAGGTCAATGGAATAGGATATTCGAATTATCAGCACCGAGATAATTGCATCACATTCGGATATTCGCTTCCGAAGTATTTGAAATCGCAAATTCGATAACCATCCATCCCTATTGTCAATCTCGTTATTAATTAAAACTCGTACACAACTCCACACAGGAATGACTGACCATCTTAGTTAAAAGTGTCATTCATCTCTCACGGTTCATAAAAAATAAAAAATCGAAGCAATAACCGAAAATATTCGAATATTTGCTTCCGAAGTATTCGCAATCGCAAGATTCGAATTCTCAAATAATAACAATGAGTGATAGAGGCAAATTATTGAGTAATTACTTTACAGTATCTAGAACAACGTTCAAGTGAGTTAAGAATTGTGGAAGGAGTGTCAAAAAATCTGAAAAGAAGTGTTACATGATTCAAGGACAGCCCCTTGACCATCTCTGATAAAGTTTGTAAGTTTGTGAATGCTTACCAAGTGATGTAGAAACCAGGAACTTTCAGAATTTTCTTTCAGCTTTTTCTTCACAATACAATGGTTCCTCGAAACGAATGTATCTGGAATACTTAATGTGGCATCCTGCGACCTGCCCACAGAAAACTGAAACCAAAGAGAGAGCAAAATGACTCACAATCAGTTGAAGGGAAGGCTCATCTAACTTTTGAGGATGGAAAGCTTGAGGGAGATTATCGAAACTACTGATCTTAGGAAAGAGGCAAGCTGGAGTCACGTAAAAAAAAAGCACAAATATGAAGCGGTACCTAGGTACGTAAATACTGTCACTGTCCACGAGGAGGTTAGAGGAGAGGGTTGGTGGCGGTAACAAGAACAACTATCAAACGGATGGTTCGCAGATATTTCGTCAAGACATAAAATGACGAGCACGAGCTGATAACCTAACTGTCATTCATTAGTTAGGTAATTCTTTTCACGCGATAGGATTGAAATGACTCTGGTTACGTAGGTACACGGTATTACTTGTTTCGTTTCAGTTATCAACCTCAGCGATTACGGTTTGGAGTTTCGGAAGATGGTACCGGAAACAGCCGGGTAAGCTCAACGGCTTCAACCGGAAACGGAAGTTTCCGGTTTCCGGCCGGAAAAGATGAAGCCTTCCCCAGGGTGTCTACTGGTACCCTGTCATTGAAATTCCTTGCTTTTTCAGTGCCTTTTCCTTGCTTTCTCCCTAGGTGGTCCCTACAGGTGGTTATATCTTGCCCAACTAGGCACCCGGTCCGATGTCCCTTAGGGCTACCTTTTAGGGGTGGTATTTTGACGCGTTTCGCGGCTCCACGAAAAAGTTTATAGACGCGAGACGCCCAGCTACGAATTTTCGTTGATCCCGCTTTTGTAGCTCTCTATCTATGAATTTTTGAAGATCCCGGTCTACGAACTTTTTGGAAACCTTCATCTATAAATTTTTGTAGATACCCGACTACGAAATTTTTTGGGAACCTTCATCTACAAATTTTTATAGATCCCCGCCTACGATTTTTTTTACGGACGATCATCCATGAAACTTTGTATGTATGGATCTATGAAAATTTATAGATTTCAAACGTTGAAAATGGAACCTAATTATCTCCGCTGGGATGTCTTTCAACCCTTCTTGGCACACTTGTGGAATTTAGAAGATTGATTCCCAACTATTCTGCTCTCGTCTATAAGCAACATTACTTCCAATAAACGTCTTCAAATTTTGTATCTGAACATCTACAAAAATTTGTGGATTCCCATCTACAAAAATTTGTGGCTTATGCGCAGGGGCTATCGTTCTTTGTTCCGCTAAAAATTCAAAATCTGCCGAGAATTTGGACGTAATCAATGCGATATATCGCATGCCAGTTCGACCACGTCACTTGAGCTTGACGAATCACCTTAACAACTAGTTCTACGGACTGGCGAACCAGAATTAACTTGGTCAAAACTAGTTTGATAAAACGGCGCAATTAGACATAAAATATAAATGAATGTGCATTTATTTGCGCTCGAACTGTTTCATAAATGGTTATTAGCCCCATTCACGTCGTCGATTCACGTTTTCACTTTTCGATCGGTTCATGTCGATCGAATCGACACAGGTTTTGTTAACGCAGTGTAGATTGATTCACGTCCATCGATTCGCGATCTTGTTTTTCGATCGATTCATGTCGATCGAATCGGTGACGATCGATTTATGTCGATCGAATCGGTGACGATCGATTCATGTCGATCGAATCCATACCCTCCGATCTACCATGATAAATTAAACTTTAATTAAAATATTAGAGGGGAATGCCGTGTGGGAAGTCAAACGTTGCAACTTTTTTTGGATAAAATGTTATTTTTGAGAAAATTTCCCCGATATTTTTCATTGAAATTTTCAGAAACACCGGATTAAAATGAACTTTAATAAGATCCTCTGAAAATCTTGTCTGAGAGTCTGAAAGATCATACGGCGCTACCCGCAACACGACAGCAACTAAGGGAGAAAGAACAACTTCCCAGAGAAAAGAGGATTGAGAACTCATCGAAAATATGTATAATGTAGTAAGACACCTCAGAGGGTACTTTTCACCAGGGCTGGATTGATTGAGAGTATGTATCCTTTCATTCATACAGAATTGAACAAAGTTTGGGATTCAAAATTCTTGAGAGCTTCTTTTCAAGAATTGTACAGAAGTTAAGGTGGATGGAATAATGAAAGTAGAAACCTACTACTAATCTTTGCTGTGCAGTTCAAACATTTATCTTTGAGTTCAAGCAACAAACTGATGCAGTTGTCTTTTGAGAAAATGTTAATTTCTATCTTTGCCAGCTTCCCCCCTCCCACCATTCCTAGACGGCTACCTGTTGCTTCCGGATTGCATTCAGTTATTTTCGACCCGTTGATGACGTCATTGAGGAATTGTTGATGCATCCTGCGTTCGGCCTACTTTGGCCGCCAAAAACGGGGGTTTTTGAAAAAAAATTTGCTGCCATCATGTAAAACTACGTACTTGATAAAGTATGCCAGGTCACAAGGTATTATCTGTCAAATCAGCGTCTACAGCACTGAACATACGATGCCAAATCGTGAGAAAAGACATATTGCGGGCATGGAAAATTCAAAAAGGTCCAATGTCCTGATCCTAATAATATAGGAGAATATAGCTATAAATGAACTAAATATGGGATCTGTGGCTATCATAGAACTGAAGACTTGATGTTTTAAAGATTTGCACCTCTAAAAAATTTGAAATTCAACCTATCAATCGGCAGCTATGGATAAGGTGAATTTAAAAATTAGTCATAAAATTAATTTTTTCTGTACTTTTTTACTTTTCTTTACTTATTGGTCTTAAAATTAATTTTTTCATTACTTAGTGCATCAGCTTCACGAAGTTCCATCAAATCAAAGATGATCAAGCCGAATTTTAATTTTTTATTTATTTGAAGCGGGATTACCCTAATAGGAAGACAACCCTCCCCCCTTAATGTACCTTGTTTGAAAGAGAAAATAAAAAAAATTCTTGGGCAAACCTGAGATCATTATATGAAACCACTTCAATTCCCAATGACAGCCTGTTAAAGTTCAAATTAGCATCTCCATATTTTAATGATGGATTTGGCCTTTGATTTAACTGCTTCAGGGTGAAAAATTGAAGCTGCATGATATGAAGGACATCAGTGGGAATATTTCATGGGAGTGGTCCTTAAATCCTTCGTAAAAATTCTGCAGGGATTTCTGAGCAGGTTCAGTACAATGTAGTACAGGAGAGAAATGGAATTTAACATCAGTAGAGTCATGTCCTCAAAACTGTGTCCTGACCTACAGAAAAAAATACCAAACTTTAACTTTAGAGGTAAGTGCCGTCTTCGATGCATTCCAAGACACTTGCTCCAAGGTATATATCAGATCGCTCATTCATTGAATATTGATGCGAGGTTAGTCTTTGATTACCTTATCTCTGGTAAGGTTAATTATTATCTGACTTGTTAGTCAAGTCAGCATTACGTACTTAACAAATTTGCACATGCAATCAGATGGCACCATTGAGTATTAACATGAACGATTGACATCCCTCAAAAAGGTAAATAAGCTGCTAGAAAGATGTTATGTCAAAGTAAACTAATTGGGACCATTCGGAAGCAGAATTGTCTGATGTCTAACTATCAGCAGTGTTTGACTCCGTTTTAATGACCAGATGACTTACGGGTTAACTGAAAATTGCCCAAAACTTCAACCTGACACTCATTGGTCTCCTGAATCTGATGGGACCATTGAATTGTATTTAGAAAACGAAGGAACCAAACGATATCGGATAAGTTTAATTCAGCAGCACATCTAATATTTGGGGTAATTTTTTCCATCTAATTCGGGATCAGAGATAGGAAAGAGAAAGTATTCTTACCTCATCACCCGTGACATAATACTTCTTTTGTTTCAGGATATCGTTGTCTGTACCGTATCGTTGATTTATTAGGTACGGCCTTGGGTCTTCTTCCGTCCCATTGCTGGACTGATCAGATGATCTCTTGCAGAGGTTCATTTTTCAGATGTTCCACAGTAAACTTCAAATGACTAACTGATGCAGATACCTAATTTCGAATGGTTCTCGACATAATCATGAATTAATCTTCCCAAAACACTGGCATAACCTGCACTTGAAATGAGACCGAATCAAGTGCCTAAGCTGAAGAATGTTGTGACTTAATAATAAAAACCACTAAAAGCTCAAGACCGAAAACATGATCCTGGCAGCTCGAAACTGGAAGAAATATTTGTGCAATTACTGCAATTATACAACAACATGGTATGAGAAAGCCTGAGAACCTGCTCGTGTAACCGCCAACATAACCTCAAAAATCATGTTACAGCGTTGTCAGGTCAGTGAAGTTCAGTTAATCTTCGCGGTTGTATCTTCTTGGAAAAAAAAATCTTCAAAATACAAACTTATTACCACATTAAAAATAAAAAAAACGAGTGTTGTTAAGACATAAATAAAGTTTACGATTCAACTTTTCATAGAAATAGAAATGTAATAAAAAATAAAATGACAGCGGCAACATAGCAGGGCACGAACCACCAACCAACCTCTGGATCAGAATGGCGGGGATTTCGAATTAATTAACGACTTTACACCCTTCATACGTAAATGAGAAAGAAAATGAAGAATTATTCCATTATTTTTAAAATTGAGAAACTTTTGCTATGCTTAAAAAATTAAAAAAAAAAAGGGTGACTAAGTAATGAACTGAAACTTCCAGTCTTGTTTTTCACGTCACTTTCCTCTGAGTCCTAGAAGTAAAATGTGGATCGACAGTTATTTCTTCGACTTTCTTCTGCAAAATAGAGGAATATGCCACCTGCGCACTGAGTTCCCATAAGTAAGCTGATGAATTGGTCTCAACATTTCCTAGGACATTGTCCTCTTATCTGACTATCTATTATGGAAGGCTGTTTGTGCCTAAATTAAAAACTGAAAAAATATTTTTTTCCACATTTTTTTTTTATTTTTAACAAACAATGTTTTTTTATTTGCATAAATTAATTTTTTTTTTTTTATCTATGACAAATGATCTGCCTTGCCATGAGAGAGCTGAGTATGTAGGGGGATAGACTTCTGCCGTGCGCTGATTTACTTAATTCTCTTCCTCCGCGTTAAGAGCAACAATGTCATGCCACTACACTTATGAAAATTGAAATATAAACGTGTAATAAATGAAGATGGAGATGGGACTGGTTAAAAATGCCTGGTAATTAGACAAAAAAAAAGCCCATTCTTCAACGACATTGTGCTTTCCCTCAGCAGGGCGGTTCAGGGACTTAATTGACCACTAGTAAGTTGTAGTATCCAAAAGTTGGAAAATTTTGGAGCATTTAAAATTGTGATATAAATACGGCACACATATGGCGGCATTAGCTTAGCTTACTTCATCAAGGAGCCGAGACACAGACTTAGAAAGATGGGACATTTCTTGAGTAAGCCAGCTTTTGGCTAATGATTGTGGCAGAGATAGCGTTAGCAGTCATTCATCTTTCATTATATTGTGGTGTAATAAGTATTTTTTAAACAATTTTATGGATTTTCTTCTTGACTTTTTTAAGGCACTTGATTCAATTGAAACTTGGAGTTCTCTGAAGAGTTCATAGAAATCAATTCTATAGAAAATTCAATGAATTTGTTGAGACATTAATTAGTACCTGGATAATATTTTTCTTTTTTCCGTCCGGTTTTTCTTAATTTCTGAGTTAGGCTATGAACATTTCGGAAATTTCTTCCTTCTTCAGGCCAAAATTTTGATAGTTGTCTGGCACTCTTCCCTTGTGCGCATTTGATGAACCGCGCGTAATCGAGAAATTAATTGGTAACTTTAATGATTAGGACAAATTTTTATCGATTCAATATCTTAATGCTCCTACAACATTTATTATTTGGATGACAGAGCAGGGGAATTTGTAGGGCTGGCAATTGAAAACCTATTACTTGGAGACATCAATTTTCGAATGCTTATGATTGGAGAAATCACATGGATTTTTAAAAGTCAACTTTAAATCATCCTCCAAACTAATGAACAACTGACATCAAACAATTTTTGTCAAATAAAAGCAGTGGCAGTGGCAATAATAACATAGAAACGATTTTTTCGGCATTTCGATCTCTAAGATTGGTTTTTAGGAGAACCAATAATTTGGTTCAATGAAATTAATTTTCTTTTGGAAATCGCCATCCCTACAAATTTGTCAATCCTTTCAACCGTGTCACCCATGAATTGAACTGATTTCATGTTCATTTCATTTTGGTCATATTCAGCTATACCAAAGCTTAGGTGCACGTTATAATTTCTTTTTTGTCAGCTTAAGGCCATTTACTTTTCCATGAATTTCAGTCAATCTAAAGTGAAATTTCTAACTTGTTATTTCCTTAGTGATCTAATTAAGGTATGAAAAGGTCAAAATAAAACACAACGTGGGTTTCAACAAAAATATTATCGAATATTTCATCAAAAAAGTAAAAAAAGTTGAATTCGAAGTCATAACATGGTTGTCAATGCCTTATTTGGCTGCTTTCTTGGCGGGAGCAGCCTTTTTTGCTGGAGCCGCAGCTTTTTTTGCTGGCTTCTTCTTGACTACCTTTGTCTTTTTCTTCGCTTCCAACCTTTTGACGGACTTGGCCTTCTTCTTCAGGGCGGCTGCCTTCGTCTTCTTCTTATACTCTTTGATTCCCTGCTTCTTGACTTTCCCCAATTCTTTCTTTGTTAGCTTCCAGCTATCGTCATAGATGTTGATAGGGTCTTCATCGACAGGTTTGAATTCCTTGGGTTTGTATTCAACCTAAAAAAAAAACAATCAATTGTCAAACAAACAACTTGACTTGATGAAATTTGAGAACAAATTTGAATGCGGGACTGTTAGCACACCAGACAAATTGAAATAAAGGAAGCGTCAACTTGAAAATCATGTAGCTCACAATCAGTTCACATTTTTGTAGGTTTCTTGTAAACCTCATTCATAGATTGGATCACTCATCAGAATCTGTCTTCAAAATTTTACAAAATTTATTCTTCCCTCTTCAAGGAATATTTTTTCAACATATTATGCAATGAACACGCAAGAAATCAAGCAAAAAAACACAAAAAACAAAAAAGGAGCAGATATTTCGAAACATCACTATCAAGATGTGATATTCCCTCATCAGCAATCAACAAAAATTAGACGAGTCAGGTAACTATTCAGGGTTTCCACCAAAACAGGCTGGCCAAAACACATTACTTTAACAGTACTTTTCCAATCCATTCCCAAGAAATTCAGAACCTCCTCATAAGAGAAATTCAATACTTTTTCGGGACCTTCAATTGACGAAATTTGAAAATTTTCAAAAATTTGAATTTCTAGCTTGAATTGCGACAAAAATGACAAGAATTCCGGACCTTATCGTGAAATTCTGCACTTTTTCAGTACTTCTGGACCGCTCTAAAAAATCAGTACTATATCCAGACTTTCCGGTAGACACCCTGCTATTGCATGGGTGCAGGGGAAGGGGGAAAAAAAACCCTTCCATCGATAAATCAGATTTTTATACTGCTAAGTTGTAATTCGCATGGGGTCCGCCCATTTTTTCTTTTCTCATGGGGGTTCCTCCATTCCACGTTACTGGCACATGACCCGGCTAGTCGCATGGTTGAGAAGTTTCAGCAGCCCTCAGTGACAGATTTAACCTCTCTTCAATAAAATTCTCTATCAATTATATTTTTTTCCCTTTCCAGTTATGATAGTTTTTTCGGCAACATGAAACTACAACAGGAAAGTGACGATGTAGATAACCATCATGAAAGGGTAATGAGTAGGCATCTTTTTCATGAGGATCTTCAACATAATTTAACCTGACATTCTTAGCTTGACTAGCACAGAATACTTACTCCTTCCTTCTTGGCAGCTGCTACTTTCTTGGCTTCGATGTTCTTGGCCTGCTCCAACTTGGCGAGTCGTTTCTGGACAACAACGTAAGGATTGAGTTTCACCATCTGCCTTGGGTTGCGCAGCGGGTTCTTCTTGATGCGAGAAACGAAAGTCTTCTTCCTGTAATTACATACAAAATTGAAAAATTAGCCAACTTATCATCAACTATTGTATCAAAATCTAGGCTTAGAGGATTGAAACGTCTTTGCCTGAATGATGAATGCTAAGTTTCTTGCTAGTGTATAACTATAAATTTCAAAATAGAAACTTGGAGGGGCATGCAAAGAAGCATGGAGAAGAGCACACTATTATAGACTTAATGAAAAACAAAAATAAGGATTTTTCCATTAAATTCTTTGGAGAAAATTGAAGCAAAGCTGAAAATAAGACGATAATTGGTCCATGAAGGAATACAATACATGTGTATAGATCGTATTCCTTCATGGACGACTTCCTTGTCATTAAGATATTTGCACAGGAACATGAACATTCAGGATTTTCATTTGCTTGCGTTTGACCTCCATTGATGTAGGCTCATCAGCCTGCACAATTTTAGGAGCTCCTCTGTGATATTACCAAAACTGCCAAGTATACGCACAATTAACATTCCATTTCCTAGAGTTAGAAACATTTTCTTCAATAGATTTTCTTGTGCGAAACGTTTTGATTCATATGATCTATGTAACACATTATGGCACTGCTTTAGATTGCCTTCCTTTGTTAGATACTTGACATAAAACGAATATGAGTCTAGAAAAATTCTTTACCAACTATTCTGGTAATTGAGCTAAACTTTCTGACACTTTCATCAAGAGATTTTTCAGGCAAAATGCTAAAATTGAAAATAAAGTTTTTAGGGGTGACATGATAGTACTGTCTTTCTTCGGAGAGAATATCGCAACTATAAATGATCTTGTTCAAGTTATTGACTGAATTGTCTTTTGTGAACGACAATGCAATTTTTTGAGCGAATACCTGGAAAATAGAGTTGATGTTACTAAGGCATTGCAACAGTGAAAAGCTACATTTAAATTAAATTTGGTGAAACCTTCTTTTTCCAACTTTATGCAAGAAAAAATTTCTGACTTATAAAATTTATCTGAGTTTAGTAAGCGCTGTTGGTAGTGAAGTCATCATGGAGATTCTACATTATATCAAATTGGATCTAAATCATGAAATGACCTCTTCTCCGCTACTGATGAGGACAACTCAATATACATAGCTTTTGTGATGTAACGTTAACAGCATCCATAGATACTGCACAATCTGAATATACTAATGGACCACTGGACAAGGTATGAATTTCAGCATTCTGATACATGCGTCTTCACCAAAATATCACGCAATACATGATGCACACAACAAAAATTACCAATATCAACTTCTTCCAGAGATATTAAATGATTCTTGGTGCAAGAATTGAAACCACCCGCTCATGAAAACTCAATGCACTAAGTGATTCACATCGCGCGCTAAATGTTATCATGAACGTCTCTGCCATAAAAAAATCTGGCAACCTCGATCTTGACGCTTTGGCTCAGCTCTAGCAAATTACTGATAGTTTGGAAAACACATGGTGGGAAATGAACATTGCTCGATTGAGAAGCTTGCTGAAATCATTGTAGTGCACGATTTGACTCACGTAGAGCTTTGAGTTTCTTGTGAGCAGGCAGTTCAAATTCCGCGTAACCAGTGTGAAATAGAAACGTTAATATCTCCGTTAGGAGTTAAATTCAGTAATTTTCGTTGCACGAATCGTGTTCTACGTTAAATTCTGACTAGGAAACAGGTATCAGAATGCTTAAATTCGTACCTTGTCTAGTGGTCCATTGCACACTTCCAGATTTGTGGGTTTCAAATGTCAAGTTAAAGAGCGATTACTTACTTGGGCCTCTTCATGTATTTCTTGAGTTCCTCAGAGCTCAACAGGCCTGTGAGGTCGGTGTTAGCCATTTTCGGCATGGGCAAGTTGTAATCACTCTTCAGAGTACTCTTCTTGCGCCATGTGCCGTAAAGAGCATCTAATTTTTTGAATGCTGATTCCGTCCAGATGACGAATCTTCCAACATGACCACCAGGAGCTAATTTAAGGAGATTTAATTTCATAACGTTGATGCAGTCTACACCAGGGATGTTACGGAATGCATTTCTAAGACCCTGCAATGGAAAGAAAATAAAAATTAGCCCTTTTAATTATCAAAATAAATCATAAAAATTTTAATCATCATCCCTCCTTAAAAATTCATGCAAAAATGAGGAAAGATATGAGTCGAAGAGACTACTCTTTCATGAAGTTTTTACTATCCGATCACATTGCTCCGAAGAGCTATTTATTTTTATGTTTGAGAACACATTTACACATTCTTTCTTAAGGGAATGGAAGAGAGGAAGGACTCAAATACAAAATGGCTGACATAAAATACAGGAGTACCGATTAACTAAGTGAGCAAGATCAGAATTTTGTCAACGTGATTAGGGTTAGTAATCATTCTTCAATCATAACCCAGTGCTCTTAGCAATTTCATCATTTCTAACTCAGTTCAACTTGGTAGGAATGAAAGGAATGAGTAAGAACTCTCACAACAATGGCAGAATGAGATCAGATTTTGTCAACGTGATAAAAGGGTAATCATTTTTAAAATCATAACCCAGTGCTCTTAGCAATTTCATCATTTTCTTCATTGCCAAATTGGTGCTGCCACACAGATGCAAGTAAATTAGGACAGAGATGCACTGATTGCGCATTGAGTGAAATGTGGAAGTCAGAATTAGTCAACGTGAAATGGGTAATCATCTTGAGAATCATAACCCAGTGCTCTAACACTATTTCATCATATTATTTCACCTTAATGTGACCTTCGGTTGAATTTCTTGAGATATATGAGAAAGTATGACTTAAGGAATCCAGAAACGTGAAGTTTTTTGGTAAACAGGCAGAGACAGAGACATAACCTTGCTCGTATATAACATGTTAGGTACTGTCCTCCAGCAGGAATTATAAAACTACACCATAACAACTGACAAACTAGCCCTAGAATTGGAAGTTACTCAGAGTTGGTTATTGGTTATTTTCAGTGCTTCTCAACAACACGGACCAAATTATGTCATCCTCATAACAACTTAAACACATGTTTATTAATTTATTTTAATTTTGTTTCAGTGATTCATAAAACATCAGTATCTCCCTCCCCTTAAAGATCAATACTGAAGTAAAAAAAAAAAAAAAAAAAAAAAAAAAACTGCAATGATAACCGCTGCCATTGAACTTCGTCAAAGAGTTACTCAGAGATGGTGTAGGTTATTTTCAGTAAAACTCAACAACACGGACCAAATTATGTCATCCTCATAACAACTTAAAGACAAGTTTATTGATTGATTTATAAATAATTCTTTTGGAATACTTCAAAAAACATAATCTGCTCTCTCCCCTCATAGATCCGAACTGAAGTAATATATAAAAAAAACTGTGCAATGATAAGCGCTGCCATTGAACTTTGTCAAAGAGATACTCAGAAATGGTGTAGGCTATTTTCAGTAAAACTCAACAACACGGACCAAATTTTGTCATCATTATAATAAAGTACAATGGCAGCTTAAACTAATAAATTTTTCGAAGCATATCACATTCATTGATTAATTGAGATGAAAATATGTTTGTGCAAAGCTATAGTTTTAAGGAGTTTATCAGAAATAAATACTGTCAGTAGAACTCAAAGGCTGCGGGAAATTTAGTCATCATTTAAACAACTTTGAGCTGCAGCTATGAAACATGGATTATTCTTAATTTATAAAATCATTTGTAAATCAAAGGCAACGACCTTGGATGGAGCAATGCGACCAAAATATTGGTTCAAAGAAGTAATCAGAAGTGGTAATTGTTTATTTTCAGTAAGACTCAACAACACGGACCAAATTTTGTCATCATTTTCTTTGAACCTCGGCAACAAAATATTTTTAACATTCATTTGTGAATTAAAAGAAACAACTCTAAATGGGCTCGTACGACAGAAACAGCATTTCAGAGAGTTAGTCAGTAATGGTAAGTGGTTATTTTCAGTAGTACTCAACAACACGGACCAAATTTTGTCATCATTCTAACCACCCTGAAATGACATCTATAATACCTTACATCTCAACTAAAAAAAAAAAAAAAAAAAAAAAAAAAAAAAAAAACAAATCCTCCCAGAAAATAGAGGATAAACACTTTAGAATTTTGGATGAATCTTTGTCAGTTAAGTGATTTGGTTTGTTTTCAGCAAAAACTCAACAACACGGACCAATTTTTGTCATCATTCAAGATTCATCAAGAATATTCAGGGGAACTTTTTTCATCTTTCAGTTGTTGATCTGAATTAAAACCTTCCATAATTTCTGAGAGAAAATGAGGCATACGGCTGTTGTAAAAATGTTGGATTCCCTAAAAGCAAAATGGCTGATTACTTAATTTAAATGAAGTTGTAATGACTATTTGACTTATGAAATTCTGTTTCCAGATGGACCTAAGCAGTTCAAATGGAATGCCTGCACACGTGGCAAATTTCATTTGAATAGAATAATGCATGAGAAGATAATTTTACGGAGTGAGATAATTAGCTTTGCTCAGTACCTTGTTGTTGTAGTAGACAATCAGGGGTCCTCGTCGCTGGATGCGTCGACGGTTTCGCCTTTTACCTTTGCCGGCACGGATACGATGAGATTGTTTCACCTGGAGAAAAGTTAACACATGAATTATGAGAAGTGTGAAACATTAAAGAATGAAACAGAAAAGCAAATTCAAGTTCCTCCACTACTGGCTTGAACTCCTACACTAGGAAATAATGGACAATATAATATTAGAGGATGGCTAAAACAAAACAATGCTGGCTTTTCCTCCGCATGCGGTGAATATTACTGATACAACATGAGATTGATTTTTAGCACCTGTGTATTGCAAGGGATGTTCTTCCACATAAAATTTTTTTGCAACTTTCTTCACCTAAGAAACTCACTAGAACTCACGTCAGACAAATTAGCAATTTTTCACTTTGAGCTATCATGCGCAGATGACTAAATAACATACCTCTGAATAGCATTGTCTACAGTCAATCCTCGATTGCTAATAGTAAACAAAAACGCAAGGACAGATAACAACTGCCTGTTTATTTGATGCAAGTTTGATTTACAGTACTGATTATAATGGCTTCAAAACCATAGAAAACTGGTAAACACTGCACTTACTTTCTTGACATCCTTCCACGCTCTGACAGCAGCCAGGAAAGCAACTGCTTGCTTGGTGCGCTTGTATTCTTGGATTTTATCAGTTACAACAAGAGGGAATTCAGAGACTCCTTGGATCATGTGACCTAAAAACCAACAAAATAGCAGTCAGTCCTACTCAAAGATGCCCAACAGTTAACAGCAGGAGTTAAAAGTATTAATGATCACTTAATTTGGAGTTTTTTGTGATGTATATTTTTCTTTCAATAAACAAGATAAAATAGATGGCTAAATTCTGAAAACTGAACAGCTCAGGCAGCAATAAGCCCTCTTGACTGGAAAATTCTTGTTAGGAATTCGAAATGAAGATGCCCTGCACCGGTTTCAGTAGGGGAGGCACAATGTAAATTGAGATTGAAGTAAGATCTTCTTTGCATTAGCCTTTGTTAAAGGTGCAATCTTCATGCATGTGCTGACTTGCCGAGTGGTGTAGAAACATGCATGTCTGAGATTGACTTGAGCCTTATCATACTATGTCCAACTCTAGGATTCTTGCAACTTCAAATTAAAACGCCCTCCAATATAAGAGAAAGTGCAGCCCTAATCTCGATACGAAACCTGATATTGGGATCTCAGACTTTACCAAGAGGACAGAAATTTCCGAGCCTTCCCATCTTTGAGACCCCTTCTTCCTCAAATGGCCTTTCTATTTTTAGATGCGACCACAGTTTCAAAGTATTAGCACCCTCCACTATTGTCATGAGTAAACTATGTTATTTTACATTTTGAGGCGTTACTGATTGCGTCATGATAGTTTCAATTAAATTCTGTCTCATATCTTATTAGTATCATTCCTATTATTTTCCAACTTAGAACAAAGCCCATCCGAATGCTACCAACCTTTTGACATGACGATTGCTGGATTTCCAGAAGCAGCGATGGCAGATACCATGGCGTAACGCTTTTGGTTGGTGTTCACTCGGCGGTGCCATCTCCTCCAGACTCTGTTAGGGGCGAACATGTGACCTCCTCTACACATGTTACCAAAGGCTCCCTGACCAGAACGGTGGGTACCACCTCCCCGAACACGGGGGATACGGGCAACAGCACGACCTGTACCCCATGATTCAGCACTGGTTTTGTGACCTGAAAGACAAAGGCAGGTATATAGAAGCTTTAAAGATAAAAGAGGTTGACAAGGATACTGTTATTAAGGGGATTCTTCTTAGATAGGTAGTTGAAAAAGTGATTGCACCCCCAGTTTTAATATTAAGTTAGAAACTTCATTGAACGAGAGAAAATTCGAGAATAATGACATTACCCCTTACTGCTTGAGAAAATGAGGATGAGGACCAAATTTCATAGAATTCTGCAAGGGCCAGTTCAAAACCTTGGCTTGCTTCAGTTCAGTGTGACCATTTACTAGAGAGCTTTTTCTCACCGCTATAGATCGGGATTTTCGCGGTTCAACCCACCTCATCAGAGCAGTCCCAGCATTTCACTGGAACAGATGGAACGCGCCAGTGGAACAGGATAAAAAAGTGGTGCATTCCATAGCGATCCTCTGCAATTTGAATTAAGAAAAAGCCCTTATTGTGACAGCTTCAGGGTTGTAACAAGGAGAACTGAGAGAAGACTGTCTGGCCGAATTCAAACCATTGGTTCCAAAATATAGATGTAGTTTCTGCATGTATCCTCACTTTTCATAATGAATTAAATATCTTAAATGTAGCTCCAGTACAAATTTTATGATTTTGAGCTTGAAAATGTTAAAGAAAGAAAGCAGGAGATAAGAGGGGTCAATATTGGCGTACCTGCTTCTTTGTCAACACCATAAGGTTGTCTATGGTTCTTAGCTATGTTTGTGTGGACAAAATTGACAACATCGGGCCTGATTGGCGCCCGGAAGACAGCAGGCATCGGGATGGTGGAACCAGTTGCCTCATTTTTTTCACCATGGACGGTGACAATTGGACGAGTAGCCGCTACACTCTGAAAAAAAGAGAAAAGGAATGAGATGATTTGACTTTTCAGGGTGAAAGGTTTCAACTTACAGGATGGAATTAGAAGAATAGAGGGATCTTTCTAAACATTGAATGGGTGCATCCGGGCCCATGCGGCCTCCTAATATGCTCTTTCAGGTAAAGAATGATATGGGTGCCATACAATGAGGCAGTACTGCCTAGCACATCTTAACAGGTTCTGGCCTGATTTAAAAGGCATTATCTATGTATGTTTGCATGAGTAAAACGATGCCATGTTTCAACAGTCAGTGGAAACCCCAGCTCTTGGGTGCACCCGACTCCACTTCAGACTTGAGGCTATAGGGACAAATAGTGGATCATGCTCCTAGTCTAGAGAATGGAAAATTATTTCAGGCTACTGACAGATTATGATGTGCAAGTGGTTCCTTGACAAGAGATCGACTGACAAAACGCCAACTCTAGATTGACGGCTGAGAGTCCGTAAGCATGAGCATAGGTTAGGTTTGACAAGGAAGAGGATTTTGATCTGCTAGAGTAAAGGGAACGGAGCATGGTGAAGATTTACAGAAGAGAACTTAAAAGGCATAAATGCAGGTTTCTGAGGCTTCATTAGCAATGAATCCTCGTGGTAACCCACAAAGGCGGCTGGACGTTGAGCCTATGAGGCCATGTGCCAGCAGGACAAAACAAGTTAGAAACAGACGCGGAGAAAGGTGGTAGAGTAATAGAACGGATTATTTAAGTGCGCAAAATGAAAATACTACATACCATTTTTGAAATATTCCTATCCGTCGGTTAGAATAATAACATTTTACGAAAAGCACACGCGGCACAGCTTCGGCGATCGTGCGCTTCAAGATGGACGAATTTTAGGGAACAAGTTTGTTAAGATGCAAGCAAAAAATGTTTTGCCAAAAATCCCTGGCAGAGCAATGAACTGAAGAATTACTGATATTCCTCTTTTACATACTTTGAATTTTATCAGTTTTACTCAAAATAATTTTTTTCAACGAAGTAACACCAAAATATCAATATTACTTGATTTACTTTGAATCATGGAATCATCAAAAGTTAGAGATTTCCGAGAGCAGTGTATTGTCTTTTTCAGAGAGGGACAAACGTGTTGGATTGCAAGTGGCGGTTTTTTTCGAAAAATCGGCTAATTGTAAGTATTGAAAATTTAACTCATCTCATTATCATAAATTTACCATTTTGCAGTTCATGTAGTGATAAAATTAACGAGTATTCTCTGTATAATTTGATTTTGATCGTTTTGATGTGAAATGTGCTTTAAAAGTTTGAAAGCTCCTCTTTTGTCGTCGCGCTGTTTCGCGGTCAGCTGACCATTTCCGGTTTGTTCGCGAGTTTGAGACGTGTACAAACCGGAAGTGTGTCGATTCGATTGTAAACACTGAAGCTCGATTTGATAAGTGATAAAAAAGTGACTGGTGATTGTCTAACTATGTAACCACATGTTGAATGTAATTATAGTGGATCTAATTAATTTTTTATGTTATTAATTTAATTTTCCTGCAATCGTCATTAGTGCACTTGATGTTACATTGTCGGACAATCGTTTAGAATGAATTATTGCAAATTCCATTCCTCTGTAATTTCAGGAGGAAAACCCCTCATCATGATCATACAATTACTTGACTTGCATCTTTTATACTAAGAAATGACTTCATTGGTCAGTCATCTTCGTGTGTAGTTTCACTTCTGCTATGCTTTTGACACCTTTCAGAATAATCCTCAGAAGTTTTGCAGGTTCTCGTTTTTCAGCCCTCTCCAGCCTTTGGTGTCGCAAACAGGATAAGCTTTCAACCTTAAAGTAAGTCATCATCTAACTTATCATCAAAATCTTAGTCACCGTCTTGGTAATCTTGGTGTAAATATTCTTTGAGTAGTATATCTGAAAGGTATCCTCCGCAATGAATGCAAATTTGATCTCTTCTAATTACATATTTACTTCAAGTTGATAAGTTACTTGTCGATGGTGAAATTCCCAAATGACGCATTTTGGTTTGCTACGTTGTGGACTTCCTGTTATACTTTATTTTTTAAATAGAAAACTACTCAACATAATTTTTGAGAACCTCCATGATTTTTCTTCACTGTGCGCAGAAAAATCTGTAAAAACCTCAAGAAATAAATTTGATTTAGCGTCCTTCCAATAAAATGAAATGGGAGCGGAGATTTTTAAACACCGCAAACTAGATACAAGGTCTAGTAGTTTCGCTGTTGTTGTGTAAGTTATTTGAGAACTCCTAGAGTCCGCGCCAACTAAGTCTATGCACTCTTAGACTGGGATAGAAGATCCCATTGAAGATCCACTTTGCTTCTTCCATTTGCTTTACACGTTTAAGTGATGTCAAGCAATCTTCTGCCGCAGTCAAGAATTAAGTGCAGAAACTTATTTGGCATGGACTCTATGTATCCTTAAGTCTGGTATAGAGTTCTCAGATCAAATAGAAACTAGACTCGCTAAATTGATAATTCACCCTCTGGTGGATAGAACTGAGGTTATTACTTTTCATCAAATACCGTCTTCAAATTTTATGTCTTTGGTATTAATACCCTGTGAAAGGCTAAGTAGCTCTACATTATCATTTTAAACCATTTAGACACCCTGATATTGAAATCCAGTAAATAATTCTAAGTTTGTTTACTTGACGTAAGTTCTTGTATTACAGACAATTTTACATCATTTGATTTGCTCTTGGTACTGTTTTAGCTTTTACTCAGACCAAACCACCATGCTCGCTGTGGATCATACATTAAAAGACTTTCCGCCAGGGCCTTTGGATGTTTACAGGAAGAAAGCCTCTTTTGATTGGAGAAAGTTAAAGCTGCTACTGGAGGACGAAAAACTGTGGAGATTTAAGGTGAGCATTAGGTGATGAACTGCTCAAGTGAGCTAAGGTTTTATCACCATCAAGTCCAGAAAACTGATACCTCATGATTATGTCATGATTTGATTAAATACCAATTTAGTTTGAGTCTGCCTCGGTACTTCAGCGTTTTCATAGAGTGACTAAAGCTCCATCGGTAGCTATCTGAAGGAGATCACATATCTGGTAACAGCCAATCAGGGCAAAATAGGTGGGAAACGAAAAGTTATCAGCAAGACCAGTAATTTTGTTGGTGACTCTGTTAGATTCTTTGACAGGAACTATCTCTCTTATTGGCTGTCGCCAATTTCTTACATCATAAAAATTGTTTAAGTTGGTTAGGAACTATTTAATAGTCAATGTTACTGATATGACAAGACAACACTAGGTAGCTAATAATGCCACCTATATACCTACATAAAAAAAATTGTGTGTTTTAAAATTTTTGGATTTTATTACAATGTTAGTTTTTCGGTTGCAAGAAATTTTTTTTTTTTTTTTTTTTTACTCTCCTGAGTAATTTAAAATTTAGATGTTCCTTTATCCAAATGAAGTAGATCTACTTCAGTAGGTACCTGTAAAATGAATGGTGTCAAAAATAGGGGGGAAAAATCCTGATAGTTTTTTCTACTTTGTCTAAGTTACTGTTGAACTTTTATGTTTCTCAGGTGAAAATATGGCAGGCATTAGAAAGTGATCCAATTTTTCGGCATGTTGATGATTTGCCTTTAGATGCTCAAAGAGAACTAGCAACGAAAAGGATGTACAGGGTCCGAGCGATGAATTTCTTGCCCTTGGAGGATATTTTAGAAGATCCTAGACTGGTGAGTATTTTTTTGCTATGGTATCATTACCTTGCTTTCCATTCCTTAGACATTAAGAGCTCTCTGTGAAATCATATCATTTGGATAGTCCAACTTTGAAATTACAGCACTCTCAGTTTTAAAAATTTCAGACTATCGTTCCAGTGGCATGGCGTGCTTTGTGATATATCGCTTAATCTGCCATTTAAACATAAAGGAAAGGATCGATAAACGTATTTGCAACAAACACCTTCATAATTGATTCTTCACCATACCTTCAAGTGGGGAAATATTGATTATCGATCATTTAACCATGCCACTGTTTTGTTCGTAGGTACCTCCTTTATTTTTTAACTGGAAAAATTTCAAGTGATTATTTTTGTTCAATTTGCCAAATAAAGAATAAAATAGGAGCAGAAATCTTAAAGTACCCTAATTGAAGCATGTGGTTTTGGCGTTAAAGCCATCAACATTTTTTCCTTTCCTCATTCTTTTTTTATTATATCCTCTTTACTTCGTTCACTTTTGAAAATGCAGTGAGCCTCTTAAATAGATTCATTTCACTGCAAGAAACTGATGTCTCATGTATATTTTTTCAGCCGCTCACCATGATGATAGCATTGTTCCAGTATGAACCATCTATGACAGTCAAATACTCTCTTACGTTTTCAATGTTTGGCAATGTTGTACTAGGTCTTGGGTCAGAAAGGCATTTCCACTATTATGAAGAAGCTCTAGAAGGAAAGGTATCTATTTTAAACTTTTCCATAGCAACCTTTTTTCATATAATTATCAAGAATACTAAATCCTTCAAGAATTGTTTAGCTCTTGGAAGAAGGATATTGTGATTATTATCTATCAGAGGTGGTAATAAATGAGAAAAAACACTTTTTTGTGTTATGCCTCGGGTCATATTCATGACAGCGTTTTAATGCTGTCCTGGATTTTGGGGTGATGCTAAGTTGGGTTCACTGACGAGTGTGATCTACTAATGAGGTCTAAAAAGACCCAAACCGGTATAGATCTCTCGGCTTGACCTCAATTTAATATTCCAATGCAAACTGCCTGAGCCGAACACTCTCCCCCCTCAGTTTTGTACCGGTACTCATTGGTGTTAAAAAATTTATTTTTGACTCTAATTATAATTTTTGGAACTTCGTGGTTTTGTTTTCCCCACAAGATGGTGTGGACTCAGCACCATCTCTCCATCTTAGTGGTAATAAATTAGTCAGCTAATGTTTAAAGACTGCCATCTTGATACTCTCATTAAGATAGCAGGTTCTCCATATCGCACTTCGATAGTCCTCCGATTGATTTTACTCTAGCTATATTTTTTTAGAATATGAATTTATCTTTCAAGTTATTGTTCATCAATTTATTTTTCACTTTGCTGATTTTAGTAATTTTTTAAGTATTCCTAGGTATATTACAATCTGGTGACCATCTACTTTTTATTTCTTAGTATGAATACTTGTGTGATGTCGGCAGTACGAAGAACCTTGCTCTAATATCCAATTCAACCTCACGTAACTCAGAGAAAAAACTCAGGATGCCTCTGCATGCCTCTGCTTTGGTTTAAGTTCCATAAAAGACTCAAAAATATTCAACCAATTCAATAATAATTTAGTTTTGTAAAAATGTTTTTTTTTTTTTCTTTTCAGATTTTAGGTTGTTTTGCTTTAACAGAGATATCGCATGGCTCCAATGCCAAAGGGATGAGAACCATAGCAAAGTATGATCCAGCGACTCAAAAATTTCTCCTCCACTCACCTGATTTTGAAGCTGCTAAATGTTGGGTCGGTAACCTAGGTCCGTATTTTGTCTCTTTATTCCCAACGGTAATATTAAATTCCGGCTTGATTTTTTGAAAAGTCAGAAATACTGCGGTAAGATGGCTTGTGTTATGGACTTTCTTGCCTCCATGCATCCTTTGGGGTTTATAACACGCGATGTCCAAATCAAAAACAATTTAAAGTATTGGATTTTTATTCAATACTATTATGATACACATTAAAGTTCCTCATTTGTGAATAAAAGACAAAATTGTTTATGAAAAATACTTATGAGTTCTTCTATTGTGACCTTTTAAACTGGTTGCATCTAAAACATCTGATCATATGATTACCAAAATTTTAATCATTGCCATATCGAAAAGTTCAATCGCTGTATCACATCGTATGTTTATTTTACATCCTCTAGGGCTTACTATGTTCACTGTCACCGTTATGTTTGAACATTTGTCCAGTCCCTTGACATTTTTTACTTTAATTCGGATTAAAATACAGCATATCAGACAACTTTTTTTATCATGGGGAAGGAGCATTGCGGAAGCAACCAACAATTAAGCAGTGAGAAATAGTTAGAGTTCTTGTGCATGGCAAAAGTGTTAGCTATTTTGTTTCACGCATCATTCATTCCGTCATTGTAGCTAAAAATGGCATGAGCTTCCGCAAAAGAGACGAGCAAGAAGAATAGCATGCTATGGGCTCTAAGCTTGCCAGGAGGTGGCAAAGACGATGACCCTCACTTAGCTGTACCAAGAAAAAAAAAAGCTGTATTCTGAACTCTCTCATGTAATGCTGTGAGAGAATTTTGATGAATCGAAAGAAATAAAAACTGCACCATAACTTAGAAGAACAATAAAATGTTCTAGAAAAGCCTAAAGAATTAGTAATTTCAATTCTGAAATTTTCACCCCGACTTACAAAGCCGATAAAAATATTTTTTTCCACTCATCAGTTCTGAAGCACTAAACACTGAGGGCTTTCAACTTCAAAGAATGTTATGGAAGATCTAATCCCATTTCAGTTCAATACTGTTCTATTTTGTTATCGTTTCAGGAAAAACTGCCACCCATGCAATTGTCTATGCCAAACTCATAACTCCAGATGGGAAGGACCACGGTTTGCATGCATTCGTGACAAAAATTCGTGATCCTGAAACAATGCTTCCTTACAAAGGTGTGACTGTCGGGGATATGGGTCACAAAGGCGGATTAAATGGCATTGATAATGGGTAAACATTTTCGTTAAAAATTTTCCGCTCATTTTCCCTTTATTTCTTTGTTTTTCATTTTTTCAGATTCTACAATTTAGTTTGTTTGGCTTTCAGAGTTCTTTTTATTTGTGATCATCCAGGAATAAACGGACTCGAGTCTTTTAAAAACGGAAAGTTGAACCATTGATACCAGATCAAAACAGATTGGTTCACGAACATTTTGGGATTTGTAGTACGTACCGAAGAAAGTGGAACCAAACTGGAGTAATAACGGTTTGAAGTTTGTATTTTTAGGAATACACTTTTCAGAAAAAGTTATCTACAGTTTTTATCTGTCATATTCTGGGCATAAAATTGCCCAATAATGATACAACTTAAGGTTTAGCACAAAAGTGAATAACATAAATCGCTTGAATGTCATTCTTTAGGACATTAGAGAAGTTCTGTCAAAATATCAAAATCTGAATATTAGACTCGGCTCGACAAAAATCGTTTTTCTCAGGTATAAAATCTTACCTGTTTTATCTAAGGTTCCCTCTCCACTTTTAAATATTTTTCTTACTCCCCCTCCACCCTCCTTTTCCTGCTTTTAAAGTAAATTGTGCTGCTCTCTTCAATTTGACAGATTTTCGTGTACTTATTTCAACTTGAAATATCACCTCTCAAAGTGGTGTTCCACCTCGCTAATGGTGATCATAAACATATCCTGAAATACAATGATTACTTAATAGTTACAATACGTTGAGTAGTTAGTTTGTAATCATTTTGTGAATTTTTCAATGGTAGCAATCGATAAGTATATTTTTTTCATCCAAAGAATAAAGAATCATGTTCGGTATTTTTAAAATAATTTCCTTCCTCCTGTAAAAACCACTGATTCTTTACTTTGTGATTCTTCAGACAGTTCCGTTACTCAGAATTCGCGATGGATTCTTTTAACTTCTAATTATATTCACCTCTTTATTTTCCAGGTTTGTCTTGTTTGATAACTATCCTGTTGATCGGGAAGATCTTTTAAACAAAACTGGTGATGTCACTCCTGAAGGAGAATACGTAACTCCATTCAAAGATCCCAATAAGAGAATAGGTAACTTAAAACATCAGCATTTTTTATTCAAACTTTTTTTCGTACTATGGCTTTTTTATCTATTAGCTAAATAAGAGAATTTTTTATATCGCTTGCAGAATTGTCTTTTGAACATTTTTAGCATTTCATGAATTTTATAAAACTAGCTTGTCATATAGCCATCAATTTCCCCCATATTTCAAACAAATGTTCGCTTCATTCATGCCAATATTCTAATGTGGAATTTGTTTCTTCAGGTGCAAATTTTGCAGCCTTGTCTGCAGGTCGAGTCGGCATAGTCAGCATCTGCCTAGCTTATATGACAAAAGCAGTCCCTATCGCAGTACGATATGCAGCTACTCGTCGACAATTTGGACCAGAGAACAAAGAAGAATTGCCTATTCTAGAATACCCTCTTCATGTAAGTATATAATTTCTGCAGTCATTGTCATCATACATGTTGTTATAAATTTTTATTTCTCCTCTTAAATAGGTATATAGGGATGATTGATGTGGAATAAGACACAAGTGAAAAGCTTTGATACATAGATATTAGAGAGCCGATCAGCAAGGTTTTAAAGTATGAATTGTAAATTTTTTGGTAATCAGTGAGCTTTGAAAAAGAAAATATTAAACTGGAAAGAACGATTCAAACTTCAATCAATCAATTGATAAACGCTTGATTTTAGGATATTTTTTTTAAGAATTTCTGAGCCTCTTATCCTCATTCTGCTGCAGTGCATCAGATATTTGCACACAAAATTTGACAAAGAAAAAATTTGAAATAATCTCAAAAGTATGGTTTGAGTGAATATCGCTAATTTTTTCTGCATTTCTACTAGTAATATTCACTTGGACCGTACTTTTGGAGGTACATATTTCAAAGCCTTTCATTGTCAAATTTTGTTCACTAATATCTGACGTACTACAGTGTGATATGTGATTTTGCACTTTGCTACATGCTTAATGAAGATTCACTAAGATAGAAACCCAACTCAAAGTATCTCCTCCCAGCTTCTAATCCGAAAAGTCTGTTCAAGTCAGTTATCTCATATCTGATTTTAGCAATTTTGTCAGTTGTATCTATAATTTCAAGTTAAACTGAAGTATATTAACAATGCAAGTTTGCGTTTTTCTCCTGAATTACAGCAATGGAGACTGATTCCGTATCTAGCTGCAGCAGTGGTTTTGAAGAATTTCGGTGAATTTTTCAGTGCAGCTCTTGCAGAGACCTCAAAAGCTGCATTTTTGAACTTGCATCAGGATGATACCAGCAAAGAACAAGCAGTAAGTAAAGAAAATTTTATATTCCTCAGAACAGAATTTCGTTAAAAGCTGGTAGCAATCCTCTAACACTACTTTTTGTCAAAACTTAAGCCTCCCTCTCTATCGTGTTGGAGCATGTCAAGTCTAACGATTAAATAGCAAGGTTGGAGAGTATCATTCCAAAAAAAATTTGCAACAACCTACAGCAAGAAACCTTAAAAGAAGTGTAGACTTAAAACATCAAAAATCATTCATTACAACTCATTTAATCTAAAACCCTAGTATGGGAGGAAATCCTGCATCTCTTAATCGATGGAAGAATAACATCAACTTGTTAGCAATAAAACTTAGTAGTTAGGTGGGACGGTGAACAGTAGGGCCGATTTAGTTGCTCACTGTTTGGAAATTTTTCTGTAGAGAATGATTTAACTTAGTACTGGGAACAAAATGACACTTACTACGTACCAACTCAGTATGAAAATTTTCCATAATCAATTCATAACCTTCCATTTGGAAAGTTTTCCCATGACTTCTAAACATTATACGAATTTTGAAATCCTAATATTATTTCCCAAGAGAATTCATTTTTTGGCTCCAGTTAAATTCTTGGTACGGCACCAGTCGTTAGTGAATCAAAGTTGATTTTGTTCTTTTTCATGAATGCAAAAGTGACCCAACAGCCTGTTTCTTAACTTTTTTGTTTTTTTTAACAGCAAAATGAGTAATGAGTTTCTATAAAGTTACTGACTTCATTGTAGCCCTAATTTGAATTCGTACTCCAAAATTCTATTAAAGCATGCCATTGTTTTTCAGGCTAAACTGGGGATTGAAATACACACTCTGTCAAGTTCAGCAAAACCAGTAGCTGCATGGATTACTAATCTTGCGATTCAAGAAAGTCGGGAAGCATGTGGAGGTCATGGCTACTTAAAAAGTGAGTTAATACCATTAAGAAGTGAGNTGATAGATTCCACACCAAGCAGGATGTAAACAACAACAGGCAGTCGGAATTTAGCCTTGAAGAAGGGACCGAGGTGTCCCGAAACGCGTCGGCTTTTTAATTTTATTTTGTGAGTTTGAGTTTTTTAATTTTCCGATTCTTCTCTGTTTTCTCATTTAATTAGCTCACAGTTTGTTACCTCGGTTTTTTCCGTTAGTTTCGTTTGTTTTCGACTCTTTCGGTTCGTCCATTAAGAAGTGTCCACATTGGTCATTTCAGCTCGCTTCATTATGTTCTTTTTAATCAAAAACTGTATCAAAACTTCAGAATATTTCCCAAGCAAAATATCTGTGCAATAATTGCTCTGAGTTTGCCAAAGAGTTGGATCCATGTTTCTCTAAAAAAATATTTTAAGTCTTCATAAATACCACCATTTTTACAAGTAAGTTTTCTGAGTCAAAAATCCATTAGGATGTCTTTCTATGAAATTTCCAAGATTTTCTTCTGAGGTGTGAACTTCATTTTTTGAAAACTTCACTGATTTCCCTTCTTTAAGTAAAGAATGTTCTTTGAAGATTTCAAGCCATGATGTTGGTTTGGTTGCCTCTTGTAAAATACAAAAAGGAGCGATGATCTTGAAACACCTCAAGTAACAGATTTTTGCAATTTCACCGTCAACCAAAGTTACTAAATGGACCAATTGTGAGCCTTTCAATAACTCCTTCATTAACTCTCATCAAAACTTCACAGGAAGATGAGAGTGATGTTGCAAGAGAACTGGGCAGCGATGAAAACAAATCACACAATTGTCATATGATGTAACTAAATTACCGTTTTCACTGTCATCTTTCAGTTGCGGGACTGTGTGACCTCCGAGAGGATACAGATGTAAATGCAACCTATGAAGGCGACAACAATGTATTAATCCAGCAAACAAGCAACTGGTTACTACAACTATGGTCTAAAAGGAAGACTCCTGGTGTGTTTGATTTTCCATTAGGCTCAGTCACATTTATTGCTGATGCAGATAAAATATTAAATTCCAAGTTCACTGCGACAAGTGTGAAGGAGGCAGTTTCACCTAAAGGTGCGTGAAATAGTTTATTTTAATTGTAACCCTCACATTTTTTGATTGACCGCAAGAACTTCAGTTTTTGTGTTGAAAAATGATGATTTTATTTAAGAATGGTCACTCATCCATGTAGCATTTTCTGATACAGTACTCTTTCTCTGTAATGGATCTCAAGGGACTGGAAGATTTGTCCGACACAGAGAAAGGTCCGGTCGACAGAGGGGAAAATATATGTATTGAGCATAGCAAGGGACCCGGAGAGAGAGAAGTGATAAACAACTGTAGAATTTGTGGAGAGGTTTTACCAACATTTAATTTAACTCATTGCACCTCTGTCATTATTAAATGAATCAATATTAATTATCAATATTTCTTTTCTAGTCAGTATTACTAGTGCCCAGAGGTGCAGAAAATGCCTGATTGCCGGACATAAAAATGTGGAAAGGCCCTATAAATTTGGAAGGAGGGAAAATTTTTAAAGTCAAAAGTAAGAATCAAAAGGGGAAAAAAGAAAAGAGTTAAACTAATGGGCAATTTTGTGGAAAGCCAGCAGTAGGTGCGTGATAATCTGAAGTTAGGAAGATTCTGCACTTCTGTTGGCGGCTTGTTGGACAGCTGAAATTGGCAACGAACGTTCATCTCAAAAGCCCTTCGCTTTCATCAATCAGAAATCCAATCAAAAAGTCGTCAGCACCTTACCTTGCAGTCAGTGTTATTAAAATGAAGGCATTATGAAGTGTTTATCCTATAGTCTCGATTGTTTGCTAAATTCTCTTCATCCCTCTAATAACTAATTGATTAGTCTTATTTTGGTGTCGCATTCGCATCATTTAATGTCTCCAGCATAGTTGAAACAACAAAGTTGAACTGAACTGTGATTCATCCAAATGCAACTAACTTCTCTGGCGTCGGAAACACCATATTTGTTATTGAATTCATCTATACAGGCAAGCATTTCTCTGAATTTGACCATGCTTTTTGTTCCCTTTTGACAATACCGTCCAATTCTAATAAGAAGAATGAAAGTAGTTTTGTACTAATTTACTTGGTACGCACTACACCCTTTGTCAAAGCCGCTTGGTGCATATCATTTTCCCCATATTATTTAATGTAAAATTGATTTGTATTGTTTACAGTATTGCAAGATGCATTCCAATGGTTGATTTGTCACCTTCTGAAGTCAACAGCTGCCAAAATTGAAACTTTGTCGAAGAAAGGCTTCGACTCATTCAGTGTCAAGAATCATTCCCAAGTCTACTTAGCAAGAACGTTGTCTCTAGTATACTGCGAGGTTTGTACATTTTTGTCCATCTTTACGTAAAAGGTTTCTCCAAAGCTTTTTCCTAAAGCATTCGGATTGCAGTTAAGAAGAAGAAACCTTATAATGAGAAATTCTGTACATGTCGTTCTTTTTTTCCTCGTGTAGTCCATTTGATATTTTGCGTATAATTTGAATTTACTGAACTTGTCCTCCCTGAAAGTAATTTCAATTATTTTATTTTCCCCAAGTTTTCCTTTCAAATAAGTCATTGAGCTGGAGAGTAAAAGTTAAAACTTTCGTGTAGGTATCAGGCAAAAAAGTATCAACTTTTTTAGTAGCTTGTTTCCTGAATTTCATGAAGCTGTCTCCCATGATCAACAGCATTCTTTTAATTTTTCCTCCTTTTTGTAGGAGCAAAAATGCATATTTTTTTTTAGAAATTTCTCTTGAGGTTATTTACAGAGAAGGAAAACTGCATCTTTCTTTACAAAAGGACAAGGACTTTTCAAGTCCTTTGTTAAGGGAGGGCAACTCTAAACTCGAAAATGAGATAGTATTAAAAATTGAAGTGGGAAGGTATAAGAAGCAAAATGGCTGTCCCGAACGAAAAATTCGCAAAATCTGCAGAGATACGAAAGATTGTAAGTCTGACTGGTGATGTGACGCACTCCTGGTGCGACTGCGGTTCACATGCACACACCTCGAAGTCTGGCGCGTTTGCTGTCCGGCACCGCAAAGTCGCCTTTATAGTCACCCGTAAGCAAAGAAAAAAGAGTCGGCCAGGAACGAGCGAGATCGGGGCGAACTAATAACTTGTTGCGAACTAGCGTCGGAAACTTGACACGGGAGACAGAATGCAGAGTGCAGACTGCGAAATGCGAGACTGAGCTCATGATGTCTTGCGCTCAGCTTTTTTTTCGCGATAGCAGCTCAACAAATGCAGATATTCGCAAACGGATTGTGGCATCGTTCATTGCACTATTTTCTTTGTCAATTTAGCCAAACTTGTTTATTAGGTTGCCGTCCCCTTCAAAGAAAGATTTGAAATTCACAGAAAAGTAAACAGTTAAGAAGCTAAGTAGCTAGTAGATAGGAGAATAATGTTTTCCTAGGCCAGTAGCCCATATCAGGGACTGGTGTTTTAATGGTCGAATCTACTAGAATAGGTGGAATTCCAAGATCTGTTCAAACGCCATGTGGGTAGATAGAATACAAGATAGAATTCTCCCAGTGAAAATCAATTAGGTCTACTAATTCAGTGGATGATGCCATCTGCCCTTTTTTCAAAATGCAGTATTTCCATTCATATTGGGCAAAAAATAGACACATCTAATTATTTCTCTATCTTCAAGATTTAATTATCATAACATGACTTTGTTATCAATGTAATGAACAATTTATTCAGTATAACTGATATTTGTTACTCAATGTACAATCCCATTATTTCAATATTTTGTTTTGTCGTTTCCTAGCATTTCCTACTGAAGAAAATTTTGGAGCGAGCTGAATCCGTCAAAGCTGATGAGAAATTGTACAAGATTCTTCTGAAGGTGTCCTCTCTCTATGGTGCATGGTCTTTGGAGAAACATCTCGTAACCATGTATCAAGGTATGAATATACAAATTGAAAATTAAGGAAATGAAGTTTCCACAAAAAATCCAAGTGATCACTTTTTTTCTTTTCTTTTTTTTTCCTCTTGGTGAAACAAAAATTAATTCCCAATCCAAAGATCAACCTCTAAGGAGGAAAATCTCATTGCCAGTCCTAGATTTCCTTCAAAGGTGACTGCCCTACCTATTTCACCACTTCAATTTGACATATTTGAGTTTATTATGTATGGGGATTTTTTCTTTCTTGAAAGTTTTTTGTATTCAGAAACAGCAAGATTTTATCGAGGCTTTAATACAATTTTTTTTTTGTCTTGACTGTAGATGGGAGTTGTAACCAGAAATTAATACGTATAAAATAAGGACCAATATGTTCAGATGCTTTAGACCATTGTATTAGTATTTGATTATGATATGCCACGAATTTCATAAAATTATGACTTAATTAACAATGTACCTATCCCTATTCCAATTTGTGGAGGAAAAGGACAGCAAGAAATGATTGAAAAGAAAGACTTTATATGAAAACTTCAAATTTTGAAGTCACATAAAAGCATCAAAGCCTCTCTACAATTACTATGTCAAATATGAACATGGAAGTAAATAGTCGGCATATACAAAAACAACCTCCGTCTTATCAACCGATGAGCCTTACCTCATATATTCATCTTAAATCAATAATACTTGATGTTTTGTCTTTTTTTTTTTTTTTTTTTGCAGGGGGTTATGTATCAGGTGCTTTACCAGCCACTATATTGCGAGATGGAATTTTGGACTTGTGCTCAGAGCTGAAAGACGATGCTGTTTCCTTAGCAGATGTGATCGCTCCCTGTGATTTTGCGCTCAACTCTGCACTGGGAATGTCTGATGGAGAGGTAAATTTTGCTGTTAGTTTATATTAAACTTGTAAGGTTACTAAAAATATTTTTAAAACATTGTTTTCACTTGAGTGTGGAATTTTCAATTGTACTTTCAGATGGAAGTAAGTTTACAATATGCAATCAATTAATTTTGGGTCTCAGATTTCGTGGAAAAAAATTATTGTTGTAGATTGTGTGAAAAACCACTCCCAAATTCTCTTCCTTAAAACTTCGTAATTTTAATTGATCAAGAAAAAAATACATTGACATAACCTCGTAACATCAGACCATAAAAAATTAATTTAATTTTTTTTCAAACAAAATGATGTGTTGTTCCTTATTTGTAACAATCTTTTACAAGTTTTTGTCATTGTAGCATTGAACATCTCAATTCTGGATCAGCTCAGTATCTAATCAGTTAAAACAAGTCTACTTTTTAAGTGCTCACTTGCCCCTGAGTCTACGTATTCAAATTTTCATTTCTCTCGTACTGATGAACTTTCTTTTGCCTTTTCAGCTCTATAAAAACTTTCAAAAAGCTCTCTGCGAATCTCCAGACACATTCACACGGCCCAGTTGGTGGAGGCAGGTGACATTTTGGGAGGCAGCTTTGCCGGCCAGTAAACTATAACTCAATAACATCATTTTAAGTTGTAGAAAATATATTGGGCCAATTTAAAATGAGTTATCAGGAACTCAATATTAGCCTTAATAATTGCTCACTTTTTATATTTTCAGGAAAAAATACAGGGTACTTAGCTTTTTTATGAAACTCTCTCTTTAAAGCTGGAAATTACTTGATTACATTGATAGGAAAAGTGAATCTCCTTAGAAAAATTTTATTTTTTTAATAAAATGAGTTCATTCACTTTTTGAAATCACCTCTTCTTGTTTCGAATCTCTACCAAAGTAACTACTTAAGCCGATATTGAACATCGCACATTGTTAGTTTTCTAATTTTAAACTATGTTCCTTGAATTGTAAAAGACACTCTCTTCAAGTGAGAAATAATATTGTAATTGGTTACATTGCTATTAGGTAAGGTGAATCTAATTTTTTTCTCACCTCATATGACATTATTTGAACTCTGTGGTCTGACAAATTAGTGTAAAACTTCTGTTTGGGGCAGCCAAAAACGGGTAATGGGCTTTTATCCATTATAATTAGATTGCAACTATTTTTTAATGTTTTCAAGTTGCTAAGAATTTTACTTTGTATACTGAAACAACATCACATGTTTTTTTTTACTGTTATTTTTTACTTGTTGTTTTTATTGATAGTCTATACTTATTGTTGTTTTGTATTGTTTCTTTGATTATATTTTTTGGACAGATCTCTATGGTTTTCATTTTCTTTGCAATGGACAATAGAATACAAAACAGAGAGCTTTTATCAGTTGTCTTATCAAAGTGGGGAAAATGAAGGAAAAAATTATCACTTTCGGCCCTATCTTATTCAGAACAAATGCCTCTCACCAACTTTGAAGTGAATCTACCGATTTTCTGCAAGAATGAGAACTTTACATGTAAGTTCTTTCTTCACATTTTCTCCTTTTTGGATATCCAGTGGTGTTGTGTTGGTTTTTAGAAAGATCTGCTTTCTAGTCCAGCTATCAAACTCCAACTAGTTTTTTTCTCTCTCTTTTCTTTCCTTTTTTTCATCAAATGAACCTTTACTCTCAATCATCTGAAAAACATAAAAAAGCCCTAAACTCCGTGAACCTAAACCCCTCATAACATGAAAAAATTCTAGAGGAACTGTAAAGTAAACCCTTTACCAAAAGTACAGTTATAACAATGACAAAGTATCCTTTTGGCTTAATTTTGTAATATTGAAAAGAAAAAATTTCTCCTTACTTAAGTATTATGTAGAATCATAAGAAACACTCGTCCTAACACTTTTAGATAAAGTGCAAAAGGTTTTCGGTAATCAGAAGCCCCACCTATTGGTTTATAATTTTCTCAGACTATTCTGCAGTTGAAGAAGTGTCAGAGAAGTTCTTTGGGAAAGAAAGGTGAATATTTTTCAATTTGATAAATAATAGATATTCTAGAAAATTTGCAACATCGTTTTTGCAGTCAAATGAATAAATGCCAGCACTCAGCAGACTACTAAAAAACGATAAGCGCCCTTTCTTCGACCTCGAGCAACTATATTAACTCTCCGGAAATCAAATTGCATACCCAACAAAATTAAAGGAACTTTGAGAGAGTGGGTTGGCTACCAGCTCCCAGGAGAGGCGAAGTTAATAAAAAAGAACGCCGTTCTCGAATAATTGCTTTGTCCTACAGCATCTATTTTAAGTCTCCGGAGATCAAATTGCACATCCAACAAAATTGAAGGAACTTCAGGTGAGTGTCAAGGATGTTTACTGACCATCAGCAGACTAAATAACAACGAAAATCGCCATTCCCGAGAGTTCGCATCGACCTTCAGCTACTATTTTAATTCTCCGGAGATCAAATTGCATATTCCAACGAAATTGAAGAAGCTTCGGGTGAGTGCCATGGATATCAACGGTGAAACTACTTGACCAGGTACCTCGGTTTGCGACGTTGCCTGTCATACTTAATTTTTGTAATGGAAAACTGCTCAACATCAATTCTTGAAAACTTTCGTGTTTTCTCTTTCCTGTGTAAAGGATACTCTCGGAAAATCTCAAGAAATGATGTTGATTTGTTTTCATTGAAAAGAATAAATTGAGAGCGGAGATTTTTAAACACTGCAAACGAGGTACATATGTGGTCTGGTAGTTTCACCGTCGATGTGTTCTAAACTAACTATAGCTATCGACAGCCTGAATTTGCAGACTCCTAAAGTAATTCATATTTCCTGCTTACAAGCGGTGCACAAGGTTGCAGCAGTGCAGCCTGGAACGTAAACAATAATAATGCCAGATTGAGCAAATTGGTTCAAATTGCTACATTTTCCCAGTTATTCCACTTTTCGAACAAAAGGAATCTTAACGGCAAATTCTGAACCAGACGTTCTGATTGGTCCAGAGCGGTTCATTCCATTTATTCCGAGTTGAACCAAAATAAGCGGGAATTTCAAATAATTCCGGATATCCTGTTTACCAATTCGTTTCCGTTTCCGGTAAAGCAATGTTGACAAATTTACGAACACTCGGTGAGTAAAACTGACAACACTGTTATACCGGAAACGGAAACGATTTGGCAAACAGGATATCCGGAACTTGTAAAACTGACAACACTGCTACTGAAAACAAACGAATTTGGAATTATTTGAAATTCCCGCTTATTTTGGTTCAACTCGGAATAAATGGAATGAACCGCTCTAGACCAATCAAACAAACGGAACAATGAACAAGAAAAACATTCATTAAGTGAGGTTATGTTTATGTTTTTAGACCATGTGCTGATTTTGAATACATTTGTACTTTTATTGCATTACCTCTCCCCGTATTTTCTAGTATGATAAATCATTTTATTCTTCTCTTTTTTACTTAATTTGTGATTTTTACCCCTGGACAGCAACTGTCATCCCAAAAGAAGGTAATTTTATACCTTAACTCAAGAACTCTATTGCAACAAGTGTGCCTCATGCATCAGATTTAACTTCACAATGAATGCCCCTAAATCTTTTAAAGGCAAAAAGTTTAAAAAGAAACCCAAAAAGTTTGAGATTAAAGTAGTGTCACGCAAAGAACGACGAAAGGCACTGCGGAAGGAGAAAAAATCCAAGAAGTCTTCAAAGCAAGTTGCTGAAACCTCGCCATCACCTAAAAAGAGCAAAAATACAGTCAAATCAATCCTTAAGAAACCCACCTCAGATCCTAGCAAGAAAAGTGTAAGGTTCAAGAACTCGTCTGAAATTCAAGATGATCTACGCTCCAGAGAGAAGCAGTCGCGTGCACAGCTGGAGAAAGATATGGCACTCGCAAGAAGGAAACAACTTATGCAAGCCAACGATGAAGAAGATCGAAATATTCGGCAGTTAGAAAAGTTATTGAAATTGAACAAGAAGAAACAGAAGAGCATCCCCAAGGCATTCAAGGAAGATGGATTGGATTGTATCCTTTTTACTAATTTTTCTTATAGTTCAGTCCTCTTAAAGTAAGGTACCTATAGATAGCTCTATTTTCATGGTATTTTTTAGTTTTATACGCCTACATCATAACCCATATGATAAATTGGACGTATTTCTATCAAACAGAACTATGAGCAGGTGAGAAATATAGGGTGTGCCCTAGAAATCTGCATAAGAAACAATGTAAAAGGGGGCGTGATTCCTCTTGGAAAGATCGAAAAGCGGGATATTACATTTTATCAAACAGAACTATGTGCTAACTGAATGCGGGATTCATGAGCCGCGAGGATTGGACGAGAGCGTTGTGGACAGAGCTCATGAGTTAAAGCGCCCCGACGACGATCTCCCCCTCGCGCCCCGGCTTTATCATTGCCGCTGACGTTACTGGCGCTTTATTATTCTCATTCACTCTTATGGTCAGAGAACTAGCGAGCACACCCTATATTTCTCACCTGCACATGGGTTTGTTTGATGGAAATACGTCCAATTGGCAGAATAATTCAATTCATCTTTATCATTAAGGTGTGTGATGTGATTCAGCTTACTTAATGAATAAATATAAAATGCAAATTTCAAATTTATCAAAAGACTCGGCCTATAGGCTTCAAATTTTACAACGGAGGTAGAAAAACAGGTTCTAATTTTTTTAACGACAAGTGTTGAATGACAGGCTCTAAACTTGAATGAAAATTTTGTATTTTTCAGCATTTAGCCTAGAGCTCGTATATGTTGAGACAAACTTCTAAGTATTGCTTAGGTGACCATTCACTAATGGTGCCACCTGACTACATGTATTAACCTGTTGAGTGGTACGAATTCAGAGCTAATCGGAGATTGAAGTTTGTCTCAACATACGATGCACGAGCTCTAGTCATTTAGAGTAGCATTTAGGGTCCTCAACTCTTACAGTTTAACCCAGGTGTTTAAATGGTAAGAGCCAATTTTATCTTCTTGGAGAAATTTTACCTGATTCAAACTTTCCCATGTCTTCAGGGCCAGATTTAGGTTTTCAGGCCCCCGGGGCACTGGGCCGGCAGTACTTTGCCTCTCTTGAGTCAACAGTAGCCCCCCTCCCTTCCCCTACAAAATGAAGTACACAATTGAAAAATACAAAATGAAGTGGATACACTAGGAAAGAAGAAAATTCCAATTTTGAGATTTGGCCATCGCCAAAATTTGCTCCAATTGCAAAATTGCGGCCTGGGCTCCAGTGCCCTACAGGCAAATCCGGCCCTGCACCTCTCAATATTTCATGCTATGGGAGACTAGGGAGAGAGAAAGAGAATATATGGCTCGTTGAGTACTTCTCAAACTAGTGTATCCTTAAATGTATCAATAGTGTATGAATAGCCGATGTAAGATTTTGAAGCCTTTATAGTTGATTTTAAAAGTGAATCTCCTTAGCTTTCTCTCCAGACCTTTTAGAAATATGTGATCTGGACTACACTAAAAACCTGCCTCCAAACGTACTTGAAAATGATATTGAAGAAATGGCGGAAAGAGAAAAAGAAAAATTTAAAAATGATAAATCAAAGAATAAGCGTAAAAGTGATGATGATGATGAAGCACCTGAAGAAAAGAGTAGTAAAAAACCAAAAATTAGCAAATCGGTACCCGAAAAATCCACCAAAAAAGGTGACAATAAAAAAAGTGAGGAGATGAATGAAGATGCGGATGAAATGGAGGCTGATAGGGAGGTTGAATTCGGTAGTAATATTGGCGATGGGAGTGATGTCGGCGAAGCCAACGATATCTCTGATCTAGAAGATAACATGGAAATGAGCTTCAATGATGGAGAAGAAGATATTGAGTCTAATAGTGACATCCCAGACATGGAAGAAGAATTCGAGCTCCAAAGTGGTAGCGGTAATGGCAGTGATGTCGCAAATGAAGATGAAGTCGAAGACATGGAAGGAGAGTTTGAACTGCAAAGTGGTAGCGAGAGTGGCAATGATATTGCAGACGAAGATGAAGATGGAAACATGGAAGAGGAATTCGAACAAAACGATAGCAGCAACAGTGATGATATCACTGCAGATGACAGTCGTTACGATTTCAGTGATGAAGAGAGTGAAACTGAAATCCAGAAAGCACCAAAAAATAAGGCATTAGAGCTCCCTGATGGACAGTGGGAAGATATTTATGGCAGGCTAAGAGACAAAAAAGGGAATATCATTCAGGTAGGTTTATTTGCCCTTTCTTTTTGATATTTAAAAGTTTTTTTCTAAGTTCACTTAATTATTTTCATTGCCAGCTCTGTTTAGACGTATAATATTTTTCAGCTGTGGTTGTGATCTCCTTAAAAGCAAATGTCAAACATTTACTGACTAAACTGAATTAAATTCTTGAGGTGGCGTGCATAATGCGAAAAGTGAAAGGTTTGATGGAAGCTGTAAATAGATTTAATAAATTTCATCAATTCACTGGCCTTCAAATGCCTCAGTTATTAAATCATAAACTAATTTTCTCCCTTAATTGACACTCTGAATTTTTAACTCTTGTTGGAATCTTCTTTCAGGTATTGCTGTCACCAAAGTGCCAAAGAGATTGCAGTATAAAGTGTAAAATAAGTTTTACCATAGAGGATAAAAACTAACTAACTTTCGTAATATCTATCGATAAAAATGAAAACTGAAGAAAAATATAGATACCAACTATTTTGAAGCATTGACATGCTATTTTTCAACCTTAGAAAAATGAATTAAATAAAAATACGAAAAATTGGTAAAAGTCTGAATAAATCGTTTAAGTAAAAACAATGAAAAATTTTCAATACTTAAGAATGAATCAAAACGGCCAAAATTCTCTCTGTCAGCCATTTTTATTTAGGAAATTTAGTCAGTGGTTTTACTATATTGTACTCAATTTTTTCAGGAGAAAACCTCAGGGAAATATGTACCTCCTGCCATGAGGGAAAAACTTGAAGAAGTTGACGAAAATAAAGCAGCTGAAATGATGCGACTCAGAAAGCTAATGAAAGGTCTCATCAATCGACTTGCAGAAGGGAATATGCCTTCTATATCTAAACAAGTAAGTCAATTTTAAGGGTTCTCTCAACAGGACTCTATTCTACAAAAAGGCAAGTCTAATTTGTAGAATTTATTCAAAACTTTCTAAAGACATGGTGATGATTTGTAACAATGTAGGCAGAAACTTTGCAAGATGCATAACTTCAACTGTTATCAAGTTACAAATAGCATCAATTTTTAGACTACATTGGGCTTGCATTCTTTATTTTTAGCCTCTAAATTCTGATTTATAAGTGCAGAGTGTTCAGTGAATTTGAAGCACTACATCTAAATGCTTCATCTTATGGTCCGGAAGCCTCATAGAGAAAATACAGAAAGTGGTGGCGAGGCAGTCACTAATAGAATCAGCGGAGATGTAGAAATGTACATCATCTTATCAGCAAATGAGAGTGAGGTCTGATGTGGTGTAGAAATGCACATCCCTCCCTCGCCTCCGCCTTCTGTATTTTTTCTATGTAGATGCCTGCCAATACAAATGTGAATTACTTGGAGATTAGCGGAGCACTTAAATGCTGCCATAAAATGCCCCTCTGAATTTCTATCTGACTTCATCATGTTGATCCTACCGACAGTCATGTGTTTACTCCTGGAAGTCAACATAAACATGGCATGAAACTCAACAAATTATTTTATGTTTGACTAAGCAGCCTCATTCAGATTTTGTTAGATACCTACCTCAGTGATTTTTCTCAGTATCATGTAGAAAAAGGCATGAAACCCCCCTTTTAAGAAATGTATAATATTGAAAATGTCTAGAAACACCTTGACGTTGATCTGCCCCTAAAAAGTTCATACAATGAATATCTTTTTGCAATGGTTTGTGAGTTAGCTCATGGATTACAAAACTTCAAAGACTCAGTGCTTAATTTATATGTTAATCCTTGAATTTTTACTTCCTGTCCAAATAATGATAAATTTTCTATCGATTTTCAGGTGGAAGATATTTACATGTCCCACAGCAGAAATTCTACGAATGAGATGTTATTTAAACTCTTCGAGGAAGCAATTGTTGCGGAAACCCTTACGCCAGAGAAACTTATTTTAGAGCATGCCATGTTGATTGCAATTCTTCATGCCAATGTAGGCACTGAAGTCGGTAAGGACCATCAAATGTATCAGTCTAGTACCTAACAGAACTTTTTTTTCCTCCAAATGAAAGATTAGATTATCTCAGTCTTAAGTCACATTCAAATTATAGTTTTACATATAGATGGTGAAACTACAATAATGCGTCTTTCGGTTTGCAGCGTTGCAAACTTCCTGTCATACTTTATTTTGTTACATGGGAAACTACTGAACATCATTCTTTAAAACTTGGCTGATTTTTTTTTTCTGCGTTAGGAATCTTCTTTGAAAATTTCAAGCCATGATGTTAGATTGGTCTCCTTACAAACAATAAAATAGAGGCGAAAATTTTGAGGCATTGCTCCTGCCATATGAATTTTTTAGTTTCACCGTCAATATGGAATTTTGATAGAAAAACTAACACTTAATCATCCCTTTCAATGCACCAGACAAGATACTTAATCTGACATATTTTGCATGCTGTGATGAGTTTACTTTTAATTTCAGTCTTTTTCTCGCAGCACTAGCAAATCAATGTTTCATTTTCCTTGTTTTTTTTTCTTTTAATTTTGAAAATGAAATTTTAAATTCTGGGATGTCCTCATTTTTCATTTTCTTCTTTTCTTTTTTTCCTTATCAGCCTTTCCCGGGGTGAAGTTGTAGTTGGCCACATTTTTTGGCTGATTAAATTGCTCATTATTCTTTTAATGTATGTTGTCTTTTGGTGTGGATATGAACTACAAATCTAACATGTTTATGACAAAGTGTCAGTCCTTTCTAAAACCCTGTCCAATATTTACGTCTTAAATTTTGCTCCTGAAAGTTTGATTATATAATTTTTTCGCAAAATTTCACATTCTTGCACATTGTATTTAAACGTGAGAAAAGTATTCATTTATTTTTTCTTATCTGTTCTTTACGATTCAGGTGCCTACTTCATGCAAGAATTGATCAAGAAATTTGACGGCTATTATAAAGATGATTTGATAATTGAAGATAAGAAACTAGATAATTTACTTTACCTTCTAGCTCATATGTATACTTTTAAGGTAAGATCAATAAATTTGACCGAGATACTTTTGAAACAAACCAAAAACATAATTTCTTCAAACCATTACCATACTCATACCCACCGATTTTCATATTTTATGTGACAGAAAATTCTGGCGCAGGTTGTAGATGTATCGAACTTGTAAACATTTTCTGGGGCCGAAAAAAAAAAGGCCACCACAGTCAGAAAATCGGGAAAAGTCAAAGAAAAACAAAAAATGTTAGAGAAAAATTGTGTAACCACCACCATTCGCTTTTCAGGGTGTGTCTGACATGTGCGTCTTGCAAATGTTGCATTTTTGGGTTTGGAAGTGGCAGTTTTTATTTCTCTTAATCATTCTGTTAATCTTCAAATATCAGGAAAATTTTTCAGGGGAATCAAGAATTTTTTTCTTTTGAATTCTTCAGCAACCCTGATCAAATTGAAAGTGTGGATCATCCTCTCAGCATTGGGTCAAAACCTCAGACTCTTGCTTGTTTCTATGGGCCATCCAGTAATTCTGGCAGAAACTCGTCAATCCAGCATTAACAGAAAGTTGGATTTCTTGATTCATCTATGTCCATTCAGTAATGACGATTCAGCTTCTCTTCTCTGAAGACTGGTTCATTCAGTGAGCTTATGGATACAAATTGGACGTATTTCTACGAAACGGAACTATGTGCATTAAGATATGAGCCCCGAGACCCATAAGAATACATGCATAACAGGGCTCACATCATAATGAACATAGTTCCGTTTGGTAGAAATACGTCCAATTAGTCTGCTCCAAAAATAATTCTCTACCATTAAAGTCATAATCGGATCAAAGCTTACTCTCATTCGTTGCATTTTCATATATTTGAAGATTTTAAGAAGCATATAATACCAATGTAATTCTGCATATCAATAGCTGAAGTGGGAAAATGCCTAGCTCAAATTAACGTTGTAAGTCTTTGCTTACTTTTTTTTTAAAAGGGAAACTAACCAGCGGCTTGTAATAACATTTTCTGTGAATTTTCTTCTCTCTCTCTCTCTCTAGCAAAATCACACAAAATTGCAAGCAAACTTATTGATTAGTTTTCTTTTAAGAAAATTAAACTTAATCGAAGATTTTTAAACATCGTAATTGAAACACGCATTTTCTGCATTTAGCCATCAATGTGGAAGCAGGTTATTATAATGAAACTTCTGCCCTTTTTTCCAGATTTTCAATGGCTGTTTACTTTATGATATGGTCAATCAATTCTGTGATAACTTTAGCGAAAAGGATATTGATCTGATTTTAATTGTTTTGAAGTCAGTGGGATTTAATTTGCGGAAAGATGACCCTGGTGCTTTGAAACAGTTAATTGTGAAAATACAACTTCGAGCCAACAAAGAAACTAAGCTAGCTGAAGGGTTTGTATTTTTTTTTTTTTTTTTTTTTTTTTTTTTTTTTTTTTAACTCAACCTCCTTTCATTAACTTAATTCGTTTTTTCCTACGTACTAATTACAAATTACCTAAGTACAAATTCAAGTGCCCTAATTCTTAAAATGAATGCAAAATTTGTTTTCTTTTCTGAAGTTAATTGTTGCAAAAACGTCTGTACTTTTCAATTTTAACATCTGTACTTATCAATTTTTTCCATCTTAAAAATACTCAACAATCTATGTTCAAGACTTTTGTTTGACTTGGAGGCAATAATGATGCATGCATTTATTTTCAATCCTCTGCAAAATATAGCTATTTTTTTTGAAACATCATTCAATAATAACAGAAAGCATTCTGACAATTTTTGTAAAAAATTACTCAAAATCTAAAGAACTTTTTCAGAGCAAAAGCAGAAACTTACAACAGGCGCAGAGTAAAAATAGATAAATTGGTAAAATATTCCGCACTTATAATTTTTCAATATGTATTCCATATTTTTATTTCCCCTCCCTCATCAGCTCTGTATCAAAAATCGCAGTGTTTCTAAAAAATATTGCCAAGTTTGCAGTTATTCATAAAATGTTTTTGTCGAGAAAAAGAAAGATGAAGGGCAGAAATTCAAGGAATATCTAAAATTTTGGAACTGGTATTTAAGTGACTCGCTCAAAATTATAACTAGCCTTACACTTGAAAATCAGTTATAATTTAATATCCAATACCAGTAGACTGAGTCCAGTGGGATGGACCAAGTTAAATTTACTTTGAGTAAAAAAAAAAAAAAAAAAGTTCAAGAGGTTTGAAGTTGGATCCCTCTGCAAGACTCAATTTTAATAATAAATTTCACTATCTTTTTTCAAATTCAAAATAACTTGTATCTACTTTGAAGTTTGCACAGGAGAAAATGTACGCCTAGTTGAGCTTAAAACTACCCTTAACTCATTCTCCTCCCGGATGTGGTTTTATTCCTTTCTATTCAAAGCAGTCTGTCCCATATTTATGACAGGAAGCGTATTTTTTTAATAATAATAATAATAATAATAATATATTTATTAATGCAACAGCCTCATGAAATTCATACAAATTTATGAGCTTAACACTCGTCAAATAATTTAATGGAACAAAATTTAACATCAAATAAATGTAACAAAATTTTAACAAACAAGTAAAAAAAAGAAAACAGTAAATGAAGAACTAAGACTTAAGACTTAGGGGACTACATTCAGGCAATTTAGGGATTGGGGAGATTTGCGTCGAGATATTCTTTTAACTCGTAAAAAGGGTTTTCTATGAAGTAATTTTTTATGTCATTTAGGAATAGATTTGAATTTTCTGATTTAATGAAAAGTTCTTTTAATGGCTTGGGAAGCTTGTTAAAATATCTGATACCTCTGCTTTCTAAGCTATCCCAGTCTACTTTTTCCCCCCGTTTTTTTTCAATTTTTGCTAGGATATTTCTGGTTTGTATTTGATTATTAGTAATTAATTTTTCTTTGATGATGTAGCCTAATTTAATTGATTCCTTTATTGTTGAATATATATACCTAGAGAAGACAGTCATCACATTGAACTCTGGGAATAGTTTTCTACAAGAGTCAAATTTTTTTTTGTTTGCAATAATTCTTAAGATTTTTTTTTGAGTTAAAAGAATATCTCTGGCACCTGTTGTATAGCCCCATAATTGTATGCCATAGCTAATTATGGAATCCACGTTAGAATGGTAGTAAAACATGAGGGACTCCCTATCTATTTTCCTATTAAGTTTCCTAATAGCAAATGCCCTACTTGCAATTTTTTCCTCAATATGTTTTGCGTGAGAATGCCAATTTAGTTGTTGGTCAATGAAGAAGCCCAAATATTTCACTGTTTGATTTGTCTGAATTTCCTTATCACCGATTTTGACCGATTGAAAATCTAATATATTTTTAGTGAAGTTTAATATAAAGGTTTTAGCAAAATTTAATTTTAGATTATTATCCTCTACCCATTTGTTGACTCTATCGATGACCCATTTAATTTTATTTTCTATATCCACCCCTTTAACTACCACATTGATGTCATCAGCGTAGATTACTGTTTGAAGGTCAATTCCATTGTCCTCTAGAAAATCTGGCAGGTCATTTATGTATATAAGAAATAAAAGTGGACCTAGCAATGAGCCTTGGGCTACGCCAGCGGTACTAGGTGTGAAATTGGAATGATATTTTCGGCCATTTTTCGATACTTCGGTTGTTTGAAATCTACCGGAGAGGAAACTCCGAACCAACTTACAGGCTTTAGTGGAAAAGCCATATTTTCTTAACTTTTCAATTAAGATATCGTGATCAACTAAGTCAAAGGCTTTCGACAGATCAAACTGTATGCTTACGATTGACTCTTTAGAACAAGCATTTTTTAGTTGCCTTATTTGGTTTAGGAAGGTCATGACCGCTAAGCCTGTATTTTTTCCTTTTCGGAATCCAAACTGCGATGAAGTAAACAGATTGTTTTTTTCAAAATAATCATAGATTTGATTGTATAGAACTTTTTCGAGAATCTTTGACAAAAAAGGAAGTATCGCAATGGGACGATAATTTTCCAGATCTTTTTTGGAGCCTTTTTTATGTAGCGGGAGAATTTTGGTTAATTTTAATGATTCCGGGAAATTCTCTGTGGAAATTGTTTCGTTTACTCCTTGAACTATTGGATCCAGCAGAAGTTCCAAATTATCTAACAGTAATTTGTTGGGAAATTCATCCAAACCAACTGCCGCTTTTTTGTTCAGTTGTTTGATAATATTTTGAACTTTATACTTTGTGACGGATTTAAAATCAAAGGAATTTTTGTTTTTATTTTTATCTCTCATTAAATTACGAGCTAGGGTTGGACTTCCTGTTTTGGGAAATTTTGCCCTGATGTTCACAAAGCTGTCATTAAATTTGTTCGCAATTTCTACTGGATCATCAATTAGCTTCCCATCCATCAGGAGGTCACTTACATTTTCGTAAACGACTTGACATTCTAAATCGTTTTTGATGACCTTCCATACCTCTGCATTTTTTTTACTGGCAATGGCTGACTTTATGCGCTCAACATTTTTTGAGTATCTACAATTACTTATGAGTTTTTTTATCTTTTTATTTGCTCTGTTTACTAATTTTTTATATTTTCTCAAATTGTGGAACTTGAAGAGTTCCCAGTTCTTGTTTTTTTCTTTGATTAATTCCCCTAGTTCAATTTTTTTTAGAGATGGTAGCTCAAAATTATCTGTTTTCATTTTTTTCACTTTCAGCGGGAAACTACTGTTGTAGTTTTCTACAATAGATTCATGCAGTTCTTGTAAAGTTAATTGTTTTTTCGATTTTATGTAGTCACCTATGGCATTTTTAAAGATAGTGTTATTTCTTGCAGAGAAATATCTTTTCATTATGGGTTCTGTCTCATTACCTTTTAGCTTTGTTTGTGAGGCAATACTACAATGGTCGCTTAGAGTGGAGTCAAAGACATTTATATTCCCTATATCAAAATTTGAAAGACAGTTGTCAAGGAGGGTTTTGGAGTTTTTTCCTATCCTTGTGAACACATTTTCAACATTGAGCTTTAGATTAAAGGATTTGGCCAACAACCTAAAAGAAGCGTTATCTTTGCATTTCGAGTCGTTCATATCGACATTGAAATCACCGTAAATGGCTACTGTATTTTTTTGCGGTTTGAGTTCGTTAAGCAATTTTTCCATATTACTAAGAAATACCTTGAAATTTCCTTTTGGAGGTCGATACACTACAAGAATAAAAATTGGTTTTAAAAGTTGCACTTTTTTTATTGAGGTCACTTTGATACCTGTTATTTCAAATTCTTCTTCAATCGCTAAATGCTCAAAATCTAGTTGGTTATAATTTACCTGTGGAGAGACATATATGCTTGCTCCACCCCCCCGTTTTACTTTGCGGTTAAAGGAAGACGCTAAAGAGAACGTTTCTAGCTTAATAATATCCTTGACTTCTTTTATCCAGTGCTCAACAAAGCAGAGAATGTCAATTTTACTGCATTTTTCCTTAATTTCTACAAGTACTTCTTCATCTTTATTCCTTAAACTACGTACATTATGAAAGTATACATCTAGTTGTACCTCATTCCTTAAATTGTTTTGCCGCATTTTATTTTCTAGCTTGGTTTTTTGAGACTGGATGAGAGAAATGAATTTAGTACCTAATTCAACTGTGGGCACAGTTACGTCTAAGGCATTTAGTTTAAAGAATTTTCTCTGTCACTCTTGTTCAAAATTAAGGATGACAGTTTTTCTGCGATTAGGTCCTTACCAAGGCTATTTAGGTGTATACCGTCTACCGAATAATGTTCCCGACTCATAGGCGTGTTTATAAAATTACAATGCTTGTATTTTTTACTAAACTGAATTAACTCTAAATTAAATTTGTGGATCTCTTTATTAACAAACGCATCTTTGCTGTAATCTATCCGGTATGGAATTGCTAGAAAATTAATTTTGGTCTTACCATGTTTCCTTAGAAACATTTCAATTTCATTTATGGCCTCTTCCGTTCGTCCCTCATACACATCAATTGCCCCTGCTGAGATAACCACATTATCTCGTGGGGAGATTCCATTTAGGTTGTCCGAACAAATATACCATGTACGAGCGCCACCGGAAACTTTACTCTCAAGCTTGGTATTCCTGAATTTGTTTCCTAATTTTTGCCTAATGTTTCTAACGTGGCTGTCACCAAGAATATAGAGTTTAGAGCCCCCGGTTTCCTTCATTGTATCTCTATTGGTTTTGACATTATTGTCTTTATTTTTAGCTGTTTTGCTTCTCGCACTTGTTGACCGGTCCTCTGCCGAGTTTGGAGCTGCTTTTTATGAGAATGTCCTTTTCTGTTACAGATCTCGTGTAAAATTCATGATTGAAATCTTGCTTGCTGTGAAAAACAATAATTTTGCCAAGATTCCAGGTTATGATACCACTACTTCAGAAAGATTGAAGAAGTTAGTCAAAAATATAATTCGAGCCGGCAAATATATCTCAGAACTAAAAATCACCTTGGATGACTTGAGAAATGGTAAGCTTAACTTCTATTCCGAATTGCTAGTAAAGTCAAACTTGCTTGTAAAATGAAATTTATTTTAATTTTCTGTATTTGGTCTGAGTGTAGTGCTCAATCAAAGGCAAAGTTTGCTAGAATTCAAATTAAAGAAACGATGTATGTGATTGCCAAGTCTGAATGAGGATCACAATACTTATTGATTTTTTTCTACTATAATCAATTTTTTTTCTTTTTTTGCAGCTGACCAAAGAGGTCGATGGTGGATTGTAGGATCTGCATGGACAGGTGCCTTACCTCAACATCCTGGCAAGTCTACTAAAACAAATATTGAGCCACAATTCAGCAGTGAGATTTTACAATTGGCTAGGAAACAGCGAATGAACACTGACACTAGGCGAAACATATTTTGTATCCTGATGACCGCTGAGGTACTTTTGTTTTTCTCACTTTTTCAACTCACTCTTCAGTATTTCAAAGATTTTATTCACAAGACAAGTGTAATATTTGTATGCCATCAAAATAAAGCCAGTCAGAGACATTTTTAAACTTTCATTGAAAAACCATGTCTCAATTCCAATTGTGTTGAAATGGAATCCTAACAATAGTTAAGTGAAGCTATTCTCAAAAATAATGCGGAAACAGTGCCACAAGGATTCAATCTGAGAAAAAGGAAGGAGAAATTTTGGCTCGATTTTCTAAATGTCATTGATTTAACTTTTTTTAAACTTTATCCAATACATATCTGTCTTTAAATTTTTTGTTTTTAGGACTACTTGGACGCTTTTGAGAAATTGCTTCACCTTGGTCTAAAAGGATCGCAGGAACAGGAGATTTTGCGTGTTGTTGTTCATTGTTTATTGCAAGAAAAGCAATTTAACTTGTACTATGCCTACCTAGCTCAACATTTTTGTGAGGCTGATCGGAAGTATCAGGTAAATAACTCAATTCTAAAGTACACATAGGCCGATAAAAAGCATCTGTAACAACACAAAACAAGCAGGAAAGTTCTAATATATTCGCATTAAAGAAGCGCTCAGCTGTCAGTATGTGTTTAAAGTGAAAAATAAATTTTATTTACGGATGGTGCACTGAAGGTTGTGAAAAAATCTAAAAAGAACTCAGCTGATATGAGACATATTAATTTTTGCTTTGACAACATTACTCTAACAATATTTTCTATGTAGGTGCAGTTTTAAGTGCACCTAAAAAGATAAGCATCGATGAGAAAAGAATTGGCCTCAATGAAAATTTCAAAGGTCAATTTTGAGAAAACTACCCTACCGTTAAACCAATAAATTATAGAAAAAAGATTATTCTCCTCTGTTATTCGATATCAGAAGCATTATCGAAAGGTATCACACACAAATCTATTCTAAACATGTGAGGCCCCTATCCAGTGAGATCCGAATGAGCCGGTGCCCCATTTGATAACATTGTCACTAAGTATACTAGAATTCTATAGCCAGGTTGAAATCAGTAAACGCTTTCTATCGGCTGAGTGCTTAAAATAAGCTAGATAAAGGCTCAGTTTTTGTTTCTTTTAAAAGATCAAACAAAAACTGTCGATTTGAATTCTGTCACGAATAGTTCATGGCAGGTTTTTTTTTTTTTTTTATTCGATAGCATGTTATTGACTGGTTCTTTCTTGCAATCCCTGACAGGGATTTTACTACTTATTAGAGATCACAAAAAAAAACCAGTCAATGAACTAAAGCTATCAACTAACAGCAAGATAATTTTCATGGTCAAAAATTGACAAAATTATGTTAAGTGCGTAGTATAAGTAAAAAAGAAGAAAAAATCTAGATCTCTGTCCATTTTTAATGGAAGAACTTTTTTCATCGAATGGAGTCTTGAAAATCATCAGCACATTGTCACGAGATACAGCAGAAGTGATCCACCCATTTGCTTCAAATTTTTCCAATGTAGAACTAGTTTTACCCAATTACAAAACAGAGAAGCTCAGTTTTTTAAATAATTGGAAGAAATATTCAGTTGGAGAAGGCAACACATGCATACTTTTTTTTAAAAATATTCCTCTCTCAAATTTAGTGTGTTAAATACAGTTAGTAGTTTTATCACCTCTTCTTAATTTTTTCAGCTGAACATCCAGTATACTTCGTGGGACAAGTTTAAAGATTTGAGCTCCATGTCCTCTGTTCAGATCAGCAATTTTGCCAAGTTTTTAGCGCATCTGTTCCTAGCAAAAGCTGTGCCTATCTCCATTCTGAAGGTAAGAGCATCGCAGATACTATTTTTGTTTCAGTAAATCTGATATTGTGAAGAAAAGTAATCAAAATTTTACCAAGTGAGTTGAAACTGACCATCAACTGTCATACGAGTGCGCTGCGATACTGATTGAAATTTTTCGGGCAAGTTGTTCGAATTTTTCCCGAGCGTAAGATCATCTATCCGAAAAACTCAGGGATAAAGTAATGAGAAACTTTGAGGAAAATTTTTACAATGAATTAGATTTTTTTTCTTGTTGGGCAGGAAAAGTTTTTTAAAATTATTCGCTTGCTTTGTGTCACAGGTGCTGCATTTTACCGACTTGGATGAGGCAGGGTTAAAGTTTTTGCGGCAGCTTCTATCTATTATTCTATTGGCAGACTCGGATGATAAGGTTACCGATGTTTTCGTTCGGGTTTCGAAAGCTCCAAAGCTGAAGCTTTTCCGTGAAAGTTTGCGGCTCTTCTTCCATCATTTCCTTCTTAAAAACGCGTCAAAGTTACCAGATGTATCGGAAAATAAATTGGATCTCCTCAAGCGCCGAATCCCCATTGCGGAAAAAGCATTAATCGGATCAACAGATCCCTTTGGCTAGTAGAATATCATATGTACAAATAGGATTCTCTTGTGTTCAGCTTCTAAATCTAAGTTTTATGACATCAGGCGTTTTTGTTTTTGTAAAGTGTAAATAAAAAAATCTTTTTAAGTTTATAGCTTTTGTGAAAGTATCTTTTTCGGAAAATTTTCATAGGCTGAGAATTAAGGACGAAATTTTAGTCGAAGCACTTCCCAATGGCAACTTCAAAAAATAGATAACCTGCAGTCGGTTTATCTTGTAAAATTGTTCCAAAAATATTCCACAGGGCTAAGGCACCATGAGAAATTGTTATTTCCACTCAGTTCAGGACAGATTGTTCTTATTCTTGTGTATTGGACTCTTTCAATCAGAGAAGTTTAAATCCAGAAGGTTCAGATGTCGATTTGCCCTACAATTATTTTATGTATCAGAAAGTTTACAAGAAAACACCATCCAGCATGTTTTTCCCCTCTTTATGTAAGTTAAAATATGTTCTCATTGCATTTAGTGGGATGAAAATCTCAAAGTTTCCTGGAGGTAGCACTTCTAGGATGTTCTCTACCAGAAAGCCTACCCTTATAACCTCCTTCAGAGATGAGGTTTTAGGGAGGATTTGTACCACAAATTCCTTGTTCATATCTCTGCTAGGTGAGCAAGACTAGGTTTCCTGGCTGAGGTGTTACTTTGATTCCATAAATTTGTTTCTTTTAGAGTTACTATTGATGGAAGGTCCTTCATTCGTAGAGTAAGATGAAGGATAGTCGTCTATTTCTTCCTCTTAGCAACCGGAGTTTTTAGAGGAGCTCTAGAGAAGCATTCCGCGCTGACCGCACGGTTTGACGCAATGCGTAAAGTATTCCTGCGATCTCGCAGGCGCTAATATGCGTTTCTAACCGCACTGTGTCTAGCGCAATTATTCAAACTCGCGAAGTCAACGTTCCTCGACATGTTATTACCTTGGACGACCGTCTAACATAGGTGGATCAAGGGGGGGGGGCGCAGGGAGCATACGCCCCCCCCCCCTGTTCGGCAGAAAAAAGGAGGGGGTAATAGAGAAGAGGGAAAGAAAGAAGGAACGTAGGAAAGACGATTACATTTGGTAATTATTCATGACGAAAGGAACTTAAACTGCATTTTAAAAACTTCAAATATTCAGCAATTTTCTGGAGAGGCCCTCGGACTCCCCCCCCCCCCCNCCAATTCGAGGTGTATGGATCCGCCTTTGCCGTCGAATTTCCACTTCCCAGTGTGTCAGGCTGAGAGCAACTTATCAATTGGACGGTTGCGCTAGTTTTAAATAAATTAAAACGCAAGATATCCAAAATCAAGGCTCAGATTCGGATTCCTCGTGAAAAATCGACGCCAGTTCATGTATCATACGTCAGCATAGCATGAAGGAAATGATTCTAACATATCAGTCCAATATGGGTCAAGAAGTCAGCTGAGGAGGAAGAAGAATTTATCATGAGGGAATTCAACCCTCTTATCTAAATGCCGCCTTGCCGCCTTGCCGCCAGCTTCGCGGAATCCGCCCGGGCGCCGGCGCCAAGCATTCGGTTTCGCCGCAGAATTTCCGAGAAGAGAAATATTCTTCTTACTCATCAGCTGACCTACTCAGTGCTTACCCATGTTGCCAAGTTGGACTGATAAATTAGAATCAGCACGCCATCGTTAATGCCTTTTTCCATTACGCTATGCTAGCGTATGATACAGGGAATTTCATCAATTTTTAACGAGGAATCCGAATCTGAGCTTAGAATTTGGATAGCATTTGTTTTAAGTTAAGTTTTCAAAATTTTAGTTCGCGGACGAAGCTCACGATGCTATCTTGGCTCCCGTTCGTTAGGTTTTGTGAAACTTGATTTATTGCGGTATTTGATGGCGGAAACTCGAAATTTTGGTCAAAGTCAGAAAAATCCAAAATCCAAGATTGCGGACGTAAGCTAAAGTGATATCCTGGCTCCTGCTCGTTTGATTATTGTAAAGCTCGTTATCAGGGAATGTTTTTCACGGGAAACTTGAATTTTTAGTCAATTTTCCAAAATTCCATCAGAGAGAAGAAATGTTTGTAGTTAACGGTTTACTCTCAAACGCATTATTACTCTTAAAGGCAGGTAAAATGTATCCCCTATACATTTCGTCGTTTCCCAGGTGGAGAAAAATAACTCCATTCCAAGGTTGCAAATTGACTTAAATCATTTAATTTTTTGCGAGAATATACCCAAGTAGCATGGATTGCAATTTCATTGCAATGGATTGTGAGTTGATTGCAATTTTTGCTTGTTGCCTATACGTTCATTTGAAGGCGCTTAAAAAGTTGCAATTTTATTGCAATAAGTTTGCAAGAAATGTAGATTATGCTTGTTTTTCAAGGCACTATAAAGACTGCAATTTCGGTGCAATCATGTTGTAACAAATTCACGCCATGTGCCTGGCATCCAATTCTCTAGTTGTTTTAAAGTTTTTTCGACTTAAATGTCTCACCTACCTAACCCATATAGCCCAACATATTTTGAAAATATTGTCACCTTTATCAAAATATTTTCATGGCAATATTGTAAGTAAAATATTTTCAAAATATTTTTAAAACATTTTAAAGGAATATTTTGAAAATGTTTACAAAAAATATTTTTAAAATAATTCAAAAATATTGCCTGTAAACACGCATGTTAAAAATATTCCTTAAGAAAGTTTTGAAAATATTTTAAAAATATTTTTTGAAAATATTTTTAAGTTCTCAAGTTAGTATGTGGTATAATTTACACCGGTGTTAATTTAGTGTGAGTACCTATTACGTGATATCGAAAAAAAAAATCAGACAAAAAAATATGAAAAAAATAAATAACACGAAAAAAAATAAATAATAGGCAAAAGAAAGAAGCCTGAGAAAAACGGCGTTAATCAAATCTATGATGAATGTTGAGCCACGCACTGACGCAATGCATGCGATAACAGCCTTAACAGGCGTGATTTCAACCAAGCTCATCATCAGCTCCCTGTAGCTCAGTGGAAGAGTGCTCCGCTATGACATTCGCGGGTCGGGTTCAAGCCCACTCAAGGGCGTCCGGTATTTTATGCTGCTAAACGTCGTAGGACATTAGGTAAGCATGGGTTCGAATTATTATAATTTCCCCGGAAAATTTAGGGGTTGAAATTTAAAGGTCGTCAATATTGAAATTTCTTTGCAAAAAAAAAATTGCAACTTTTTTACAATGAGGGGGTCAGATGTTGTAAAATAATTGCAATTTTCTTGCAAGAAAGTTGAAATCATCTGGAAATTTTATTTCATTTAAATTGCAATTTTTTCGTTGCAAAATGCTACTTGGGATACAAGCGTATAATTTTTGTTCAGAATTTGTTTCAGTTTTTTATGAGATTAGGAGAAAAGTCAGTGAAATTTACAATTAGATATGTCCGAACCTCTCCTCGTAAAAATGTAATTTGTAAAGGGAACTTCGTTTAAAAAATTTCAGTGATTATTCTTCAGATATCTCTTGCAAAAATCAGACAAATTTTGGACAAAAATTGCGATTGTACCTTTTTGTAAAAAAAATTACACTGTTTGAGTCAATTTTGCAACCTTGGAATGAAATTATGTTCCCTCGTCCGAAAAACGACGACTTTTGTCACTGCGCATTAAAGAATCTGTAAGAACAATTTTTATTGTGCATTTAAGCTACGTTCGTAGTACCTAATTTTCATGATTTTTTTTCCGATTTGGAAAATTTTAGGAAATTAGATTTAAAAGTGAGCAAATCTGCAGCTTTAAGGCGTCATCAGGCGGCACTTTTCGTTCAAACGCATATCGACACTCGACAGTGTAAGTCGGTAGTCACATTACTCGGTTCGCGACGTCGCAACTTCCTGTCATCCTTCATTTTTTAAACGGAAAACTACTCAACGGTAATTCTCTAAAACTGCCGTGATTTTTCATCTCAGTGCGAAGAAAATTCTGCAAAAGGAATGATGTCAGTTTGTTCTCCTTTACAAAAATAAAATAGAGGCGAAGATTTTCAGACACCGCAAACGAGATGTGATTGCCGACTTACACCGTTGATATGGGACCACATTTTGCGATAAGGAACCACTATTTCTGGCTCATTTTAGAATCAGCATACATGACATTCATTTCCCTATGCAGAAAGGTGCTTTTACGGAGGAATCAGAGATAGTGGTTCCTTATTGCAAAATGCAGACAAAATGAAGGAACTCTCAGCGAGTGTAGTTACCTGCGGCTAAGCAGCTAAAATTAGAGTACCCAAACACGGAATAGTGTAGGTATTTGTGCGCTACGGAATTTGTGAAGCAGCGGGTGTATAAATTGGATGCATTTGTGCTACAAGGAACTATGTTGCACACAATCCCTATGCCCTATGCACATACCTCCTTTTAATAAAAAAAAGTAGGCGAATATGGTGCTTTTAAGACCGTAAGTAAAAAAACCTGATGGCGACTTCTCACAAACATTGGTATCCTTCTCGGGTAGATTTTTATGAATAATCATACAATATCTGATAAACAATTTAATTATCTAAAAAGACAGAGAAAGGGAAGAGGGGGATAGAGAGAAATTCAAAATTAAGAGTTGGGTTTAGGTTATCAAAGCATGATAGTGAAGAAAGTCACCAAGTTCATGGAGATAGTGTTTGTAAGGATAAACATGGATTATCCTTCGTGAGATGGTTGGCATATATTTTCTAAAAAGCTATCAACCATTAGGAACATTAGTTTACCTGCGGCCATGGCCATGAGGCCTGGATACACGCTCAAATTTCCATCAATTTCCGTTCAAATGGTGACTGGTGCGCACCATCTACCATCAATTTTTTGCGGCCTGCAAATATTTGACCGCCATTTTTGTCATCATTTTGATCGGACATTGACGGAAATTTGATCTTGTATCCAGGCCTGTGAAGAGCCGAACGGCTGTCTACCATTCATGGACCAATGGAATAGTGGTACATCTTTCCGATACTAAAAATATATGAATGGCCATACGCTCCCTTTACAGACACTTCAGTCAAATCGAGTGCTGAGCGTAGAATCCTTGTTCGAAAGGTTCCGACACGCAAGCCTATTATTTACTTTCCTTATACTTTTTTAGAAGCTATACACAACACATTCTGGTTAAAGTATTTGTAGCTCTAGGGACACGCAACTGTTCGCAACGAAATTTCTCATGGGTAAACAGGTATCGGTACAATAATCTGGACAACATTTTGCAATTCGGAACTATAATTTCTGGCTCATTTGTAAAAACATGCACCTATGTGTACACATAGGAAAACTAATGGCACGTGCGTTGTTTCTAAACGGAGCCAGACATTATGGTTCCTAATTGTAAAATGTACATTTAACGTTATAACGTTTTTTTGAACGTTTATATTTTTGGAGACTTAAACGCGGAGTCAGAAAAGTAGATGAACGCGTAAGTACATCGCGCCGCGCTGACCGCACTGAGTTTGGCGCAATGCGTGAAGTACTCCTACAGTCTCGTAGGCGCTATGCATTTCTTGCCGACCGCTGCTGGCGGCACTGTATATGACGCAATGCGTGAAGTATTCATGCAGTCTTGTAGGCGCTAATATGTGTTACATGCTGACCGCCGCGCTAAGGATTCTCCTTTGCATCTCAATTCCTCGTCATCATTGCTCTCTGCGCCGCGCCGTTCCGGCCAAATTGCATGTTGGGTTTCTCTGTTAACTCGACTAATTAATGGTGCTGTCTCTCGTAACACCGAAAGACGACAAAATTAGAAATTACTATACTGTCAAGAAATGAGAGATTTTGCCGCCTTTTCTCGTTTGTATTTTTTTTCTCTGAATCCGATTTTTTTTATACATACAGTTAAAAAATTGCAAAATTTACTGCCCCCTAAATTTGCCGCCGAGGGCCGCGGCCCATGTGGCCACCCCTATGAATGGACACGATCGAATTATGAGCAAACGCACACTTTCGATGACATATTCAGCCTCGCGGGTGAACAACAAATATAATTTTAGGAAATCAATTACCCCAATGATTCCTCGTAAAAACTGTCACTCCGTCAATATTAACTCTTGATTTGGTTGAAAAGTTCTTGCATGTTGATCGTGTTTTACGTGAGAAGTTGTATGGAAATTATTGGGTCTTCGGGTTTTTACCGATGACCCGCTATCAAACCTAGTTTTGGCTCTTTGGCTTTAGAACCCGTGAGAAAACATTACTTCGGGTTCTAACCATTTATTAACGTTTCAATGCTTTTTAGGTTTGGATTACTACTTATTGTACACGACACAAATTCCGTCAAAACATATACCTTTAAAGGTTTGGATGAATAAGGGATATAGGTGCCTCAGCAATAATTATTTGTCCACCTGTCAAAAAACCAAAAACATTTGTTTTTAGGTACTTTTTGTGTTTACCTCAATTTTCAATTTTCTCAATTTTTTATAAAATCAGTTTTTTTTCTCTCTTGGGGTGGTTAAAAATAATGAAAAGATGAAAAGTATTTTTTCCTACCTCTTCAATAAATAAAAAAAGAAAAAACAAGAAAGAAACATATCCTTACACTTTGCTGCATGAATAATCAAGTGTCGCTCTATATTTTTTTGGTCAGGTTACTTTGTAATCGTTTTTGACTCACATAAGTAGTTAGGTACAATTTACTAGTATTCCAATACATTTGTCAGAGCTGAGCACTTCCCTCTCATTATTGCACTGACACTCGTTAAGCTCAAACTTTGTATACCCCTATTGAGATTTTTTGGAATTCTTTGGCATTGCTTTCACCGCAAAATAGTGCGGACCCAGCACTATTTTACCATCTTGTTACTCATAATTCGGACCACATTTTTAGTTTTTTTTTTCTCGTCATAACACAAATATGCATCCATCAACAAAAAAAAAATGAAAAAATGAGAGAATATATGCGGTTGTGATAGAATAATCTAAAAATAAAGTAGAAATAGGGGCACGGGATACATCATGAAGTTCTACGCAGGAAAGAATAAGAACCAAGGTATAAATGTTAGCCAAAACAGGAAAATAAACAGTTGCTTTTATTATTCACAAATTTTACATTATTGTTTCATTTGATACCTAATGACATAATGTATCAAGTAATTTTTAAACTTCTCCGTCGACGCGCGTTTAAATTAATGGGAGCCAAAATACGGAACTTTAAGCTCGTTTACTGTGTGTTAATATTCTTTAACAAATCNGGGGGGGGGGGGGGATTCCTGTGATCTTTTTGCACCCTCTAGTTTTCAAAAATGCAGGAATTAAACATTATCAAACAAACTGACTATCGAAATTCATTTCTTTCTTGAAGGGGGACCCACTCCTCTTCTTAAGCTGAAACCTGCACACCTCGCATATTGCAACGCAATTCAAAAATAGATGGGTTTCATAGTTAATTCTTCTGGTTTATTCTGGTACCGATCCAGGTTAATTCAAACCGAATATTTTTTAATGAAAATTCACTTTGTTGATTTAATTGAACTCCTTTCACCTGATATCCATCTTGACAAGAAATCCGTTTGTAGGGAGGAGCAAGAATATATAACGACAGTCTATATCTCTGATATCTTTTGGTGGGTTCTCATCAGTTGAAAATTTGTACCGTAGTAAAGTATTCGCTACCAGGAACCTCATTGACCTCATTGCATATCTGCTCCCTAAAAAAGAGCAACACCTATTAATCTGCAGTTACTTAATTTTTTTTTGAAAGAAGCAAAAATTCAGCGAAACTGAACATTTTAAAGAGAAAGCTAAAGGAAACAAAGCGTCGATAGACCGAAGAAAGAAAGAGGCTATGACGCTGCAGTCGTCTTATGTGCCGTATTCACACGTGTCCATTGAACTTAAAGTATTCTTAAAAACATGTATTCATGAATATCTCAAACTAAAAAGAACGGCTTTAGATGCCCCCCCCCATCCCTATATCTGTACAAAGGTATATACTCCTGAAAGTAGAGTAGCGGGTGTAAAATACTTCCTGGAATTATCTCAGAGCGGCTCACAGCGCCGTATAGATTGCGACTGTGACGCCTCAAATCGCACCTCATTATCCTATAGTTCCTTCAATTTCGTTGCATATGCAATTTGATCGTCGGGGGAGTTAAAATAGTCGCTCAAAGTCAAACGAAATTGCAGCGCACAGTGGATCGAGTCTCGAGTCAATCAGATAGGTCGCACATGAAATGACTGCAAATTTTGATGTTTAATTCGTCACTTTTTATTAAGGGGCGCATTTAGATGAAAACTTCGCGAAGAAACCAATGGAGCCACTTTTAAAACCTCAAAGTTTTGTATGGACGGAGTTATGAGCTTTTGAAGTTTCCAAATTTCGTTCGACCTCCCTCATTGACTCGATCCATTGTGCGGCGCACGGCATCAGGTCTTCGTGTAGACTACGGCGCGGGTGGCCGGCCAGCAGCGCGGAACGCGCATTGGCGCCTACAAACCTAACAGGGATACTTCACGCATTGCGCAATGCGTGAAGTATCCCTGTTAGGTTTGTAGGCGCCAAGGCGCATTCCGCGCTGGCTGCACGCCGGCGTTTCGAATCACATACAATGGGTCACTAAACCTTGTTTATTTTATTGAATATTCTGAAAGTACAATGTGAGTAGATAACGTGGTGATTTTTCCGCATTTTTATGCAGCCGAAATCGCGGAGAAACCAGCTTTTGAAAAATGTAAAAACTGCAAGACATTTCAAACGCACCCGAATGGCGGGAAACTGACGGCGTTGACGCACTGCAATAGTCATATCGCAATCTTCTCTCATTTTTCTCTGATGTTTGTTAAAATAAAAAGTGTTTCAATGTGGAATTGTCGTTTATTACAGCTAACATATGAATGAGATTCTTGTCGTGAATTTAAAAGATATAATTTCGACTTTAGTATTGTTTTCATATGCGAAGAGTAGATAGACATTTGACGGAAGTCGTGGAAACCAGTGCCCTCTTCTGATTGGTGCCGGATGACATCATTCGGCGCGGCGCGAAACCGGGGCGTTTTAAATTTGCGTATAAGTTGAGCGATTTGAACTGCGCATTTCTCGGTTATTGAGTTACTTGTTCGCGTTTTCAATGTGGGCATCGTGTTCTACGCGTCATTTTCCTTCAGTAAACTATATTCGCAATTCAAAATTCGTTCATGGTTAAGTGACCCATTATCCCTGAGCTTCTTCGTTTTCGTTGCATATGTCGCAGGCAATTAGTCAAATCAGGCATTTTGTCAAATAGTCAAATAATCTTACATGGATTGAAATTCTGATTCTTCTGCTAATTCTAGACAAAATAATTATTCTCTCAATTTGATGAGGAGTTTCAGTAAACATTGTTGGCATCATATAATTGTAAATAAATTAAATCTAGTCCTTAATCGAGCTTTCATCTCGGGATTTCAAGCATGTCATATGATACCGACTTTTTAAAATTCTGAAAGTTAAAATATATGAGGAGCATTTGGAGGGCAAAATATAAGATTAGTAAGTAGTTTTGATTAATTATTAGTTTCAAAACAATAGACACTTAATAGTTTCTCGTCAAAAATATACAAGTCTTTGTAAACCATCGAAATTTGACTATCTGCCTAGGCATTTGACGAAATGCCTGATTTGACCATTTGGCTGCGACATATTTACAGTTTGATATCCGGAACTCGGTTTTCTCCCCGCTTTCAAAGCAAAAAAAAAAAAAAAAAATTTGATATCCGGAGTGTTAAAATATTTGCTTGAAGTCAAAGTGGAGTCAAATGAAATGAGTTCCGAGCCATAAAATCAGCGTGCCCCCCTTATGACAACACCATTGCTGGCCGCATTTCTTTTTTTAATCGGTGTTACCATATGCTGATACATCCAGTGTAGCCAAATCGGGCATTACCTACTTCGGGTCAGAATCAGGGGGAAGCTCACAGTGACTTATACGACCCGCGAATCATTCTACTCATCCAAGTTTCCTTCAATTTTGTTGAATATGTAATATGACCTTCAGGGAGTTAAAGCAGTTGCTCGGGGTAAAATCGCGCTCGTGGAACCGTGTATCCACGGTTACCATTTAGGCTGTTATATTACAAATTACCTTTTCCTCTTCAAAGCCCTTCAGATTCGTTCGATATGGAAGGACATTTAAGGGTAGAAATGTTTTTTACAGTCAAACCGGGCGTTCAGAGACAATGCTGGGAGTCCACAGATAGTGTTTTAGGTCACGAATCACTGCTCTCACCTAAAATTCTTTCACTTTTGTAAGATATGGAGTTTAATCTTTGAGATAGTTGACTCACAAGTACGCAAAGTATGCGTCATGAAAATATCCATTGTTTATGGGTTCAAATAAATTGATAAAAGATACTGCCACCTGTGCAAATCCAGGATTTATGAAACTTGTGAATTTTTACAGCCCACCTTGATAAAGTGAAATACGAAGCTCTGAGCCAGTTCAACGAAAAAGCAATATGCGAGTTTAGTTTTAACTGTGGTTTTGTCGTTAATGAAAGCTCGCAGCTCTTAAAATTGGGGATTTGAAGTGTATTTATAGGTAAGGGGGTACTCTGGTCTAGAAAACTTTTTTTCCCTTCAAGTCCTATCGACTTGAAACTTTTGCTATGGGTAGGTACATATAAAACTAAGTTTTCTTTAAATGTTCGTTAAGCGTGTTGCATACCCTGCCCCTTGATACACGGTTAAGTGATTTTGAAGAGGCATCTTGTGGCAACCATTTCTCGGACTGAGAGTGAGCTAGAGACCTGCGATTTGTTTTAAAGTACCAAGAAATGCTCCTTTTATTATCTAACAGAGCCGGATTTATCAATTTGTGACTATAAGTATTTTTTTTAAAAACATGAATTTTTTCTAATTTTCTTTTGGTGTTTGTTAAAATAATAAATTATCAATGAAGAGAATAAAAATTTCGGCTCTGTAAGGTAATAGAGCATACATTTCTGGTCATTTTTTAAAAAGAACCTCAGGTCTGTAGCTCAATTAGGGCCTGAGAAATGGTTGTCAATAGATGAAAAAACATGCGGATAACTGATCTTTCAGGAGAGCGATACCAGTAAATGTAAGTGAAAAAGTGCAAGGTGCAAGTGCATCACTCTGCAAGGGATCATTACTTTCATCGAATTTCTTCGAGTTTTTGGAATCATGATAATTACATGGTGCACCATGTAATTATCATTCCATGTAATTATCCATGGATACATCATTATCCTCAGTACTCTCCACTATGGAATCAGTGAAAAAACGGAAAAACTAAAAAAAACTAAAAAAAAAAACTAAAAAAAGGGTCATTTTTAGACCGAAGTACCGCCCTGAAAGGCTCATAGGTACTGCTAATTGGACGTATTTCTACCGAACAGACCTATGTGGAGGTGAGAAATATGGGGTGTGCTCGTCGAAGCTGCATAAGAAGCAATGTAAAAGTGTGCGTGATCCTTTTGAAGAATTGGAAAAGCGGGATTTTACATTCTATCAAACAGACCTATGTGCCAACTGAATGCGGGATTCATGAGCCGCGATGATGGCACGAGAGCATTGTGGACAGGGCTCATGAGTTAAAGCGCACTACGAAGAGCACGAGCAGCAGCATCGACGGCATCCATTTCCGTTGACGTCACTGGCGCTTTATTATTCTCACTTACTCTTACGGCCAGAGAACTAACGAGCACACCCCATATTTCTCACTTGCACATAGGTCTCTTTGGTAGAAATACGTCCAATTAGAAAAAACTGTTATTTGGACGTATTTCTATCAAACGGAACTATGTGCATTATGACGTGAGCCCTGTTATGTGTGTATTCTTATAAGTCTCAGGGCTCATGTCTTAATGCACATAGCTCCGTTTGATAGAAATGCGTAACGGACGCGAGCGAACTGTGGATAAACAACTATTAATTACCTGGGCAGACTCGCTTTCCGCCCATGAACGGAACGAATGCGCCTTTTGGTCTTGATTTTTCATTGGCCGGAGAAAAATGCTCTGGATAAAACTCTCCAGGTCTCTCCCAATATTCTGGATCGTGGTGGAGATCATGAGCGGACATTATCAATTGAATTCCTGCTGGAATCGTCATACTGTCTGTAAATCAAAGTCAAAGGTAGCTTATAGTAAATTTCCGAAGATTGATTACCTGATGGGGTAAAAATTAAGGCTCGAACCATGACCGTTGAATATTTTGAAAAGTCCTGAATCTCGGCAGAAATGAGAAATCGTAGATTGTAGTCTTCATTAGAATCAGCTTATTCCAACGCCCCTCCTGCCATTGTATGTACGTATAAGCCGCTTTTACGGCGCGCTAGGGCGCTCTGCGGCGCCTACTCTCCACAGGAATCTGTCATGGTAGAGATCCTCCGGGAGCTGGCATCTCTCCATCTCTTCACGGATGCCCTCTGCCCACCGTTTGGCTGGACGCCCTCTCCGTCGCCTGCCAGGGGGGACCCACTCTAACACCTTCTTCGGCAACCTGATATCAGAAATTCTCTGCACATTCCCATATGACACCAATTGCTTGGTCATGATATCGTCCCCTCAACGCCCATTATCTCTCGGACATGTTCATTCCTGACATGTTCTCTCCTCGAGATTCTAGCCGATCTTCGCCAGAAATCCATCTCTGTCGCCTTTAGCATTTCTTGGGTCTGCCACACTTCACTGCCAGTTGATTATAGGCTTGACAGCCGTGTTAAAAACCACCCTGCATTTAAAAACTAAAATCAACTGGAGTCAAGTCTCCGTTTTGGAAACGGACTTACCTACATACTCACATTCAGCAAACAATCAGGGTTTAGGGTCTCATAAGATTATCTTCTCTACTCTGTTCCTGGGTTATCCTTCTCACTTTCATAAATGTTAACATGAGTCAAATAACCCAGCAAACTAAGAAATCTGAACCATTTATACTAAGTCATACATTGATTAGCCCAATTAGCACAGTGTAAATATTGTGCAGTACAATTTCAGTGTATAATGTAAATATTGAAATACCCTAGTAGTAATTTTTTTTTTTTACATAAAAAAAAACAATTTTTACTTCTTTTATACTTAAAAGTTCGTAAATTTACATTTTTATAATGTAAAATTTACACCACAGTTGAGGCAATGGAAGAATTATAAGAACATCAGCTTTAATGACAACTAACAGTATCTATATAGTATTATATTTCAAAAACACCCTCAAATATCCGAAACTAAATGAAAATTCCCTAACATTTATACATGTTTCATGAAAAGAAAAAAATATTAGACCCGCAGACATATTGCGTTTTTTTACGCCGTTTTACGTAATTTTTAAATAAAATTTGTGTAAAATTTATGTATATTTTCATAAAAAAAACTTAGCGTTGTCGGTGATTTATAGATTTTTTTTTACACTTTTTTAAAAACATCATCATTAATATAAACTTCGAAGGATTCAGACTTTCAGCGATTCTACCTTTTTCTATTTCACTCGAGAGGTTGCCAGATTGTGCGATAAATGCGAATATTTTAACATGGATTTGAATTGGGAAAAGTGCTAAAAAAGCAACTTATCTGGCAACAATAGAGCCCGGGAGGGACGAGAGGCTGCCTTCCTGGGAAAACCCATGATTTAGCCGGAAATGTCATTAAAACAATTGATTCCGTTTGAAGCATCAATTGTACACTAGGGGAAAGCTATTTTAAAATAATAATTGTAGATGGACACAGATGCTACAGAAAGGGAAAAAGGAAAGGGAAAGGAAATGAAATGAAATGAGGATATAATTTCTAATATGCAATCAGAGAGAATAAAACAAAAACATCAGATAAATTTATATGCCATGAAAGTATAAGAAAAAAACACGAGTGGGCTCATTGCGATTCGGAACTCGAACTATATTATCGTTGAGCAGTTTTTAGACCCCTACGCCACCGATAATCTTTTTATGAGGTAAAGATGAACTTTTGCTACTTCAGCAAGTCAAATCCCGGGAGGAAATCCATGGATTGTCTTTTTCCGCCACCCGATGGGATGACGTCCCAGTCAAATGCGTTTTTGAAGAAATGATCGATCCCCATCATCGCCTCATCTCCACACATCTATTCATGTGCAAATGATGGCACGCTCCGGCAGTAAGGTTCAAAATCAAATGCCGAATCACTGAGAAAAATGGCTCGCGGAGCGAGCCGAATGTCACTCGCGTAGCGAGTGATCGGGGTTCCAGGGGGCGCAGCCCCTTGGCCGGCCGTGACTGACGTGCAAAGCGCGTCCAGAACGGCTAGTTTTACATAAAATTGATTTAAAAAGTTATCTACACAAGAAAATTTTTTTACGTAAATTTTAAACTTTTTTTACATTTTTTTTACGTAAATTTATCTGTCAAAATTTTCGGATTTTTTTTACGTAATTTTTATGTAAAAAAAATTATCATGTAAATTTTACTTCGTTTTACAAATGTTTACATTTTTCTTACGTTTTTTTTTTTACAAAGGCTGCTACTAGGGTAATTTTGAACTTAAATGCAATAAAATTAAATAAGCGTATTTTTACCGTTTACTCGAACATCTTTCGTGAGATTACGACCTGTCAGAGGAACGCCGCAATGCCGAAGCGTCTCTTTGATGATCATCTCCGTGTAAACAAGTTCGGGAAGTTCGTCCAGCCGCACCTCTTCACCCGAACAATTCTTCTTAATTTCTTGATACGCTTTCTCCTGGATGTCAGGATATACCGCTAGCAGCTTAAAAACCCAGGAAAGTACTATTGCCGTGGTGAAAGAACCCTTTTTGAAATTAAGAGAAAAATTAACTTTGAAAAAGTAGAAACTCGCCCAGTGCCCTCTACAAACTAAGATCCCTTAAATACCCCCAAGGTAGCGAAAAAGTAAAAAAATCTCAAACTCACGATTCTTTTTCAATTATTCTGCCGTGATAGCGAAGAGATCAGTAAGTGTCAACTTTTCGAAATCGAGTTTCCTTCAAAATTCGTATGAACTCTTTTAGATGAAATCACTGAAGTAGCTGTAATAGCAAAATTCATCTTACTTTCTTGAAAACGAGACATATTATGAGAAAGCCGCAAGTGCGCAAAAAATGACGTAGTTTTAGGGACGACAGCAGTAAGTGACAATATTCTTCCAGTCAGTAAAATCAGTCAATTTTCAATCATCCAAACGATTTCTAGGAGTCTTTCGGACGATTAGTGGCAATTCGACACAGAACGGAGGCTTCTTGCAATAAAATTTTCCGATCAGAAGCTTCTGAGCCCATTTTCTCAAAACTTCATTATTGCACTTACCGCTCTCTTCGCTATCACGGCAGTATTGTGTTTCAATGATTTGGTCGTGTTTCTCACATAGAAGCACCACTACGAACCTATGGAGGTAGAGGAAGGGAAAGGACACGCGTTGATGACGGCGCAGAGATACGACTATTCGTACTTGATGGATGTCCGTGTTGCATCTGTACAATTGAAGGCGCGATTGCATGAGCCGTGAACTCGCAATGCTCCGCTCTATGGCGCCAGTGAAAAGGCGCTCAGATTCTAGGAGAAAGTCGTAAAACGAGACCCCAAATAAGTCCAGCTATCTTCAGCTGTCATGACACAATAATTATTTTTTTTTCAATGATATGTCTGATTTTTTTTTACGATGTATTTGCCGACCTGTTGATGATCGTGTGTTGTGGCTTGCTTCATGCAACCCACGGGGCAAGTGTATTTAGCAAGCCTCGGGTCAATTTGACCCGGCGTAAGCATGTAAGGGTTAAATAAATTTAAATGGACGAAATATATAAACTTACGATAATAAACTAACGATATATAAACTTATTTGGCGAGTTCTTTTCGCTCAATTTTGTCAGTTTTTTTTACCGAAACTTTCTTTATCAAAGGTTTTCTCATTGCCCCGAAAAAAATTGTTCGGTCGTATTTACGGAAGTTCGGTGTTCCATATCATACCAACCAATTCGGTTTATCAAACTCAATTTTCGGTTTGTCAAACCGAACTTTCGCTTCGTGTAACCGAAGTTGTGCAACAATGTGAACTGACGAATAAAGTTTGGTCATATACGCAGAATGTTCGGTTACTCGAATCGAAAGTTCAGTATGACAAACCGAATATTTTGGATGATATGGAACACCCATCGTTCGGTTCACATAACCGATTTTTTTTTCAGCGTGATAAATGAAGAAATCAAAACGGAACCAGCCGGAAAATTTCATTCGAGATTGTTCTGATCCGAGTCATCGTCGCCAGTATCCCCGTCGCGTCCCTATGCTTTTTTGAACATGTTAACATACTCACTGCGACAAGAATCTCGCTGATCTCTGAGATAATATGTTGTTTCGATAGAATCCCTGCATCCATTTTATCCAACAAAATGTCGATGTAGATTTGCGAAGTCTCTGAAATCAAGGATTAGATTGTAAGAGCACAACTACCGATTGAGACATACAAAAAACAACTATAATACCTACTGGAAACTTATTTCCGTGGTGCCATCAGAAATCATCTTCAGGTTTTAAGAGATACATCAGAACCACAGCACGCTGAATGTGGGAACTGAATGTGGCTTGAATGTGGAAGTCACTGGTCCCATGCCTGAATTTTGCGCGTGTTGCGCAAAATTCTGAAACGAGGCTTAGCGACCATCGGATAATGTCGGATCGGTCTGAAGTATTCGAATAGATTTGACTAAATCTGGATGAATCGCGAATTTGCGAGATTTGAGCGATGACTATTAACTTCCATATTTAGCTGCTAAATTCAGCGTGTGATTCCGGCCATAAGGCCTCGATACACAATCAAATTCCGAACGAATTCTGATCAAAGTAAACCAGTTGATGACTAACGGTCACCATGCAACAGTCCTCTTTCATCGAAATTGGACGGGCCGGCAAATCTTGATCAGAATGGAGTGCCACCATTTATCATTTCCTGCCGCAAGAAATATTTTTGCCTTGTTTTCATTTTAAAATTAAGCAAAGTAGCGATTTTAAGACTGATGACTCCCAACACTTTGATGGTAATTGGTTCGGGACTTTGATCGTGTATCGAGACCTATAGAAATTCCAAACTTATTGTATGGGTGGCTGCCACAGAATTTAGAAAATGAAATTCCCTAATTTCTTTGTCACATTTTGGTTAAATACCTTGACAATCGAGAATATACCAGATTCTCAAAAAGACATAATCTGAAATAGTTTCAGGCAAAATTTGTTGCTCGAAACGTTGAATCCATTGTAGAGAGGAAATAAAGGTGACCTTACCATTTTTCCCTGACCATTCCGTCATCTTCCCTTATATGACGAGGTTTTCCCCGACTTTTTAAAATTCCCTGACGTTTCCCGGTTTTCCTGGTATTCCCTGACCGTGGCAAACCTGTGTACGGGAACTAAAAACCCATTCGTATGAAACGCATATTTGCACGCATTTTCTCAATACCGTGATACTATATATATGATGATGTACAAAGCTTTAGGCCCTCTAGTAAAGCAGCTAGCAAGCAGCAATTTAAGCTTTAGGCAGAAATTCTGAAAATGACATAAAATCCTGTCGTGGCAAGGAAAAACGCCGCAAGAACTTTCAGGCGTTGCCAAATTTCCTTTGATGAAGTAAAAAAAATTTACCGTTGGAGTTGAGAATATTCCAATTTTCCGGACAATATTGTTCGCACTTTAATCTAACACTTCTAAAAATTTCAAGGAAAAATATGCATAACTTTCTTCAAAAATGAACATTTTATCGGAGGAAATTTGGCAACTCTCGAATGTTCATAAGGCGTTCTTCCTTGGCACGGCCAAATAGGTATGCTAATTTTTCCGGAGTGGTTAGCAAGTGGCACGGGTGAAAGTTGTCCTGTTCTATTTTGGTCGCTTGAAAATTGTTTGCTTACTTCCGTTTCTTCCCTTCAAATTTTTACTAGTCAAAACACATCGAAAATTATTTCACAACTTATTCCATTCTCACCTAAATGCCCAGCTACCTTCAGCTCTGCTCTTTCTCGAATCCGCTGATCCATCATCTGTAATGAACCAAAATTAGACCTTACAGAACATGAAATTTACGCATCCGTAAGAATACAGCAGTTGCGGTTATTATACCACATGCACATTTTAACTTTACGGAAGATTCCTGTATTGGGTAGAAACATTCGGATTACATTTTGCAAGAAATATAACCACTATTTCTGGCTCATTTTAGAAACAGCATTTATGTCATTTGTTTCCCCCTGCAGACAGGTGCTTTTATGGAAGATCCAGAGATAGTGGTTCCTCATTGCAAAATGTAATCAATTTATCCTCATCGGTTTTCATCTTCAATTTCATTTTGAGACTAACAGGCATGACATTTAGGTCTTTAGATTAGCATGAGTAATATAAGTAGTACGTCACAATTTTCCCTACTTTTTCATGATCGCATTTTTTGCCAGTCGTAAAAAAGCCACAAAAGCTTATCGTTCGGTTTGGATCAATAACTGTCCTTCACATCTGTTGCTTTTTTTTTGTCTTCTGTATAGGCATGTTCCGTGAAACTAAGACTCCAAGACTTCTGAGAATTTTTTTATGGGCCGCGGTGCCATGAGAGTTTAAAAACCCGGTTGCCCACCAAAATGTTTACCTCTTTCTACAGTATCTACAGAAGTATTCAACCAAAATCAGCACTTGAAAGTTTACAATCGGAAAGTTTCGGTGGGTTAACCTAACCACTAAAGCCACTCTACCCTCTTACTGTGCAATAATTGAATTACTACTAGAGTTGTTCGATTTTAGTTTATGAGTTACCAAATTCGGATGAAATTTTCCATTTAATATCTATTTTGAGTTGCGACACCAATTTTAATTTTTCTGTGGACGGTCAAGTAAAGATCGTCTCTTACAATTGTATTAAAAAAGAGTTTTGTAAGTTTACATACACGTAAAATATCTCAAGAATACTTATCGTTAATAAAAAACTTATGGTATAATTTGTATGAGATCATTATTCTGCAACCAAAAAGCCAAAAAAATTTCAACTTCTCAAAACATGGTTCGTAGCAAAATGGATCTGGTGGGACACGGAAGACGATTCTCACCTTTTGGAGATAGTCGTTTTGTTCCTTCCGTAATGCCCTCACTAACTTTTTCTTTCCTGAAAGCGCGTAGATCCAATCTGACCAGAGTAAAAGAGAAAAAATTTTCTCGAAAAGCATCTCATATAATCTGTAAAGAGAACACAAATATATTTACCATTTGAAAATCGATTTTCAATATCAAGAAACGTACCTTTACTTTAATCTCTATGAGGATTAATACTCTTGCATTGATCTCAATTAAATTCTGCAGTTAATGATTTCCTCGTGAAATTTTCTTCAAGAGGCTCAGCATACAATTTAAAATTTGAAAGTATTTATGCTGAAAGGAACTTTGTGCAAGTGGAAATATGGGGTGTGCTCGTGGTGAGCTGGATAAGAAACAGTGTAAAAGTGGATATGGCTCCTTTTGAGTAAATGGAAAAGCGGGATTTGACATTAAATCAAAAGGAACTGAGCGCTAACTCGTGAGCCGTGGACATGTGATAAGAGCCTTGTGGACAGGGCTCATGAGTTAAAGCCGAGCAAGAACGACAATGGAGACGGCTTTGTTGCCGCTGACGTCACTGGCGCTCAAAAATTCCCATTTATTCTTATATATGGCCCTCAACTAACGAGCACACCCCATCTTCCCACTTGTACATAGTTCCATTTAGCATAAATACGTCCATTCGAAGATATTAACATCAAAATTTGCAGTTTGAGTGAATAGTGTCATGCCCAACCTCTCCTGCAGGCTTCCTTTCAGGAATTAGTGGTTGCGGTTGCTATACAAGTCATGCTCAGCATATCGCGGTGTCAAAACCGAAGGAATAAAGACTCACATCTTACGCCTGTGTGTAACTATTCGTACCTAGGAGAAATCTGAAGTGTAAACGGAAAATTGAAAGCGCTCTGACATTTTGGATCCTCATAGGAAAGTCCGCCGTCTGCGCCGCGTTGCGGGTAAAGTGGATGAGTGCCTGGACTGTCAAAACGCCTTCCCTTTCGTGCGTATGCAACACGGACATCCATGGAGCCCGAATAGTTGCATGCAGGCATTGCAGGCGTTAAAATGAAATTCGCTCAGTATCCGTCGCATGCGACTCTAACAGGAGCTTCGATTGTTCCTCTTATACTTTAACGTAATGCCAGCGATGCCTGTTGTGCCGATGAAGTAAATTAATACTGATTTTTAACGCGATATCGTCAATTTTCCGAGAAATTCATTATTTAAATCTATTAAAACGTCGTCAGCCCTTGAAATCGCAAAAAATTAAGTATCTGAGTATGACATGCAGAGTCTTTTTCGATCTACTCTAATAAGTCGTTCTTTATTCGGATTTTTTTGGTTTTTCTCCTTTTGATCTTTTCATCGCTTTCTTCCACAGTTCGCGAATTGGTCGATTTCAATTCGCCTCATTCTACCGTTGTCGATTTTTTCAGTGGCGTGGCGTGCTTTGCGATATATCGCTGTTCTGCCATTTAAACCTAGGGTAAAGAATCGATTACCAAGGTGTTCGCTGCGAACACCCTGATAATCGATCCTTTTCCATAGGTTTAAATGACATAACAATCGATATATCGCAAAGTACACCACGCCACTGGATTTTTTACCTCGTTTCACGTTTGGGCCAAACCTCTTGACCAATTGATGAACTGATCAAATTCTGACCATTCCGCGGAATGGGTCATTTCGTAGATGGGGCGTAACATAAATAGTTGCTTGTGACCTGACATTCTGCAAGAGAGCGTTATTATTCAGTAATACACACTGTGCATTTCGATGAACTTCTTGAAGAGTCAGAGGTGAATGAGACAAAAAATTAACACTAAGGAAATAGTGAACACGCAACAGACCGTCAAGCACACTGCTTGGAAATTTTGAACTTACTGTGTCATGACGTAAGAAAAACGAACTAAACGGTTTTCTTGAGCACCTATTCGATTTCGCACCATGCTGTCTGAAACAGAAAAACCAAATGGTTTCCGAGGGTATGCTCCCAATATATCTAAGGTAGTGGCTGCGCCCCCTGACTGCGTCGCAGTTCAACCTCTGCGGCGCTCCGCGCCTTGGGTATAATACGTTACCCGTTATTCATATGATTTCATATAATACAGAGTAAGACAACATTAAATACTTTAAATGTAGATCACATTTTTTTAAATGAAGGTATCTGAATACGTAAATATTTCACGATCAAACATTGAAAGGCATATGCCTGTGTCACACCGTCAAAGCTAGCCATCAAAATATCAAGGTCAGATGTTGTGATTGGCTTATTCGATGACTTGGACCAATCACAGCACTTGACCTGGACATTTTGATGGAGTATTTTGATAGTGTGATACAGACAATAGCAAACCTAAGTTTTATAAAGGGTTTTTTGTTAAATCTCGGTGACCTCTCATGATTTACGCAGATTCGAAGATGAAAATACCAGAGCACACTGAAAACAAATTCTCGGCGTTTTTACCAAGGTCCGTTGGTACCTTTACCATCTCACTTTTTTTACCAATTATTGGTAATTTTACCAAGACGGACTGGTAAGCTTACATAAAAACCGGTATTTTTACTGTTTTTTTCAGGTAAGAATATCACCTTTATTGGTAATCAATTCCCGGTAACTTTGCCATTTTATCTCGGTAATTCTACCACAGTCGATAAAAAATATTGGCAGTTCTAGGTACCAAGGTCCAGTAAAATTACCGAGAAAGTTCAATAATTTTACCGAGATTTCTCCGTAAAATTACCTATTCCATAAATGGTAATTATATAAAGAAAAAACTGGAATCAAATAGAACCCTGAATTCTTGGTAATTTTACCCTTTTCTTAGTAAATACACCGAGATTTTTTTTCAGTGCACGTATCTCGGTTTGCGACGTTGTAGACTTGCCGTCATACTTTATTTTTTAAATGGAAAACCACTCAACGTCAATTCTTGAATAAAACTTCCGTGTTTTTTCCTCTCCCTGCGCGGAAAACTCCATAAAAATGTCAAAAAATTATATTAATTTGTTCTCTTTTAAAGAAAATACAATGGAAGCGGAGATTTTTAAACACCGCAAACGAGATACACGGTCTGGTGGTTTCACCGTCGACATAGAGGAGGACGGGGTTATATTGAAGTAAAACAAAACCCTATTTACGGAATTTCAATTTTCTATCAATCTATTCTTTCTGCGCGGTCGATATCGTGCATTGGTTTAAGACAAATGGACCGCGTCACACAGAAAGGAACCAAGCCACATCAGCTATTGCCAAATTTAATTGGGCAATTTAATTTTTTACATGAAAACGGTTGTGCGGATTTTCGTGCAAATTTCAGTGAAAATCCTCCATGGTACGAAGCAAATGGAGATGTTGTATGTGTGAGGGGTTCGCGATTTGACCATTGATTCTTATGTAAAAGTTCGCGAGAAACACGATGGTGCCACTGGTCTTCTCTGAAATCATCTTCCAAGCTCAGAAAAAGCTCTCAAAGTGAGGCCAAAATGGAGGGGCTATCCCATCCTACTCTGAGAGTCCACCTCTATATCAAGACAAACTCTCCATGCAAAGATAGGGATGCCAATACATTGACAGGGTTGCCACTGTATTTGGGGACTCCAAAACTGAAAACATGGCATCACTGCCAATGTATTTGCTCCCTATCTTTGCATGGAGAGTTTGTTTTGATGTAGAGGTGGACTCTCAGGGTAGGATGGGATATCCTCTCCATTTTAGCCTCACTTTGAGAGCTTTTTTGAGCTTGGGAGATGATTTCAGAGAAAACCAGTCAAACCATCGTGTTTCTCGCGAACTTTTACATAAGAATCAATGGTCAAATCGCAAATCTCTCACACATGCAACATCTCCATTTCTTAAAATGTTCAAAGAAATCCGAACAAACGTTCTCTCGTAAAAAATTCAATTGCTTGGTTAAACTTGGCAATAGCTGATGCAGCTTGGCTCCTTTCTGTTAAACTCGGTCCAAATATACGTAAGCAAACTTGCACATAACGAGATCTGATTGACTTAAGTACACAAAGCACTTTTGGCGCACTTTAAGGAAAATTATTCCAAATCTAGGTAAACGCAGCACAATATTGCACCGACTGAGAAAAATGCGCAAGACTGTCCATACACTTAATGATTGCATTTTTGTTAGAGATAAAAGAGGGTCTGCGGGCTGATTGTTTGGATTGATAGACAAAGCTACAGTCAAAGAAGACATTACAAGTACGGAGCGATCCTATTGGTTGAAATGGGTGGTTCTCATCGACTAAGAGAGAAAATGATGTACCAACTTCAGGATCTCTCATGGTTGCCGTTATTTAGTCTATTACTTCCCTCTTTTGTCCATTGCAGCCACCCGCTTCCACCAATAGAATCACTCCATTTCTCTTTTGTCTATTCTGTCTATAGTTTTGTTCATCAGTCAACAAATTACTCACGAGCATTCTGGCTAGTGGCTAATGTGAGTATTTTGTGATTTATACAATGGCAAATTTAACGTTTATCAGTCTATCAATCTCAACAATCGGCCCGCTGGTCTTAACAATTCCGAGCCGAAAAACTTTTAAAAAAAAGTCTACAGTCTTACATCTGAAAACAGGTTTCTTAATGATGCGTTATTATAAGTTGAAAGGACGAGCTGCGAGTGCGAATAATATAACAGCCAATGGTGGGTTGTGAATGTAGCGTCGCAAGGTTTCGTCGAAAAAAAAAAAAAATAGTTATGAATATAGTGTATATACAGTAGTATAGTTCTACCAATAGGATTCGTTCATATCCTTTTCGAATTCTTTGTCTATTGTTTTGTCTACCGATTTCAAGAAGCAGCCCGCTGGTGGACTTACCGCAAATCAAGTCTATCGTGCACAAATGAATGGGTGTGAATATATCGAACTTGTCACCGTTCAAATGTTCCTTTAGGTTGCTCACAAAGGTTTTTACATGGTTGTAAAAATGATCGTCGAAAAGCGGGAAGAGCTTAGTTTGAAAGCTAGGATTCATGATATTACGTATCATACGCCACTCAGTTCCTGAAGCGAAGTAGGACAAATTCGTTAAATATCAGGTAAATATACAAAAGAATAGATTGCAAATCTAATCTTGACTTATTACTTCAACAATAAAAACGCATTAAAATACAAAAACAAATGGATTTACAAGGCTAAGGAAAAATAAAACAAACCAGAACGTTTTGGGCCAATTACGTGCCCATTCTCAACTAGAACGAAAGCTGAAAAATGTAAAAATTAAAACAAGAAAATGAGCATGCAACTGACCGAGGTGGGAGTCAGTGCAAACTGAAAAACAGAGCAAAAATGGACAGAGGGGCACTATCACCTCCTTGATATCTGTTCTTTCTGATATCTGATCTGATTTTCAGTTTGCACTGATTCCTACCTCGGTCAGATGCATGCTCATTTTCTTGTTTTAATTTTTACATTTTTTAGCTTATTTGTTCCCGTTGAGAATGGGCATGTAATTGGCCCGAAACGTTCTGGTTTGTCCTATTTTTCCTTAGCCTTGTAAACCCATTTGTTTTTGTATTTTAATGTGCTTTTATTGTTGTGTGCATTCGGGCTATTGTGTATCATCTCTCTCTTATCACTTATTAGTTTATAGTCCATACATCCAAATATATGACGGATTTAAACAAAAATATCAAACGATAGTCCAGGCGCCTGGTAAGTCTACCTGGAATTTTGGGTACACAGCGATTTTTTTGGCTTACTTTCTGTTTTTTGGGTCGCTGAATCCGAATCTGAAGTTTCCTACCGCGTATTTGGTGAGCATTTTCCGCCATTTTGAAAAAATGGCCTAAAAAGGCCTTTTTTTGCGGGTTTTTTTATTTGGTGACTACGCATGAGAAAAAATCCCGGATTTAGCTAATGTTTTGAATAGCTGACAAAATTTGGAAGAAAATGGTATATGAATATGCTGGGTTTGCTCAAAAATTGAGGAACCTCGGATCTCGGAACTTTGGAACGCTTCGGAAATTAGCTGACCGCGGCGAGCCGGATCACGCGTTAACGGGTGCGCCGCGAAAACGTGAATGGGCGCGATGTTCACGATGCTGTATCTTCCTCGATTTTTAAGCAAACCTAGCATATGTATACACCATTTTCTTTCAAATTTTGTCAGCTATTCAAAACATTAGCTAAATCCGGGATTTTTTCTCATGCGTAGCCGCTACATAAAAAAAACCGCCAAAAAAGGCCTTTTTAGGCCATTTTTTTAAAATGGCGGAAAATGCTCACCAGATACGCGGTAGGAAACTTCAGATTCGGATTTAGCGACCCAAAAAACATACTGTTAGGCAAAAAAATCGCTGTGTACCCAAAATTCTAGGTAGCCTCATTTTTAGCTACCAGGCGCCTGGACTATGAACCGAGTTTCACAGAAAGAAACTAAGCCACATCAGCTGTCGTCAAATTTGGCCATTCAATTTTTTTACAAGAGAACGATTGTGCGGATTCCATTGAACATTTTCAGGAATTTGTTTCAAACTATGCAAAAAATTCACTGATATTTGCACGAAAATCCGCACCACCGTTTTTATGTACAAAATTAGGTTTTCCAATTAAATTTGGCAATATCTGGTGTAGCTTGGTTCCTTTCTCTTTAAAGCGGTCCAAATACCGACGATGCAAGTCCTTAATTACGTATCTCGGAAAACGTGATTTTTCAGGAGAGCGAAAGAAATGGCTACATTCCTCATCTTTGAAGGCAGAGGGGAAATAATTTTTTCAGATAAAAAAGATAAGATGCTTCATGAGACTCTAGCATCATTTTGAATAATACGAGTATTGTCGTCCGTCCCGAGAAATGGCCGAAAAAGCGAGATATGTGTTCGTGGAACCATGGTCCAACACTGAATTCTGAGATACGTGGTTGGCAAATTACTGTTTCAAACCTATTTTCTGCCGATTTTGTCTGGATAAAGACCAGAAATAGTCTAACAGGGCTGTGCACTCTAATTTGCCTCTAAGAGAGTTCAGTTAATCCTACAGCGTGGATGGAACATCGTGCCTTGCGGATAATATGGATTATCGGATGCCATAAAGAACCCCACAACCCATGCTAGTGCTGGTACAAAATTGAATGGATAAAAAGTTAATTGGCGCCTCCAAGTGTAATATTACTGACTAAATCTACTACCGAGAGGTACCTGAGTGATCGAGCGCCTTCAAATACGCTTTTATGCAACACTTATATCAAAAGTTTAACCCCCTTTTGTCTAACAGCGACTGTCATATCACCCATGAAAATGTGACTCCTGTTCACTATGTTTTAAGGTAGAAACTCAATTTTATTAACACACTAAAAAACCGGACTGGATAAAAAATCTTAAAATCCGGTTTGTTTTCGATTCAAATAATAAATACTCTCACTTACATAATACTCTTAAAAACATGGGTTGAAATTTGAAGCAATAATTTGGATTAATAATGATGTTGTAGGCGTTAGGCGTAGTGTAGTGGATTAACCTGAGACTGGCAACAGCGCTGGAAACCTTTGACAGCAGTTTGTATTGAATTCCCCATTTTTTGTCCTTAAATTTGGAATGACTATGCCAAAAGGTAAATTTAGGAATTTTAGGAAAAATTAGGTGTCACAGAACGGCCATTAACGCTGCTGAAGAAAGTTGTACATTATATACATAGGGTGTTCAAAAAGTTTTGCACACTTCCGGATTTTGAGCGAACGAAAGCAGCTATTGATTTGCAGTTTATGTGTGCTTAAAGTAGACGTAATTATCAATAAAACAAGACCAAGAACAACTCTTTAGCTTAAAAAATGACAGAGATACAGGGTTTTGAAAATGACATGTAGCGTGACCGCCTCCAGGATTTTTAGCAACAAATATGTTTATCAAGGGGAAAAAAGTTAAATGAGAATTGAGTGTTTTTATTGAAAAAACTTACAAAATCTTACGGAAATTGACGAACTTCAAGTTTCTTCATCGGATGACACGGATGACTCAACGTTCGGCTGTTTTTCGAAGTATTTTCCACCACTTTGAACACAAAGCTTCAGCCGTTCTGCCCACTTCACAAGGATCGTCTTTCCGAGGTCCTCTTGAAGGAGGGTTTTGAAGCATTTTTGAACAGCGGTTTTGATCTAGGCTTTGGAATGGCTCTTTCCTGAGCTAAAGAAATTTCTGAGAGGCACACGATTTGATTTCATAGCCTAGATCAAAACTGCTGTTCGAAAATGCTTCAAAACCCTCCGTCAAGAGGACTTCGAAAAGACGATCCTTGTGAAGTGGGCAGAACGGCTGAAGCTTTGTGTTCAAAGTGGTGGAAAATACTTCGAAAAACAGCCGAACGTTGAGTCATCCGTGTCATCCGATGAAGAAACTTGAAGTTCGTCAATTTCCGTAAGATTTTGTAAGTTTTTTCAATAAAAACACTCAATTCTCATTTAACTTTTTTCCCCTTGATAAACATATTTGTAGCTAAAAATCCTGGAGGCGGTCACGCTACATGTCATTTTCAAAACCCTGTATCTCTGTCATTTTTTAAGCTAAAGAGTTGTTCTTGGTCTTGTTTTATTGATAATTACGTCTACTTTAAGCACACATAAACTGCAAATCAATAGCTGCTTTCGTTCGCTCAAAATCCGGAAGTGTGCAACATTTTTTGAACACCCTATGTACATCCCCAGAATATATAGGAAGAACCAAACCACTATACAATATTTATAGGTTTGTGTGAGAATATTCTAAAGTTCCAGGATATTGTAAAGATCTTTTCGAATTATTGCTAATGCTTACCCTGGAATCATTTTTTGTTTTGTTTCTCAAAGACAAAATCACCAAAAATTATTTCAGGATATACTTACTTATTTTGTGTAAATTTTTTTAATTCATAATTTCGTACATTTTTAATAAAAATAACTTAAGTTTAATGTGCCTACCTGATGCAGAGAACATCGTCGCTGTGCCAATTTTAACGTTACGGTAGTGGTATATTTTGTCAATATTTTCAGAACTGGCCAAGACTGCCTGAAACATCAAAAAAAATGTGTGAAATTTTAAATTCCCTTCAGAGACTTAGGAGTTGGAGTAAATTCACCCAAACAAGTCGTAAGAGGGAATTGGCACAGGGACATCGCAGCTTTGTTTTGATTTTCTCGACTTCTTACAGCATTAGAGTTCCTACGATTACTTACATACATACATACAGCCACTTTTACAGTGCTTTTTGGCGCTCTGCGACGTCTAGCCGCTAAAGTCCCCTATCCTCCCAAATGTCTTCAAGGAGTCGGCACTCCCTCATTTCCTCTAAAACCCCAAATCGCCATCCTTTCACTGGGCGTCGCGTCCCCTCGTCTCCTCCCAGGAGGAACCAATCAAGCATCTTCTCCGGCAGCCTTTCTGCCGTCACCCCATTAACATGACCATACCAGCGGGCTGATTGTTGAAATTGATGGACAGACCTATAGACAAGGAAGACAAAAGGGATATGGATGGATCCCATTGGTAGAAGCGAGTGATTGCGGTGGATAAGGGAGGTAGACTAACTAAATAGATTAACTAACGGCAACCCACGAGAGACCCTCTAGTTAGTCCATAATTTTCTCCCTTAGTCTTTATGAACCTGCCATTTCAACCAATAGGATCGCTCCACACTGCTTGTGTCTTCCTTGTCTATCACTTTGTCTATGCATTTCAACAATCAGCCCACTGACAAGCTGTTTGATCATGATGTCGAGCGTGATGTCATTTTCCCGTAGATATTGTCATTTTTTTCGTAGAAAATAACATCATACGATTACTTTGTTGATATAATGGGCCTGTTGCAAACTTTTGCTAGAGCAAAAATAAGAGTTGTTTCTTATAGATAATGCCTCAAAAATCACGATGAGCGCATCGGCAAAGTCTGAAATGCACTCATAACTTCACAATCTGCGTAAGAAATTTGCGTTTTTTTAAGCTTCCCGCTTCAAAAACGATACTACGGCATAGGTGAACATTTTGTTAGAGGAGTCGCTCCATCGTCGGCGATATTCATCATGGCCGACGCTTGCACGCAGTTCCGCGCGTAGTTCAAGGAGAGTTCAAGGTCAATCAATTCGGGCGTGGAAAATATGAACGTTAACACACCGATTGTTATCCGGTCTAATCCAGTTCAGGTGTTATCTCGTCCCATCAAACGTGTTTTGGCGGATTGGCGTCGGCTATGATGATTATTGCCGACGATGGAACGACTCCTCTTACAAAATGTTCACCTGTGCCGTAGTATCGTTTTTGAAGCGGGAAGCTCAAAAAACCGCAAATTTCTTACGCAGTTTGTGAAGTTATGAGTGCATTTCAGAGTTTGCCGATGCGCTCATTATGATTTTTGAGGCATTATCTATAAGAAACAACTCTTAGTTTTGCTCTAGCAAAAGTTTGCAACAGGCCCATTATGTTAGAATTTTTAAGAGTTTTGCTGGCTGTTTTAGAGAGCAGGAGCTAACCCGCGGGCCGATTATTGAAATTTATAGACGAAGCTATAGACAAAGAGGACATGAGAAGTAGGTATCAGCGATCCTATTGGTTGAAATGGGTAGCTTTTATAGACTAAGGGGGTAAATGATGGACTGACTATCGGGTCTCTCGTGGGTATCCGTTAGTTAGTCTATTACCTACGTCCTTTGTCCGTTGCAACTACCCGCTTCCACCCAGAGGATCCCTCAATATCCTTGTTGCCTTTAGAGTCCCTTTATACCCAGAGTTAAGACAACTCACTTTTGGTTGGGCCAGGGTCGGGCTGAAAGTGGCCTAAAAAAAAATCCAATTCTGATTGGTTCTCGCTCATGGAGGCCGAAACGAGTAGGTAAACCAAGATGGTGGTACCTCGAACCTGAACAAGAATAATGAAAATATTACCTAACTGTGGTTTATCAAGAGTAAATTGTTATTTCCATCGGTCCAAAATGAAAATAGATTAAGAAATTATTCACAAACCAATCTCATTTTCTTTTTAACTGATCAATTTGTTGATGTTGTTTTTGTGTGACAGACATCGCAGGATTCCTTATCCTTATCCCTCAATATCGTTCGTTTGGGTGCAC